ATCGTAAGTCTGTGAGGGGAATAGAGGGGTCCCCTAACAATGCACAATCCATTGCACCATATTTATTTTTTACTATTGAATATGAAGAATAGGGACGTGGGTGGCGCTGTGGGTTAAACCACAGAGCCTAGGACTTGCCAATCAGAAGGTCGGCAGTTTGAATCTCCGCAACGGGGTGAGCTCCTGTTGCTCAGTCCCTGCTCCTGCCAACTTAGGAGTTCAAAAGCACGTCAAAGTGCAAGTAGATAAATAGGTACCGCCCCAGCGAAAAGGTAAATGGCGTTTCCGTGCGCTGCTCTGGTTCGCCAGAAGCGGCTTAGTCATGCTGGCCACATGACCCGGAAGCTGTACGCCGGCTCCCTCAGCCAATAACGTGAGGTGAGCGCCGCAACCCCAGAGTCGGTCATGAATGGACCTAATGGTCAGGGGTCTCTTTACCTTTACCTATGAAGAAGATGATCTAAACTATCTCTGTACTTCCCTCAGTCACGGTCATGGCTACAGTTATGGGGTTTTGTTTTGTTTTTATTTGATTGATTTGCACATCCTATTGATTTTTTGCAGTTATATTCCGAATATTAATAAACATGTTTTTTTTAAAAAAAACAGACAAACCTACAGTCCCCAGGATTATTGAGGGGGAAGCAAAGATGGTTTAAAGTGGTGTGGCATTGCTTCAAATGTACAGAGCAGATGGAGCCAAAGAGAGCTTGGAGTTATGGTGAGTAATTAATTGAATATATGAGATGAGCCAGAGGAATAAAAATCCATTAGGAGGCATCAGACCAGGATAGGCAACCTTTTTTTTTTCCCCTGCTGAGACCACAGATAGCCTTTGGAGTAATCTTTGGGACCTAGACTGCTTCATTGGGCAGGGTTGGAGCCACAGGTGGGTGGGGGTCACCACAACCCAACTCTGCTACCTCCATTGCTTCCATTTCCCCCTTTTTGTCACTAGGGATGGGGGGAGAAATTCAATTCAGTTCACATTTACAGGAGAACACATCGGATTTGCAGTCTCTGAGACACAGCAATCCTAGGGTAAAGCCTATATTTGTGAAAACAGCATACAAAAATGTGTTATATTAGGGGAAACTGCTTTGCAAAATTGTGTATGTTATGCAACATTGCATACAAACAAGGGTATGTTGGAAGAAATTAGTACTAAGCACAAGTTAAGAGCAAAAGAATTTAAAATGTTCTCAGGAGGTTGGCTGGCACTCTACAGAGGAGCACAAGCTATTCACCACACACCTGTTCCAGCAAAGAGAATGCCGGTTTGCAGGCAGGCTACCTTTTGGAGTCAGTGAATATGTGTGTGTGTGTGTGTGTGTGTGTGTGTGTGTACCAGCTAAGAAGAGGCAGAAATTAGTTGCATAATGTTTTGCTTGGCTTTTCACCAAATCCTTGCCTTCGTGCCACAGGGCTTGACACCAGTTGATTCAGTTTACCACTTGGGAAGCAGTCCAGGTGGAAGAAGAGGGGCAAGGAGGTGTTTGTTCTCTTTCAGTTACTTGGGGTAATTGGATAAAGAACTGTGAGGCTCAGTGATGAAATTCAGGGTGTGCTCTGGCAGGCCTGGACTATCCAGTTACTTTACCCAGGAACCATTGTCTTGTGGTTTCAGTATTTAACAGTTAAGTACTGGAAGCTGCAAGATAGCTAAATTCCAACCATTTGCTTTGAAGTTAGGTTATCTTTAGGTCAACAGAAACAGGAGGAACGTTCAGAACATAAACTTTCAGCTTATTGCGTACAGTGGTACCTTGGGTTACATACGCTTCAAGTTACATACGCTTCAGGTTACAGACTCCGCTAACCCAGAAATAGTACCTCGGGTTAAGAACTTTGCTTCATGGACTTCCGGGGTGGCGCCATCGGTAATGGCGGACTCCCTCTGATTCGGAGGGACTAGCTCCGCGGAAAACGGGTCTTCCCGCTACGGCGAAGCGGGGACCCTTTGAAAAATAACAGGCGGATGAAGCCTGTGACCATGGGACTCAGCGGGCACCTTTCGCGCCCCCCCAACTCGTAAAGGAACCCCGTTACGGGCTCCGGAGCAAAGAGGGGCAAGTGGCGCGGTGCTGAGAGTCAACTGCTTCTTCCGTGGAGCGAAGCCGCACAGCCGTTGCCGGAGAGCGCTGCCTTTTTCCTGGGACAATTTGGCTTTTAAAACAATTACCCGTGAGTAACTTAATTTCGGACAATTGGACTTTAAATAACGACCTGTGAGTAGAAAGGAAAATTGGACTACGAAATTCTTCTCAATTTGGCACTGAAACGGGAAGGTCTAAACAGGAAGTCAGCCTTCCGTTTCTTGTAGATAGATTAAAGCAAAGACATAGTAAACTAGAGTTCAGAAAATCATTTGTAAAGGATTAACTTTCATCATTTAAAATTGTTGAACCCCCTTCGGAAGCAGGAGAAGAGGGGGGATTTTTTCTGGACTGTTTAAACCTGCAGAAGAGAGTGTAAAGAAAAGTAATTTTCCACCGTCTTAAACCTGGTAGCTGGGTGTCAGGACTGACGTTGTTGGGGAAGCTCATTGACCGTAGACAAACGTCTTTGACAGATAGTTAAAAGAAGAGAAACATAGTGATTCCATTGTTCTCCTTCGCATTTTAAAGGAACAAATATTGACAAAATATCTGAAAAAGGAAACTTTGTTGTTAGATCTGCCTTTAAAAGAAAAGAACAAATAGAAGTTCTTTCCCTAGAGGGAGCCTGTGAAACTGTTACTAAATCTGAATTGGGGAGCTCTGCAGCTGTAACAGATTACGATCGTGGGAACAGACTTCTGACCTTGCAGAACAATGTATTCAGAAGCTCTGGTGCGTGCTTTCTGTAAAACAAGTGCCCTATTGGAACAGCTACATGAGAAGACGGACTTGATGACTGTTGCGATCGGAAATTTTGGACAGGTAGTGGGTAACTATATAGAGCCCACCCAGGAATCAAATCAGGAGTGTGCTCTGACAGATCAGATGAGGGAAGAAGATGTTGCTGAACCTCGGGTGCCAGAGATGGAGGGAGTTGTGGCCCAGCAGGAACATGAGTTGTTGGATCTGATAAATGAACTTGGAAAAACTCAGATTTGGAGAGATAGAGTTTTGTTTGGTTTGGAAATGGGGGGTTGGATAGACCCCCCTATGCAGGGATGTTTTGACTTTCCAAGTCTGGCAATGGGCCGCGAGATGTTTGGGGTTGTGGGGGCTCTTAATTCTGGAGGGACTTTGAAACATGTTTTTAAATACCACATGGAGTTTAGTGTGGACTATGGAAAAGGGGCTGATTTGTCGAGAAGGGTCAAAAACACTGTCAAGCTGGAGTTCCCACGAGTGAAAGGAGCAGGAGACAAAGTAAAGTACAGGTATAAATATGAAGAAGAGCCGTGGAAGGGACATGGAAGAGACTTAAGGGCCTCGGACATAAGATTACCAGGTTAATGCGCCAGATTGATGGGATAGAAAGGACTGACAAAACCCGGGACCAGGAGGAAGAGACGCTGGATGAAGATTGGAAGAAAATTTGAATTTTTTTTTTATTAGGATTGCTTTATAAAATTGATGAATGTTAGAAAAATGTTGGAATGAAATTATTTGGCTTTAGCAAAAATGTTAAAAGAATTATGTAAGAATATGTTATGGTTATGAGAAATTGGTATAAATAAGATGTAAGTTTTAAGTTTTAGGGTTTTTTATAGTAAGATAAGGTTAAAATAGACTAAGGTAATGTAATGACAGAATATTATGAAAAATGGAAAGGATTTGCTGTGATAATTAACAACTAGGATACAAAAAAAGGGAGGAGTGAGGAGGCAATGAAAGAAGGCAATGACAGTTAAGGATTTGAGAATATTGGATTTGTTTTTAAATTTTTGTGGCTTACTTTTGCTTTTTGATTGTACTCTGTTACGTGTTTTGTTGTTATTTTTTTATTTTAATTTTTATCAATTTGTATTGCTTGATTGTGGTTTGTTTTTCTCTTGTTTTTTCTCTTTCTTTTTTCTTTTTTGTTTTTCCTGTAATTTTAAAATTCTTAATAAAGATCATTAAAAAAAAAAAAAGAACTTTGCTTCAGGATGAGAACAGAAATCTTGCTCTGGCGGCGTGGCAACGGCGGGAGGCCCCATTAGCTAAAGTGGTGCTTCAGGTTAAGAACAGTTTCAGGTTAAGAACAGACTTCCGGAACGAATTAAGTACGTAACCAGAGGTACCACTGTATTTCACTGTAATGAACGCAATAGACACAACACAGTTAAATAAATTACAGCAGGCTCCAGAACATAGGCCTACCTCTGACTTCAGCTTTTTGGCACTGAATTTGCCATGCCACCACAATGAGCACTTCTCCTCATAATGCAACAAAAACCTCTGAATAACGTGCTGGTGTTTCTGTTGCTCCAAGGATTCTTCTCACATTTCCACTCTCAGTGGCCAGCAGTGAACAGAGATTCTCAAAGCTCAAACTTATACAGTATTAAAAACATTCTCTTGCAACAATGTTGCTGCAAAATGAGACTAGTTGGTCTGGCACTTGACCTGAAGGAATGGGTGACAAAATTTGCAAAAGGAAAAGGCAGGCAGAGTGAGATTTTGGTGTGCCCGAAATTGAGACTTAACATTTACACCCAATTTCTTATTGATAAGAAATACATTGGGAAACAAACAAAAAACAAAAAAACCCATATAGCGGTGCTTGAGTTATAACACAGAACACAACTTCTTTATAATATGGTCATGGGGGCAGCCAGAAGGCATAAAGCAATGCAGAACGGCCTTCAAGTGTCGGGTTTCAACTTGCAAGGCTTAATCAGTATTTTTTTCGCGCTCCCCTGACGCGAGCAGCAGGACGGCCTCGGCGGAGGCGGAGAATTGGGAAAGAAAGAGCCGCCCTTCAAAACCAAACTCTTTGAAGCCGAAGGCGCCTTTTGCGCAACTTGGGAGCGCTCCGCCTACGCTAAGGAAAGCGCCCGCCTTGCGGGGCGTCGTTCTAAGCCCCAGCCGAGCGGCGCATACTAAACGCTTACGAGAATAGCCGCAGCTGGTGCCGGTTGCGTAAGGGGGAGGGCCCGGCCTTCGGACTTTAGTCGTCCTGAGGGGAAAGTGAAAGGAAGCCGCAGCTCCAGCCTCTTCCGCTGCTGCCGAGACTGACGGAGAGTCCCTTCCTCGATTACCGCCGCTGCCGCCGCTGCGTGATGGCTGCTACCAGGACCACCGCTCTTCTCCGGGCTGCGGCCTCCTCCGGCTGCCGGCTTCTCTCGGCCTCCCGCGGGGTCAGAGGCGGCTGGGCTGCCGCTGCCAGCCTGGGCCCGTCGCGGCTGTTCCACGCCTCGGCCCGGGCGCCGCTCAGGTAAGCGGGAAGCCTGTGCTTGGCCGCCCTCGCTCGGCTTCAGCCTCTCGGTTCAAGAGCGGAGGGGAGGCTGCCTCTCGTGAGGGGGGCCTGGGAGTGGGGACACACACTCTCTCTCTCTCTCTCTAACACACACACACACAGCTCCCCCTGTCTGTATAGAACAGCCTTTCTCAACCTGTGGGTCTCCAGATGTTGTTGGACTACAACTCCCATCACCCCTAGCTAGCAAGGCCAGAGCCCAGGGATGATGGGAGTATAAAGGTAAAGGGACCCTGACCATTTTGGTCCAGTCATGACCGACTCTGGGGTTGCGGCGCTCATCTCACTTTATTGGCCGAGGGAGCCGGCGTACAGCTTCCGGGTCTGTTGACTATAATATCACTATATTGTTGACTATAATATCACTATATAAAGTTGGATTATTTATTCTAGGCCAGCTCACCGCAATGCAGAAACAGGCAGCTGTTTGATCCTGAAACCTTGGCATTATCAGCTGAGCTTATCCAAGAGCAAAGCCTTGCACACCCTCTGTCTCTCATGCTCTCTCGCCTCCCCCCTCCCATTCTTAACACACACACCGCTTCTCTCGCACACTGTCAATTTAATAATAATAATTTTATTATTTGTACCCTGACCATTTGGTTGGGTTGCCCCGGCCACTCTGGGTGGCTCCCAACAGAATATTTAAAGGTAAAGGGACCCCTGACCATTAGGTCCAGTCGTGACCGTCTCTGGGGTTGTGGCGCTCATTTCGCTTTACTGGCCGAGGGAGCCGGCGTACAGCTTCCGGGTCATGTGGCCAGCATGATGAAGCCACTTCTGGCGAGCCAGAGCAGCACACGGAAACGCTGTTTACCTTCCTGCCAGAGCGGTATCTATTTATCTACTTGCACTTTGACGTGCTTTCAAACTGCTAGGTTGGCAGGAGCTGGGACCAAGCAATGGGAGCTCACCCCGTCGCGGGGATTCGGACCTCCAATCTTCTGATTGGCAAGTCCTAGGCTCTGTGGTTTAATCCACAGTGCCACCTTCTATCACAGGTACAAACACTCAGATCTGCATGACTGTTTGGACAGGGAACATAGTCAGTGAGATCAAATCACTGTGTATGGGATTTCTTCAATAAGCACACAGTTGTGACGTTTAAGGCAACTTTAGCAAATTATATAGGCTTATATAGAGTCGATCCCTTGCCTTAGCTTTACACAAGCATAGAAATTAAGTCAATTTCTCAGAGGAATAGCATGCTTGCATTGTGAACTGGATGACTGATTCAGCAAGAAGTTCAGGGTCCCTACTTCCTATCAAACCAGCTCAAGGCTGAACTTTTACTGCACAAAGATCCTTGACACATTCTTGATATACGTAAGCAATTATCCTACTTTCACGCACTCTCTTACAGTTTTTACATCTCTTCACATGTAGGCTATCTCTCAAAGATAGCCACACACTGCCCCTCAAGCCTAGGCTGGTACATACAGTGCTGTCTAGAGCAGGCATCCCCAACCTGCGGCCCTCCAGATGTTTTGGCCTACAACTCCCATGATTCCTAGCGAACAGGACCAGTGGTCAGGGATGATGGGAATTGTAGTCCAAAACATCTGGAGGGCCAAAGGTTGGGGATGCCTGGTCTTAGAGGACACATTTGGGAGAGGTAAATCCCTTCTTTAACCACCATTTGGTGATGCAAGATAGGCTGGCATAATCTTCTACAAGAAAGCTGACTATAATCAACCCCTTGTGTAATATACCGTATTTTTTGCACCATAACGCTCACTTTTTTCCTCCTAGAAAGTAAGGGGAAATGTCTGTGCGTGTTATGGAGCGAATGCACGTGGGTGGTGGTGGGGATCTGCTGCAGTTGTGAGCAGAGGATCCATGGTTCCCCTTCCTTCCCTCCTCCGTGGTTACAAAGCATGGATCCACATGGATCCTCAGGATTTTTGCATTGGGCTACTCCAAACTCACTGTCAGATCACATGTCTGTGGCCACAGCATGAACCACAAAAATCATATATCCACTATTTCGTTTAGAATATTTTTTTTCTTGTTTTCCTCCTCTAAAAACTACGTGCGTGTTATGGTCTGGTGCATGTTATAGAGCGAAAAATACGGTATTTACAGTTGACTGAGATGCTTGTCTGAACCTGGGATGGTGTGGGCTTTAGGTACAGTGGTACCTCGCAAGACGAATGCCTCTCAAGACGAAAAACTCGCAAGACGAAAGAGTTTTTCGTTTTTTGAGTGCTTTGCGAGACGAATTTCCCTATGGGCTTGCTTCGCAAGACGGAAACATCTTGCAAGTTTGTTTCCTTTTTCTTAAAACCGTTACAGTAATACAGGGTGCATTGCTTGAAGAGGTGCAGTTGCGACTTGACTTCGGGGAGCAACTCATAGCACGCGGTGTGGTAGCCTTTTTTGAGGTTTTTGAAGATTTTTTTGAAAAAATTGAAACCGTGCTTCGCAAGACGAAAAAACTCGCAGAACGAATTAATTTTGTCTTGTGAGGCACCACTGTAAATGGTATGTCATAGTTGCTGCTTCTCCAGGCATGTTAAAATTGTTGCATGTCCTTTTGAAGGGTGGTCTTCACTCCTGCTTCGCTGCCTGCTTCCTTTCCAAACCATATTACAATTTTGGCACAGTGAGCAGGGTTACAGAAGAAGATGCTTTTGAAAGAGAGAATCCAGAGATGGTGAAAAGTGAGGCTAGAAAGAGATTCTCCAACATGATAGGCTTGTGAACTATGACAGTGCCCCATCACATGTCCCTTGTCATGTTATGCTACTGCTTGCTCCTCAGGTCTTGTAGGTTAGAGACAAAACTGCAAGAGATGCTGTTGTGTATGTACAGTACAATATGTGCTGTAGTGTCTACTAGAGTGGTATTCCCCCATAACATGGATTTGACTTGTGGCATCACAGTCTTGCTTTTATACATCTTTGAATTGCAGAAGCGGCTTAGTCATGCTGGCCACATGACTCGGAAGCTGTACACCGGCTCCCTCAGCCAATAAAGTGAGTTGAGTGCCGCAACCCCAGAGTCATCCACGACTGGACCTAATGGTCAGGGGTCCCTTTACCTTTACAATCACATATTATGGGGGGGGGGGGTTCCAAAGGTTCTGTGAATACGAAAAAAAGAATATACTCAGACCCTTGAAACCACCCCCGTTTGAGCATCTCTGGGCTTCCAGAGCCAAATGCTGTCACAGTATCTCATGGAGCTGTCGAAGTTCCTGCTCATGTTCCAGTATCTCATGGAAGCATCCCAGGCCTGATGCATGGAGACGGCCTTGCTTCCCCAGCAAGGCAGAGAGTTTAAAAACACTTTTGATCCAAGTCTTCCTTTGTCTTGCTTGCATTTAACTTTCAACCACATACAGTTGAAATTGTGCAAGTTAAATGTGCATAATATGTAATTGGACTGTATTTACCATTGTATTTCAAATGTACATGTATGTGCATATACTCTGCAATATGTTGTTACTATTCATGTTCTCCTTTAAAACCCTCTGGCTGTAACTTAGTGAGTTGATAATTTTGTGAATGGAAGTGACAGTTCAAGTCGGAGATCCTGCATTCAAATAAACAGAAACTCCCTGATTCTACAGTGAGAGCATATTTTTTATCTCTCAGGGTCGGGGGGCAGGTGTTTGGCCCAGATCTAGGTGACAGGTCAGTTGCACTCCTTCTAAAGCAGCAAGTATTAAGTTTGGGCATATTCCTGGAACCATATTTGTTACCTGAGGCACAAGTAGCCAGGTTCAGATTTCTTGTGCTAATGTATAAAGCCCTGAGCAACATAGACCCAGGATACCTTAAGGACTACCTAATCCTATGTGTCCCAGGTTGATTAGTGAGATCATATATGGGAGCACAAAAGCACAACTCATGTCAATGAGGACTCGTGCCTTCAGTGTAGTGGACTTAACACTATGGACTCACTCCCATTAGAAGTCAGACAGGCACTGTCCCTGCCAAGTATCAGACATCAGGAGAATATGATTTTATTTCGGGGGGGGGCCTTTGTACTTTGATTTATGTGCTGATGTTTTATTCTTCAGTGTTTTCATTTATGTTTTAAATTTTGCATATTTTTTATTTTTGATAAGCTACTTTGAGACCCAGATGAGATGAAAAGCAGGGTATACTTTTTAAAAATGAATAAATGTTCAGATAAACATAGGATATTCCTATAACAGTTGTCTACTTCTTTTAGGGGGTACGGAGGGGGGAAATGCATGAATTTCAAGTCAGCTCTGATCTTGCTGTAGATAGAATTCCACATACAAAGCAAAGAGACCTTGGAGTGTTTGTGTGTAGAAATTTATCATCTTTAAACGCTGTTGTTTTAAGCTTTGTAAAAATTGTGACGTTAACTAACCATAAAATTAGCACATACTTGACTGAATTTTGCAGATAAACAAGGTCACTCTTTCATTCTTGATTATGTCTCATGGCATGCATCCTTGTTCCTGAGAACAGCTTGTGACTGTCTTCTGGAGTGGGGAGAGGGAATGAGGGGATATTTGACAAGAATTGAAAATGGCATCATAATATTGAATGTGGCATCATCATAAATCATGCCACACAATGCTGAATAATTTTATAGGGGATACCACCATGCTTAATTTAAAATAACTTTTTGTCCTTTTAGTACAAAATAGAATTTTGTACCTGACCTATTTGGTGATAGTAGGTCAGGTCAGAAATCTTAAGTAAAATTAAGAGGCCAGTCACTTGAACTCTAAAAGCAAAATTATCTTTATAATTTTACGGAGCTTACACCATCCTTGTTGGGATGTTTGGAGGAGTTCATTTCCTTATGTTTTTCTTTTGTCTTGTTTTACTAAAGTGTTTTTGTGCTAATGCAAACTTTGAGGTTCCCCCAAGGTTCTGGAAGGTTCTAGAAGGATCAGCATTCCAAGAAAGAGTTTACTGCTTTATGGGATCAGTCCTTGAATTTGCTTGTCTTAGTCATCCCTCCCCATTCCTTTTCTCTCTCATATTGTATCTTAGATATTATTTCCTTGCACACCGGTGCTTTGATTCTCCCTCTATGTGAGGCAGCAAACAAGCATACAAACATTTAAATCTTTGGAGTGTGGAAAGATGTTCACTTTGATGCACAACCTTGTATCACTTCTAAGAATTCACATGAGGGAAACTACAGTATATACATTTTTGGAGTGAGGAAAAAGATTTAGTCTAGGGATAAACAGTATTAAAGACCATACAGGAGAGAAATCATATGCATGCTTGGATTGTGGCAATGAGCTTTTATGATAAATCAATCCTTAAAGAAATTGGAGAACTCTTTCAACAGGTAAACCTAAATGATTGGAACATGGAAAGCTCAATTTCCCCCAAAGAAAGAAAGCTCTATATCTACTGAAAAGCACAAGCTTTTCTGTGAAATCCTGATCCACATTGAATAATCCATAGAGAAAAGAATCCTGTGAATTACAGAAATACCAGTACTTGAGCTGTGAGGGAAAGCTTCAGACAATGCATAGCATTAAATCTTCCTGTTAAACAACTCACAATGATCAGAGCTGAGCTCTTTCTGACCTATCACCTATTCCTAGCCAACAGAAAACATACACATAGTAAAAACTGCGAATTTTCAGACTGTGACAAAAGAAAAGCGTGGTTGCTTGTGACAAATAAGACTCCTTCCAGCAGCCAAATAAGTCCCCATAACAAAGGAGTACCGTATATCTCATGCTTACAGCTACTACTACAGAGGCTGAAAGCATTGCAAGCAAGTGATCTGATAGAAACTGTTTCTTATAAGTGTTTGAACTAGTTCTGAAGACCTTTTCTGCGTGCCACCCGGGAAGGAGGTCTGGAGGGTGGTGACAAGAGAGCAGACCTTTTATGTAATAGCTCACCATCCATCAAATGCTCTCCTTAGGGAGGGCTACATGGCACCAACATCATCTCAACCTATTTTTTATTAATATTTTTCTGTGGTATCTTTATTCTGTTATATTGCTAGGCATTCTTCTCACTTTTCTAACTGGGAAGAAGCTCTAGGTCAATGTTAGAGACTGAGATATGAAAACTAGTAGCTAAATAGCAGCTTAAACCTAGCTTATGAGCACTGCAACAGAATGTCTAGGTGTGCTTTTTTATAACAATACAAAGGTGAAAATGAATTAGCTGCAGCTAAAATCTTATATTCATTTTTCACATGGTCTAATCTTCATTTGAAGACTGCAAAAAACTGCTCATTTGAAGACTGCAAAGCCATACTTCCCCAGCCCACCCCCTAATATTCTTATGAGGGTCCCTTCTCCAGTCCTCAGAGAACGGCTAGAAGTGGGGAGGCAGAAAAAGGTCCTTTCGTTCCAGCAGCAGCAGTTTTAATCTGAAATCTTAGGCACAGTACGTCTCCCAGAGCTCAGAAACTGCTTGTATTAATGAAATTCCCTGTCACAAAATGCGCCTAGAACTATGGGAGTTTTGAACGGTGCTCCAGGTGTGCTGTGCTCTGTTTTGTGTTGATTAGCTTCTGTAAGATTCCTTTTCCTTTTCCACTCTGTTTTAAAAGCAAGTTGTGATATTATGATGGCACTGTTTTGATTGCATTTTATTGTTTGATTATAATGTTTGTTATATTTTTAATCTCTAAAACCAGCTAGAGAACTTTGGTTATAATGCAGTTTATCAACTGTATACCAAAGATGAAAAGCTGCAAAGCACAGTTTCACTTAAATCCATGGTTAACTACTGTTAATTTAATGGCTTCCAATCAAACAAAAGTTCTGGAAACCAACTTTTAAACCACTTTTGTATTATTTTTTGTTTGGAAGCTCTTAACATAGCTTCTTTGTTTGGACATAACTAGGAAGCAGTGGGTATCTTTTAAGGTGACCCGGAAACTACAACCAATCCAGAATGCGGCAGCTAGACTGGTGACTGGGAGCGGCCGCTGAGACTACGTAACACTGGTCTTGAAAGATCTACATTGGCTCCCAGTACATTTCTAAGCACTGTTCAAAGTGTTGGTGCTGACCTTTAAAGCCCTAAACAGCCTTGGTCCAGCATACCGTATTTTTCGCTCTATAAGACGCACCCGACCGTAAGACACACCCAGTTTTTAGAGGAGGAAAACAAGAAACAAGAAAGCAACGCAAAGCCTCTTGAGCGAAGAGGCAGGAGCGCTCTGGCTGCACTCAAGAGGCTTTGCGTGGCTATTGCTGAAGCCAGAAGAGCAAGAGGGATCGGTGTGCACCGATCCCTCTAGCACTTCTGGTTTCAGCGAAAGCTGTGCAGCCTACATTTGATCCATAAGACGCACACACATTTCCCCTTACTTTTTAGGAGGGGAAAAGTGGGTCTTATAGAGCGAAAAATACAGTACCTGAAGGAGCGTCTCCACCCACATTGTTCTGTCCAGACACTGAGGTCCAGTGCCGAGGGCCATCTGGCAGTTCCCTCACTGCAAGAAGCTAAGTTACAGGGAACCAGGCAGAGGGCCTTCTCGGTAGTGGCACCTGCCCTGTGGAACGCCCTCCCACCAGATGTCAAAGAGAAAAACAACTACCAGACTTTTAGAAGACATCTGAAGGCAGCCCTATTTAGGGAAGCTTTTAATGTTTAACAGACTATTGTATTTTAATATTTTGTTGGAAGCTGCCCCAAGTGGCTGGGGAAACCTAGCCAGATGGGCGGGGTATAAATTATTATTATTAATAATAATAATTTCTGCAGCTTTCTTGCTAATTTTGCTGCTCATGTACAGTGGCAGTATGCAGGTAGCTGGAGCTCATCCATACCTTGGCTTATTAAGCAGAGAACATTCTCCACTTTAAAGGGATCACAATAAGAGGTTGCATTCAATAATTCTGATAGCAATGACTACTAACGAAACTGAGCAATTACAATAAAAATCTCAACTTGAGAGAACTAAAAAATGTTTTTGGATATGTTTAAGTACACTAAATATATTTATAGCTACATTAAAGGATTGCAGTAAAAGATCTATATTTATCAAAAGTGTTCTAATCTTCAACCGATTTTCTCCTCAAAGTGGCCCACAAATATTCACAAATTGTTGTTGGGTTGCTTAACTAATATCCTTAGGCATCTGAGGAAACCAGTGTGGCTGCATAAGGAGTTTACAGGTTAGATGAGAGTTAAGAAGGGCATGTATAGAAGTGGAAGAAAGAGGAAATCACAAGGGTGGAGTATACATGAGTAGGCAACAGTTGCAAGGTGAAGGTCAGACTGGCTAAAGCTCAGCATCAGCTCATGCTTGCAAGAGGGGTTAAAAATAATTTTAAAAGGTTTCTTTGGCTATGTCCAAAGTAAGAGGAAGAACAAGAAAGTGCTAGGTCCTTTGCATTGAGAAGACGTAGAAATGCTATTGGGTGACGGAGAGAAGGCAGAACTACTCAACACCTGCTTTGTCTCTGTCTTCACACAAAAGGAAAGCGATGCTCAACCTGGTGATTAGAGAATAAATGATGTAAGGAGGGAGCTGCAGTCAATGGCTTCAAGTTACAAGAAAGGAGATTCCGACTAAACATCAGGAAAAACTTTCTGATATTAAGAGTTGTTTGGCAGAGGAACAATTTCCCTTGGGAGGTTGTGGACTCTTCTTCCTTAGAGGTTTTTAAGCAGAGGTTAGGTGACCATCTGTCATGGATGCTTTAGCTGAGATTCCTGCATTGCAGGGGCTTGTTCTAGATGATCCTTGGGGTCCCTTCCATGATTCTGTGATCCTTTTGAATCCTTCACACTACTATAGGTAAAGGCTGCTAAAGATAGTTGTTTCTTTATTTTTATTTTTCAGCTCAGAAGATAAAGTTACTGTGCACTTTATAAATCGTGATGGTGATAAGCTAACAGCCCAAGGGAAGGTTGGAGACTCTCTTCTAGATGTTGTGATTGATAACAACCTAGATATAGATGGATTTGGTAAGTACTTCCCTGTAACTAGAGAATACGAGTTCATAGGGGAAGGAAATATTGTTTTACTTTGTTTGACTAGTTGGATCTAGTCTTGGATGCTTTCTTCTAGGTCCTACTGATCTGAATGGGCGAGATGAGTTTTTACTAGAGAGCTCCAAAGCCAGTGAATTTTAACCAAAATAGTGCATTCTGAAACAGGCATGAGTTTCATTTGACATTGGTCTCTGAGTAAATGGTAGCTTTCCCTGAAGAAATTGTCTTTTCCCAAAAATTCAGTTGGTTTAATTTTATTCTGCAGTACAGTGCATTTTGCAAGAGATTTCCAAATTTAATGGGTTGCCTCATAACTATAAGGTGACTGTATTTCATTATTCAGGATATGTTTCCAATTTCTCTGGTTGAAATCATGCAAGTTAAATGTGCGTAAGATGCGCCCATACTATACTGTTTGACATGCCAATATATGAAATTTTCAGTTATCTATCGTAACAACCAATATCTAGAAAGTTAGGAAAAAGTTAGTTTTCCTGTTGGAAATTCTCACTGACTATTGTAAATGGTTACCAGTTAGTGTTAAAATGCCTACAAATGATTTTTCTGATTTTTAAAATATTTTTGAAAATTGTGTCTTTAATTTTGTCACTAGGGGGCATTGCAGATTTAGATAGCTTACTGCTCCTGAAAGACTTAAACATATTTGCCTGCTTCATGCAGATCTTCCCTCCTTTAGCATAATGCTCTGTTGCTCTTAAGATGGTGTTTACAACCACAATTTTATATTTAATTATTTTGGCTTTATTTCTGTTGCCGATTTTTATCTGATCCGTATTTCACAGAAACTATCCTAATATTTGGTTATTAATACTTGTTGCTGTTCATGTTTCCTAAAATATCTTTAACAAGGAGAAAGAAAGCCAGGGTTCTGCAACCCCTCTGTGGTTGATGAACTTTTTTTATGTTAGAAGTTTAAGGAACACCTTACGTTCATTTTAAAGAAAAACAATCCTTCTAATTGCAAAACTCAGCTGGTAAGCACCAATATAATTGTAGCCAAAACAGGACCACTATGAAACACCCCCCACAACCCCCCTCCACACAATGAGAACAGAGTGGTTAGTGGCTAACAGAATGCAAATTGTTGGGTGGGACAAGAGGGAGGGAGGCACTCCAAGCTGTAACATTTTGCATTCGGTCCCACTTGTCAAGTTTAAGACACATATTGCCCTCCACTTGAATAGTAAATATATACCCAGTTTCTTTAAGATATGATGATATGATACCAAAGGGCAGGGGAAAGTACAGCAGTGAAGACTGCAAAGGAAATAGGCCTGCTTTGCATTCTGTCTTTGCTTCTGAAAGATTTGCAAAGTTGGCCAAAGGTTCTCCAATTCCTTTCAGTATTTCAGCTTCAGTATTATCTTATGCACAGTTCGTTAAGTCTGCTGAAACTAGTATAAGAATTAGTTTACAGTGTTTTCATTTTTTCCTAAAATTTTAAATGTAACAAATGCTGTTTAACTGTCCAGTCTTAATTTTTTTTGCAAACATTCCTATAAAAATAATTTTAAGCTTGGGATTTGTTTTAATTCAACATTTAAACCACACCTAGCGTGATAAAACATTGCTACTCAGATACTTTTAGATAATGGAGAAGGTTTTGAGATAATTTAACATGGCATACGTGTTTAGTGTTTGTTAAATATTAGTACAATTGGCTAAATCAATTTAAATCATTTTTTAAAACTTCCAGAACATTTTCCAGTTTAAGTGTTCTGGGAAAGTCATCTTACCAACAGTAGAATTTAATGCAGAAGTCTTAAATGTCTGCCTACTAGTCTGCCTAATTATTACGTTTGTCTTTAGGTGCATGTGAAGGAACACTTGCCTGCTCCACTTGCCACTTAATCTTTGAAGACAATATATTTAAAAACCTAGATGCAATCACTGATGAGGAAATGGATATGCTGGACCTTGCCTATGGATTGACAGACAGGTAAGGTGAAACCAGCTTAAAATCTACCAAATGATCTTATAGTATCACTCCAGAACTGACATACCTAGTAGGTCATACTAAGTATATGAACCCCGCAAATAGTGGCTTATCATAACTTCGATTTATTGGAAACAAGACAATTTCAAACTATGGATTATGAAGCTGGCTTGTTTCAACAAACCTTAGTTGATACTAACCACATTTTAGGACTAAACAGTAGTTAATAAAAAATGGAAGCAAAAGTTTCTGATGTACTCACTGCCTTGCCAGGGAAGGAAAGAAATGCATGGCTAGAAAGCTTCCTATGACACATTCCCTTTGTGATGTTAATCATGATACCCCAAAGTAAAAGTAGCCATGCATCCTCTGGGTTACTCTTTACTTTATCAATCTATGATGCAGGCTCCTGACTGTAAGATTGGCTCTGGCTCTAAAGCTTCTTTGACTTCTTCTAAAATTTGGACTCAACTATTCAAAACAATGAAAGAGCCCAAAGCAAATCCATACTCTTGAGTTTCTTTACATTTTTGAATGCAGGTTTTCACTATCAGCCAAAAACATTTCCCTTGTCAGTTTCTCTTAGTGTGACTTGACAAGCAGACATTTTTGGCAGATAGTCTGCTCTTGTGGTGTTCCATACCTCTTAATTTGGTAAACCAACCAACCAACCAACCAACCAACCAACCAACCCAGAAGCTCAGTAATTGATGCAGTCTTAGACTAACAGTTTCGGGAATGGAAATGTTCCCTCAGCCTTAGGTATAAAATGTTAGTAATGGTGGCCTACCGTACAGGGTTGTTATAAGAATTACAACAAGCAAATGTATGTGAATTTAAGCCTTTTCTTCCTGGATTTCTGTCCTTGTACATATCATATTTAATGGGTTGTATCCAGTACTAATCCTACTTGGAGGAGACCCATTGAAAACAATGGACATAACTAATTTGGGTCCATCAATTTCAGCAGGAGTACTCAGAGTAAAACGTCGTTGGATACAACCCATTGAATTTACCTCCTCCCCTCCCCCAAAGATTGCCACATCCATGCATTTATACAAGTTTATGTAAATGCTCTTTTCTCCTCTGTAGATCTCGACTGGGTTGTCAGATCTGCCTGAAGAAGTCTATGAACAATATGACTGTTCGAGTGCCTGATGCTGTGGCTGATGCCCGCCAGTCCATGGATATGAGCAATAACTCTTTAAAATAAGGCCTTCAGGGTATTTTTTGGGACATAAAATATTTTTATAACTTATTTCTAAATGTTTTAATGGAATGAGAGAATACACACAAATATGCATTTTTTGATTATAAAGATTAGATTGTAAAGATTAACTTTATCTGCTAGCCTTAGAGTTTTTGAATCTAAAATTAGAGACCGCTTAGAAAGACTATGTTAGACACACAGGCTACAGTCCAATACTCACTAGTCTAGGAGCAAGTTCCATTTAATTCAGTGTGACCTCTACACAGTGTAGCTGCTTCACAAACATGTCAGAGGATTTCACCAACTGTGCCGTTTTGTTCCTAGAGGAATGCTTCCTTTTTATTAGCATTTACTGCTAATAATTCTCCCCTCTTTGTGGGGGAGAATTCCATAAATGGGTGTCGCTAATGAGAAGTCCCTCATCCCCAGTTGTCTTCTGACTGCGGGATCACCCAAATGAGGGCTTTGGCATACGGGCAGACATTCCTTCCGGATTTCTGGCCCCGTAACCTGTTTATTATTTCTTCTAGAATAGCATATTACATGAAATAACACATCTTATAAGAACACATTTACCAAGGTAATTTCCAGTATGCACTGGGGCATAAAAGAACGAATCAAGAAATGAAATAAGCCAAGGGAGATGATAATAATTACTGTCTTCCTCCACTGGTCCATGAGGACTGTACAGTTGCATAATGAAAAAGAGCCACATTTATCCTGCTCTGCCCTTGTCCCTTTTAAGGCATCTTGTACTCCAGTGGCACAGAATAAATGCATAAACAATACGACTTAAAATGCTCCAGAGTTGGTGTTTTTGTTGCAGAGAAGATTTTCATGCACATGTTGGTTTTTCCAACATGAGCCACAATGGTTTACACAGAAACATTATACTCTGCATTCTGTAGGATGAAATCTTTTATCCTAAAGCAACTTGCCACAATATCAAGTGAATGTGATTGTGAAGTGGCAAACACAGTAAGATTTAGATTGGTAAAGAGCATTTCTGTGGTGGCATTTCAATGCAAAGTTTACCTGTGCTTCCTTTGAAAATAAAATGTTTCTTGAATTAATCCTAGGTAGCTAGGCAGAAAGAGACCAGTGTTTCTTTCCAGTCCTGTAATTATCCTGTAAATGTTAGTGATGGACTACTCGGAGATGTATGTATTTCTCAGTTTTAATAAGCTGAAAATAAATTCTTTTTCTATTATTGCTTTTGTAATTAGGAAGTGTCTTTCATTTTTAGGTTTAATTAGCAAATGTGTTAAGCAGTGAAAGCGGAGCCAAATTTCTTTGAGAATAACAGTGCAGTCCTATACATCTCTACTGAGAAGTACCGTAAGTCCCATTGAAGTAAGTTCCAATTGGAAATTCACAGTTGCACATAATTTTGGCCTGAAATTCCAATTTCAAAATTCATTTGATCCTCAGAGCCTGAAGCATATTAATATACACTTGCATTATTTGTTACCTAAGTCCTACACACTTCTGGTGTTTTGCCTGTGGTAACATAGTCTCGTTTAATGTTGTCTGGGCATAAGAGTTGATATGCCCACATCTAAAGCTATGTAAACCTAATGGAGGGACAACTCCATCCCTTACTTATGGCAAACTCTTGGCCATGTGGGTTCTGTCTTAAGAGAAATTTAAGCATGTCTAAAATAGTATGTGCACTGTTACTATATTACAATGCTGGGAAAGCATTTGATTTCCACAGTACCACTACATGCTTGAATATCTGTATTCTTCCCCATCCACCCCAAAACAGGTGATATTGTTTATTTGAAGTGGGATGTCTGCAGGCCTAAATGGGCAGGGAGCTGGTCTCTTCCTCTATTATTACAGAAACATAGCAGTGGGTTTGAATGCTACCCACCAACCTGTCTTGGGCAGGGTGTTTACACATGCAACTCTTGTGCTGTTGGGGAGTTCATTCTGAGTCCATAGGGTTGCTTTGTTGGAGTAGAATGAATGGTTTGCTAACATATGAAAGTCAAACTCCATTCAGCATTCGATAGCCTGATTCACACATAAACCATGGTTTATTGGATCGTTCAAACCTGACCTAGCAGCTTAACGACAAACAAACCATGCTCATAAGTTATACAGTCTCTGGCTAAATGTGGCTTGCATTTCTGTGTATCATGTTTCTAAAATGATTACTAATGGACACAATGTAGTCCCTTGAACTTGAAAATTGATTGATGGCACTAAGGTATTTCCAAAAATAGTGCTTTTATCTGTAATGTTTTGCTTGCTGCAGTTGCTGGGCTTAAATGTCAGCTTTGATGGAAAGGACAAGGAAACAAGAATTTCGCAGCGTTCTTCAAAGTTGCTTCACAAAATAGCCAGCTGTTCTTTCTATCAGGTCAGGGTAAAGGACAATTCTGGTAGCACTGTTCCTTCTGTGTTCTCATCTCGGTTACATTGTACAACTCCCTTTCCGAAGAAAAAAGCCCATCTTTTTTGCTGTGTTTGAATGAATTGACTGAGAAACGCCATCACTGAGCGCTATTCACAGATCAGTTGTGTGTTCTGTTTGCCCTTTCTGCCTTTGCAAAAATAGTTGTGAAGCCTTTGCAAAAAGGATTTGAGAGTATCCTTGTGTGTAATGCATGGAAGCTCAATACATCTGGCTTTAATAGAGTAGTCAGAAATGCATTCCTGGACTCTTGGCTATGCTTTGTGTTTCTTTTATCAGCTATTGGTTTCAAGTGGAGGAAGAATTCGCTAATAGTTTCAAGAGTCCAGATTACAGTTTAGAAGATTTGCCATCATTGATATTTTTACTGTATAAGTTGGGAGGTCAGAAATGGGTTGGGCAAGGGGGTACAACTAACTCCTGGTTGCTCCATATACTGTGGCTGTAGTATGGAACCTGAATAGCTACATCATCCATCAAATTTTCTACGCTTTAGCTTTTGCCAAAGACTGAACTGAGATTTGTTGGCCTTGGAAGCAATACCAGTGGAAGAACTGTGTTGTGTTTTTTTAAAAAAACTGGACTTTTAAGAATTAATAGCAAAGAGTATTTTAAGTTAAGGTACTATTCAACTACCGAGAGCCAAGTCCACGTCATCAAGATCAGCAGACATAATTTCAGTGGATTCCTGTATGCTGAATTCACAATTCTCCATGTCCTGAAGGCTTTACAACGTGTGTTGAACTGGAATGTCACACTGCATGCACATGTTGAGGAATCACAGGCACAATTCTGCTGCAAAAACAACTTGCATTCTCAGCATCTTAAGATATAGTCATGCGTAAGGTGCAAGACTTGGCTGACAGCTTGTGGAGTTATTCTTGTGTGGTATATTTCAGAGCCTTCTGGGGATAAAGTGTGTATTCATAGAAAGCATGTGCTATAATCCTGGGTAATGCAAAGGGGGGTTGGAATGAGTGAATATTTTACCCATGTTAAAATCCCTGCACACAGAGCAACTAGCATATCAAGATGAAGGGTTCCATAGCCTAGTCCTAATGTGCTAGTTTTCCATGCGCATGGAGTTAATGTCTTCAGAGGAGGGTTATGCCACATACTTCTGCTGAATAGGTAGGTGCCTTTTTAAATCAAACCTGGGTTCTATCACATGGTGTGTCTATGTTTTGCATCAGGCGACAGAAAAAAATAACTTTAAGAATCTCCAGGATGTATTATAGTTCTCACCCCAGTGCATCATGATTTTCTGTGTTAAGCAAGGGGTTGTATAGACCTCCTCCAATTCAATGAATGAATGAATAACATGCAAGAAAAATGCCTGAAAACTATACTTTCCAGTGTGTGTGCGTGTGTGGGTGCGCACCATCAAGTTTTACACGGAAGGTAAGTACAGAGCATTTACGGTGCAGTTAATTGTTCCCTCATTCAGTCAATGTGAACAAATATAGGAGCTAGTTTCAGCAATTTTATTTTTTAGTCTATACCACTTTCTGAGAATGCCCCTGAAGCTCTGTGTCCAACAAGGACGTGACAAAATGCTCTAACACACCACCTTGACAACAGAAAATCAAAACCCACCCATAAAATAACAGGGTTTCCACATTTCAGCTTCATTAACCTATAATGGGCAGGGTGGAACTCTACCACCAAAGACAGTTTTCATTACCTTCTGGCGCTATGAGCTGCTCTGGGCAGGGACAGCCAGAGGTGAAATGCCACTGTCAAGAAAGCAAAAGGAGGTGGTATTAACAAGCTGGGAAACCTGAAGGTTTCCAAAAGTTCAGACAACATTTTAAAAAGTGGTGTGGGTAAAAGTAAGCTAAGGAGAACAACTAAAAAGAGCCTGCTCAGTGGGTGCAGAAAGTTCACTGACTGTTAGGGGGATGGGAACCAGGGGAAGGGGAACTGGAATGGAGTATCCCGGAAAAAAGGCATGGATGGCTGTAAACCTGAACAGCAGCAGTCTACACTCCTTGGAGAAAAACCTAGTGCTAATATTATTGAAAAGCTTGTATGATAGGGAAATAGGTTTCTTATTAGGTAAAGAATTAAACATCTCTCTCTTGCAAAGCCAGTGCATTTAAAATTAATTGCCTGGTTTTCTGCCTTGGAAATTTAAGATCATGAAGATTATTCTGTGTGCCATGAAGGAGAATAAGTTACCCTTTGTTCTTGGGGCACAGCAATTTTCTTTCTGCTTCCCAACTTATCCCTGGTGTAGTGTAAAGGGAAGGTTTGTCTAGGTTTGCTGTTTGAAATAACTTTGCTGTCTGGCCTTTAAACTCATCAACTCACGTGCTGAACGCTAACAAGCGTGGGTAGCAAATTGGCTCCCCTCTCTTCACCCGCCAGCCCGCCATGTCCTGCAGCAACTCTGGAGAAAGTAAAGGCTGCTGCTGCTGCTGCTCGCTGGCCTAATGAGGAGACAGACTAGAAGTCTCTCCATTCAATTTTCTCCTTGGCTTTGGGCAGAGAGAGCGGCTCGGCTTGCTCCGTTGGGCTAATTTCCCAGCCAGCAGCCGATGCAGCATTCCTACTGCGAGATGGGGAGCGGAAGAGAATTGCAGAATAAATTGGAACGATGCGGGATGAGTTGACATTTCCTCTGAGTAATTCTCACGGGAGGAGTCCAAGACTTCTAGCCATCAAAGGCCCCGTAGGCGCAGAAGGAGGCGGCTGCAGTAGAATATGATAATACTCTGTCTAGCCTGACTTCAGGGCTTCATGTCTGGCAAGCTGCGAGCTCCTTTGCATGTTTTAGAAAGCCGGTTTTGGTCAAGATGGAAAGAAATGTTCTTGTGCGGCAAGATCTGAGTTGGCAACAAAGGCCTCTTTCCTCTTTCTACCTTTAGTTCTCTTGCTTCGTGTGCATAGGCAAGCTGGCCATCTCCTATTAACAATGCTCTCCATGTCAGTTTTAGCACAGAGACTTCCTCCTTTCTGTTAAAGTGTTACTAGATTCACATGATTCCAAGGGCAAGCCTTGGAACTTGCCCTTGTACAGAGGCAATTCAATGTAACAGCTGAAGGGTGCACCAGTTCTGAGAGAGGCTGGTTTGGGTTACTTTTACAAGAGGAGTGCTTTGTAGAGGAGATGGCGGGGAGGGTTGGCCTAGCTTTTCTCTCTCCCCCACCCCCCGCTCTTAATAATAATAATAATTTATACCCCGCCCATCTGGCTGGGTTTCCCCAGCCACTCTGGGCGGCTTCCAGCTAAACACTAAAATACAATAACCTATTAAATATTAAAAGCTTCCCTAAATAGACCTAAATAGACTACTAACAGGAGCAAGCAGCAGCAAACCACACTGCGCAAATTGGAGTCAACTCTTTATTAGCAAAAACAGGATCAGCACAGGAGTGTCAGGTCTAATGAGTACAGCAACTCATATTCTGGCAGATCTTGCCCCCATGAAGCAGTTGCTGAGACTGAAAGTCCCCACCTCTCCACAGCGGCCTAAATCCCCTCCTCTTCCAGGTTTTCCCCAAGCAATTTGAGACTGTGCCTGTATGAATTTATGCGCCACCCTCTGTGTGCCTCTCCTGGTTCTGGGAGGGGAGCTTGTTGCAGCAGGAGGGGGAGACACCCATGCAGCTTCTCCAGCCAGACCTATCTCTGCCTCTTGGCTTCCCTCCTCTTCTGCTTCAGCTTCTGGCTCCTCCTGCCACACTCACTTCTCACCAAGCCCTGTTACCTCATCAGCTTCTGACACATCCTCTTCGCACCCTTCTCCCTCTAAACACTCATTGTTTTCCCATCACTCCTCTCTGGACTCTGAGCCTTCTTCCCGGGTGGGGGAGTTGGTGGTCTCCCAGCTGTTTCCTCCCATCATTACTCTGTGTCCAACCAGTCCATGACATCTGCCTGTAACTTAAGTTCTGGTGGAATTCCACAGCACTGCATCACCAAACACTGGTCTACCTTAGCTTTCCATCACAGCTACCTTCCTGGGTGGGCGAGCCCCATCTGCCTCACCTTCAAATAGAGAACGGTCCTTTGATAGGCCTTTGAAAAAAGGACTCCTGGCAAAGGCATCTTCTCAATGGTGGTGTTAACTTTCAGAGTGATGGACTGGAGACTCATTTTGATTGGTTGCAGGTACAGCTAGTACTTAGTGAGGGGAAAAAGAAAAGCAGTCAAAAGCGGAGGTACTTGGCATTCAGCTGGATAGAAGTATAGCCTCTTAGCTCTGTGTAATTTGCCCTGAGGAAATATCTACAGCCAGGGTAGGAAGTCTTTAAGCCGGGGGATTGATTGAAAGACAGGGTTTTGTGTGTTTTTTAAGAACAAACAGACAATTGAGAACTGGGATGTTGAATTTGAGAAAGGAGAAGTGGAGTTGTAAAGGAATGCTGTACTTAGGTCTCAATTCAGTCAGAAGGGGATAGCTCTTCTGAAGAGAAAAGAAGAATCCCAAACTAGTTAGGAGGCGTGTTGTCTCCCCTGGTCTGGTATACTAATAGAGGAGCCTCCGGAGTATAGATTTGTAGAAGGTAGGGAAATTGACAGAGTATCAGCTTGTCTCAGAACCCAAGTATTAAGACCTATGCTGCAACATCTCTGCAAATAGTTGGAAAATTATCAAAATGCCCGTTGCCTACTAATCCTATTAATCCTATTAATCTCCAAAGTCACTTGCTGGCCCCCCTAGTATGAAGGAAGGTGAGAATTGTGTGTCAATGTACAGTTATATTTGTTAGCCACAAGATTGGACTCTGCTTCTCCGTGTGCCCCTTGTAGGTGTCTGTCTCTAGACATCTCTCTAGCTTTGGTCCATTGCCTGATCTTGTCACTAAAACTGCTTCAAATGGCGTACCACTTCCAGAGCTATCACTTAGCAAGAATATGTCTTCCTCTGACAAGCCTCTGCTTATGGGGAGTTGGCACTGAAAGGAACGTAAATATGCCCACAGGGCAGTTAATGCTGTGTATTCAGCTGAATCGGACATCCAGCCAGCCACCGGTCTCCTGCGTTGTGCCCAGGAGGTGACTTTGACACTTCCACTGGTGTCTCTTTCCAAAGAACTGGACCATCCATCCCTTCTGGAAATGCTTTTCAGAAAAGACAGGGGCCAGAGGGGTGATGCTATCCACCCTGTTAGTGAAAGTCAACATACCGCAGGAGTCAAGTAAGAGGGCAGCCCAGACGGATCATATTGTTGGAGACTTGATGCTGCCTGCTTTGCTGTAAAGATGGCCGAGGTCATGGCTGTTGCTCTTTTAAATATCCACTTTGAAAAGATTATTACCCTGCCTCCAAAATGTAACAGTTGGACAGATAGATAAGGTTCCCACCCCCTCCCCAGAAAAGTATTCAAGGTTCAAAGGGGGTGAAGTAACACGTTCAGACCAGGACTTGTGTCTTGAAAGCAGGGTAACATAATTTCTGTCCCAAAGTAGGCTCTGAAAGCAGAGTTTTGCATGTTTTCAGCACAGTCCTGTTTGAATCAGGGGAAAAGCCAATAGTGGAAAGTGCTTATGGCTGTGTACCTATGACATGATTATTCTCTTCCAAAGCAACTGCTCTATTCCAAACTTAAAAATAGAAAGTGTAATGCTGGTGGTCAATAAAAGAGGTTCAAGGACTCACTCAAGGCAAATCTTTAAAAATGTAGTATAAACACCGACAACTGTGAAACACTGGCCTGCAAGCGCTCCAGTTGGAGAACAGCCTTTACCAAAGGTGTCATGGGCTTTGAAGACACTCGAACTCAGGACAAAAGGGAGAAATGTGCTAAGAAGAAGGCACACTTGGCAAACTCTCACCATGATCAACTCTCGCCCAGAAACCTATGTCCCCACTTTGGAAGGATGTGTTGATTCAGAATTGGCCTGCATAGTCACTTGCGAACTCACTGTTAGACCGTGTTTCTGGAAGACAATCTTACTCAGTTACGAGTGGTTGCCAAAGACGAAGAAGAAGACGATACCACGAAAGCATGTCTGCCTCTACTCCCCCACAAGCCCTTGGCCAGTTTTCTGGATTTAAAAAAAATAATAATAGAATTGTAGAGTTGATTGTTTGCCTTTGTTTTAATATGAAGGATAAACGTGCATATGGTGTCTTAACCAATATTTTTAAGGTACATAGCCCACCTGCAGGAGGTGTGGAGGAGCAAACCTGATAGCAGTGTTGCTGTGCTCATCTTACTTATGGGCTTACCATAGGCATCTGGCTGACCACTCGGAGAACAGGATACTGGACCACATGGGTTGCTGGCCTGATCCTGCAAGGTTCTTATGTTTGAACAGGAAGCAACATTTGCCTTGTTGAGACATTTGCTTGCAAGGTAAATTGCAAAGGGAGACACAACCTACAGGTGAGGGGTCTCCTGGATCTGCTGTGAAAATGTTGCATCTGCCTTGTCCTCCAGATAACAGGGCAGCCTTTGCCAACCTGGTTCCTTCCAGAATGGCAGACTAGGAGTAATACTGTACCACCTGACCAACAAGCTGACGTTGGAGGAAAACATGTCAACAAACAGGCAATGGCATATTACTATGAATATGCAAATGTTGATAATGTAGTGACACACAATCAGCCTTCACAACAAGGGATGGTGGAGAGATACCAACCCCAGAGCCATTGTTCTGGGGAGAGGACCGAAGGGCCCAGCAGGATGGGAATTTATCTCTACCCTGAACACGCAGGGCCAAGCGCCACCATTGGTTAGTTGGTCCCGCGCCCAGGGAAACGCCCTGTAATTCCTGCCACCATTGGCCAATTTTGTGGCAGGAGGATGATCTGGCCTGCAATAGGCCAGTTCAGAGAGGAGGCTTGGGAGCCTGCCCACAAAGCAAGAAGGGGCAAATGGACTTCTGCGGAGAGGGCCCCTGAATTATTCAAACAAACAGAAGTGACAAGGCTGTAGAAGTGATTTGCCAAATTTCAAAGCGGCAACTCTTTACAATTATTCAATGCCAGGAGACGCATTTAAGCATCTCTATTGTTTACTCATGTCTTCTATGTTTATTTGTTGGGGGCGGGGAGGTCTTGTCTCATCTATGTCATATTTATTCAGTCTGCTAATGGAAACAAATGTCTATGCACTCGGGCCTGCAGGGTTGACCGCAGGAGCTAATAAGTATTCAACTTGTCAACCTTCTCCTGCTTGACACAGAAACACACTCTTCAGCCAGAAGCGTCGCTGCTGAATGACTGATGCGTAAAACAGAAGGGAGGCGATTCTGTCATTCCCAAGAGCGGCAAACTATCACAGCGTATAAAATGAGCAAATATGTGTGACACATTGGGGCGGGGGTAGTCTTAGAAACAAATATCTGATCGGCACGGAGCAGGGAAGTGGCAGCCATCAATTATCTGCTACCTTTAGGACCACAGGGAAAATAATGTGTGTTTTGTCTTAGACACAATTAGGATACACAAAGATGTCAAAACCTTTGACTGGGCCAGAATCTCACTCAGCAAGACCAGGCTAGTAGTAGTTTAATTTTCCTTTGCTGCTTGCAATTCTATAGCGTCTTCCCACTACATCTGAGGGCACCAGCTTGCCTAACATGGATATGTTAGTTTTGAGCTACATGCTAGTCTGGGAGAGGTATTGGAATTCCCAAATATGAGTCGTTGAAGCATCCCTACTACACAATGCGTAGGTTGCCCGGGAAAAGGTTCTATATATACTACAATTTGGGAGACATTTGTTCCTTCTTTAGCACAAGCCCATCAGCAGTTTTTGCAATCTGGTGTCAGGCTATGTACAACACCGCCGTGTCGTGTGCCGTTAACACGACGGCTCGCAATGCGACTTGACAGTGCAGACCACATCTTTTGGTTTGCTTCACATCACTGTGAGTGACGGCCCAATCTGCTGAGTGTAATATTGGATTTGCATGGGGGTCAACAAGGGATTGACAGCCTCTGTTGCCCATGTTATTTCAGCTGGCTCGGAAACCATAGCGGCAGAACGAGACATGGGCAGGCAGGGTCACAGGAAGCTCCTTGACCTACATTGCCTACCATTGTTGAAACAGAAAAGTCCTATTGCGTAGTTGTTTGCCAGCATACCCAGCTTTACGATTGCCTCCCAACTTCTGCTGATTTATTTAAATATCTGTAGTCCGCTTTCCATAAGGATGCCAGGCATCAACTCAGCAGTTCACCTAGGGCAGGAACTAGCCATCACTTCAGCAAATGCACATTCCCAGACCCTTTTCAGGAGATAATGTATGGCAAGGGTACACTTGCAGGGGAGAATTGGTGAACAAAGGGAAAGGTGTACTTGAAGTCTTCCTGTGCCTGCTAATTCTCACCCTAGAGGATGATTTCGGAGCCTGGCTGGGTGGTGGGATGATTAAAAATAACTCACTTGGGGAAATAGGAGTGAGAGGAGGGTTACACATTGACCCACCCACTCCTGCCTATCAATTCTCCCCTGCCAATACCCTGCAGTAATGTTATACAAGGGAAACATGCCATTGTAAGTTGCATTTTACCCTTAGGCAAGTCACTATCTCATAGAATCATAGACCCTCACAACCTCAGCCCTGTGGCCAGGCCAGAATTAACAAAAAGCCCCCAAGGCAAAGATGTGGAAGATGCCTAGTGTGTGCAATAGCAAAAAGAAGAGAAAGTAATTTTGCAGAGATCTCTTCGTGCTTTGACATATTCTTCTCTCCCCACTCAGCCACTCACTCATTCAACTACACTTTATTCAGCTTTGCTAAGGTCTGAAGATAGCATTTATTTATTATAAAACAAAAAAAGTGTCAGTCCTTCCCTAAATATGCCTGGTGAGTTCATATCTGAAGCGCATTTAAACAGGAGAGATCCCTGACTTATGGGCAGCGTCCCTCAGGTCCAGAGCTAGGCGTGTCGGCCTCCACAAATGTTTTCACTTTGCTAGTACAGCTGCAATATTGTTGTCATAGTGGATACACAAACTAATTCATCCACATTTACACAGAAGGGGGGTCTGCATCATTCTTGGGTTCCAAATGGGACACGTCTACCACATGAGGCCTATTAAGCTTGGCACATGAGCTCAATTTGTTAATGTGAATTGTATGCTGAACATGGACTTCCCTTCAACGCGAGGGCTGCCCTGGGCTTTAATCACATCAAAATCTTTCTGTGGCTTGACTGAAAATGTCAACTGTTTCTAGGGGACAAGTTGGCGGGTACCTGTTTCTAGGGGACAACTAGCCGTAGCCAAGCTTAAATAGTCCAGAATTTAGCCATTCAGTGACCTTATTTAAGAGACGCGTTTTCAACACAGAAAACATTTCTCTTCACTTGATCCTGTTGTCACTTACTATTCAAGTCAAATAACCTGTTATGAAATGCATTCTGCCGAATGTGCCTGTAATTCCAATGTTGCCACAGGAGTGAAATTCTGACGCAATCATATTTTATACTTAACCACAGTGACCTTGGTTTACAGAGGAGAAGTCAAAACTGGAGACCCTGGTGAAGATTTTGAATCCTTGATGCTGGGTTTCACATCAATTCCCTCAATGTGCCTTCAGGCAATGCTCTTAACCTCTTGTCTACTATTTCCTCATATATGGGTTGAGGCTGCTGGGAGGATGAGCAAATATAAAATATTACTATTTTTTTCTCTTATTTTTTACCAAACTAAGATAGGAAGGGAAGTATCTCTAAAGTTTTCATTGGCATACTTGCTTGGGGGTAAATAGATTAACATTGGCTGTATTTGCAAAAGAAAGAAAAAACCATTTCTTTATGAAAATATAAGCTAACCTATTCAAAATAAAAGAAAACAAATATTAATGCTAGATATTTCATTGCTGGAACAATTCACCACAGACAAAACTAGATGCGATAGTAAAAGTCTGGTTGCAACTGCATGTTCAGTATTAAGTCTTAACATCTGGAAGAACTGACCTCACAGCATGACATCATAATGATATTCTTCACTTGTGGCCCATAGCAACCAATGATGTGACAGGTGGTTTTCACTTGATCATCACCATCAGGTATCTTGCCGAACAAATTCAGAGTAAACTGTGCTGGAGCACCACATATACAAAGATGATGTTCTACATGTCAGCCCAGACTCTGAGCTCTTCATCTGAGGTCCTCCTTCATGTGCCTCCTGTGTGAGAAGTTTGGATGGTGGCAACACAAGCATGGGCTTTCTCTGAGGTGGCTCCCCGCTTGTGGATTGCTCTTCTCAGCGAGACTCACCTGGCACCTTCACTACACAGCTTTAACCGCGAAGCAAAAACATTCCTTTTTTCTCAGGCCTTGGGGTAAGTAAACAATCAATGACCTTTAAAACTGTGTGTGTGGCTTATTGCTTTTGTTTGTTACTATGGTGTGAATTTTTGTGTTTTCATATTGTAAACCACCCTGTGATCTTTGGATGAAGGGTGGCATGGGAATTCAGTAAATAAAAACAAATAATTTTGCTGTAACGTCACTTTAAATAGGCCTATTGTGTTTTGCCAGCAAAATGTTTTAATCTGCAGGACCCTGGATTTATGTTATATTTCTCCTGGCAGCTACAAATCCGAGCAAATATTGCCACTCAAATAGTAACCGAATCTGCTCAGGCTTTGTATTGAGAATTCATTTTTCCTTTCAAAGCGTTTGGCCTGGTTGTGTCTGTTTCATCACAGCCAGAGGGTGATGGATATCCCACCTTCCCTCTTAATCTATCACAGTTTCGCAAGTCCAGAATACATTTCACATGTTGTCAGCATGCTGCACCAAGGCTATATACATTTGCAAGTATGTAATTATCAGCTGGCTGGTAAATTGTTGCCCACCCCTACCCTCCCCTTACATAAAAAACAACACATTTCATTTATAGTGATAGTGCTTAATATTGTTTAATCAAATATGATCAATGGTGCCCGCCTGCTGTTGCAGTTGATGTCGATAAATGAACAGGAAGTGTACTTTGAAACAAGGGATGTAAAGTATTTTGTAAGTAATGAGCATCATATTTATTTACATCATATTTGGGATGTAAATTTTGTGTTAGGGGAGGGGTAGTAACTCTGGTGGGGGGACATATTGTGCTCCTTCTGGGGTAGTTTGTCCACCTTTGATCTCTACCCTGCTCTCAGCTCTCACCTGTGGCTCCCAGAAGCTGTCAGCATACGACAACAGCCACACCCTGGGAACGGCTTCGACTGGCCATTTAAACGAAGTGAGGGTAGCCGATGGGTCTCAAATCCATGGTTGAGTTAGGGACTTCCCCTGCATGCAAAGACAGGCTTTGACCAATTGAGCAGACGAGACCAATACTGGGTTCACTGGTCAAGAAGGCACGTGGTGTGGAGGGAAGTGAGGGACAGTTGGGGCTCATCAACCTGGAAAGGTAGCCCATCCAGGAGAAAGAAAACTCTGACCCTAAACATCCGCTGCCTTGTGGGATATCTTCGGGAGAAGGAAAGACTAAGGAGTAAATCCTACACAAATCTGGCATGGAGTCCCCAAGATGGTTGGTTGGCACCTAGTATGCCTCCTTCGGGAAAGTCCTGAAGCCAAGTTGGTGCCAAATGTATTGCTCTGCTTTGCTTTGGACCACATCATCGAGGTCGAGAGGGGGGTCTTGTTGCCTGGGCAGCCCAGGACCTCTATACACACTGGGGAGGTCACTTCAGTGCCCCTAATGCAGTGGTTTGACTTCACCCCGAGAAACGCATTCCGTTGTCTCTCGAGACAGATGGATGCCAACTATTCGAGATCAGACTTTCCTGCCAGCTATTTCAAAGACCATATTTCTGCCTGCGGAAACTATGAAAGTGAACTTACTTTAGTGGAGATTTCTCAGGCAGTATGCACTAGGGATGTAGCCTTCCCTCTTATTGGTTTTTTTATACCAATACTTTTTTTCCAGCAGAAGAAACAGTTTGCTTTCCTACAGTGATGGCTGGTTGCCCACAGAGCTAGGGGGGCGGAATGCAGGGAGGCTAACCATAGGTGGCGCCAGAGTCACTGACAGACAGACAACCAGCCCTACTTTGGCCCTCCCTGCAGTTCTACACAAGGGTTTAAGAAGGAGGAAGCCAACCATAGCCAGAGCCACCCCCTGGACTAGTTGTATGTAAGAGCAATTGAACTGGAATGCAATTTCATACCACTGAGGTAGCTCAGTTAATGCATGAAGGGGTTAAGATTGTAGAGTTCTGTTCCTAGACTTGGCTGGGTCATGCCCCCCCCCTTCTCTGTGAGGAAGTGAAGCTGCTTCTATTCCCATTCTCTTACTCTCTCTCCACACCATGTAACCGACCAAGACGGACATGTCTGAAGTTGGTCCAAGTTCAGACTGCATGATTGAAATACATTCTGCTTGTTGCACACAAGTAATCTACTTATGTTATCCTTGCTGCTGCATGGAGTAACACATGAACCTGACCTTTAGATTTAATAAGTAAAGCTTCTAAGCTTTTCAACAGTGTGTGGCCTGTTCATTGCTAGAGGGGTAGAGAGAGGGGCAAAAGCTTTAAAGCAGACTAAACAGGATATGCAAAAGGGCTGAACAATCTATATTCCACACTTTGCTGCTGCTTAACTGCAAGAGTGTTTTAAACTCTGCTATGGGCTCTGTCCTGCTGGAAAGTGTGCAAAGCCCCACATTTTGAATCTAGACATGCAGCTAATTCTTTTTTTAATTACTCACATATGGGTCAGCTCTATTTCCCACCTACACAGAGCCTTAACCCATGAAACAAGACAAAGGGCAAAACAATTTTAAGCCATTTTAGTAGATCTCCTTGGAAAATCAGGAATGAGTTTTTCAGCTCCCCCTACCACAAATTTTGACACCATCCCAAACTATTACAATGAGAAAGGATAACTAGACATCCCTTCTGGGTTCTTCCATATGCTCAGATAAACATATGGTATGTAGGCTGCATTGAGCCCACCAAACAACATTCCCCTCCCCTGGCTCAGGAAGTCTTTGCTAAAATGATGAGAATCTTAGCATGCCATGTTTCTGAAGCCTCACATTTTCAAGGAAAGGGCATGAAGCAACTGGTGCTAGGATTACAGCCTTTCACCCTCAGCCCAGAAGACCCCTGTTGCTTTTGATAGGCGGGTGTTTCACTGGCTGTTGTTCTGTCACTCTAGCAAAGCAACTTAAACCATTCTAGGCAGGTTTAAGTAATACAAAAAGGGAAAGCAGAGGTGAAGAAGGGTAACAGAAATGAGACGCAATTGTACCAGAGGGAGCTGCGAGGGAAAGAGAAGGAGCCACTGTTTTGCAATCTGAAAAGATAGATGGGGACTCAGTTCACATGTACACAAACCAATTTTAGACTTTCAGTTATGGATAAATGACTGGTAACATAACTTGTGAGCCAAGTGCGGTAAATACCTTGTAACTGCACCATCCCCTACATACTGATTGCTGTGTTCTGCAGGAGAGAGCATCCTGTAGATACCACTCTATAATAGAATCATAGAGTTGGAAGGGACCACAAGGATCATCTAGTCCAACCCCCTGCAATACAGGAATCTTTTGCCCAACATGGGGCTCAAACCCACAACCCGGAGATTAAGTGTCTCATGCTCTACTGCCTGAACCAGCTTCAAGGTGTCCTTTGTGAAAACTGGGCCTTTAGGGTGGTGGCACCTACTCTTGGGGACTCCCTCCCATTGCACATTAAACAGGCGTCTCTTCCATTGGCTCTTTGGTACCTGCTAAAGGTGTTCATTTTCCAACAAGCCTCCAAAAATCTTTATCCCAGTTGCTATCAGTTCTGGATCTGAGTTTATTTTATGCATGTGTTGCTCTTTTAAACTGTTTATATTTACAGTTTTGTTTTGTCTTTTTAAAAAAACACACGCTGTTTTTATTTGCAATTATTTTTAAGTTTTTATATATGTTAATTCATCTACAGGTGTCATTATATTGCAAATTTCTCCAAGCCACCCCAAGGGAAGAGGAGAGGAGCAGATTGTTTAAACCCAGAAGTCTGTATAACAGCAATTGAAGATGGATGTCCCAACCTCCTCATCATAATCACTGAACCAGAGGATGACCGGACATGGATCATCCTCAATATTACATGGATAACTTCCAAGTCATCCTCAGGAATATCCAGCAATGGTGTGGGGACTCTTGCGTGACTGCAATTTATTTCTATGAGGACTGCAGAGAAAATTATTTATGAATTGTGCTCTCTATTTTCAAAGGAACGTCTCATTCTTTGAAGAGATAAACATGAAAAGTCACCAAGAAGAATGCCATTTGCCCAGCAGTTTTCATCCCAGCAACTTTACGGCAAAAATGTTATATTTATTTCAAAATACACTACTCAATGGATACACATCACCACCAGAGCCCGAACCACCCAAAAAGTTAGCAGCGTTTTTTGCAAGTACAAAAATACACATTTATTTCAGAACATATACAATAGCAAAGTTTTATCAATATATATTATACAATCCTAAATACAATTCACAAGGGAAAGAAAAATGTAATATCCAAATTAAACACAATAAGGAGATGCACACGAAACGTGGGAGTTGTAAGTTATAGGAGGGCAGGATTTATGCTTCAATTAAAAATGTCCCTTTTTTTGCTGAAGAAAATGACTTCTCCTTTCCTCTTGATTGTGCATTTTACCACCTCCACTTACACTGAATATTTGCCACAGCAGTGAAAAGAGAGCTGGGGTCTTCAATCCATCTGAGATGGGTGTAGATGCATCAGAGTGCTGTTGTGATGGAGATTTGTGGCGGAAGCCCGCAGAAATGGACACTGGCTGAGATTTGGTTGGCAACTTGATTTGTTGTGGAAGATTTGTGGAAGGTCATGGGGTTATGGGGACTGATGTGGGCAAAGATGATCCAGAAAGCCATAGCAGTGAACAGAGAGATGGTGTTGAGAGCTCATTGAAGACCCTGAAGGGGAGGTGCCCAGGGATAATAAACTCACCCTTGAGCAAATAAGTAGAGGTGGTGAGAGAAGGCAGTTCGATCCATCAGAGATGGGTGTAGCCTGACATGGAGCACAGAGACTCATTTTCAGAGTGGGCCATACGCCTTGGAGCTTTTGGCTGAGCAAAGCAAGGAAGGGGAAGAGGAAGAAAGCTCTTCATTTCCCCCTTCCCCTAAAAGGCAGCCTTCCTCCCTTAATCAAAGTGCTGAACATAGACCCAAGCCAGGTCCTGTCTTCAGCACTGATTGTCAATGGGTCATTGATGGAAACTTAAATGAAACTGCCTTAAGAGTGAAACTGCCTTAAAATAAATGTTTAGAATGTACAGGAATGGATCAGAGAAAAACTGAATAGCAAGCACATGTATAATTATTTGCAAGTGCTGTAGAATCAAAAGTTTCTCTTAAGGCAGATGTGATATACAGAATCTGACAATGGGAGGAACAAGAGGAACTTCTTGAGGGTGGACCTGCCAAGGGAGGAGGCAGTTGGAGCTTTGTAATAAACTAGGTGGTTTTCACAACTATTTTTCTTTACTTGCAGGCTTCTGTCATCGTACAGTTTCTGACAGAAAATAAATGGAGATGGTGAGAGAAGGCGGTTTGATCCATCTGAAGTGAGTGTAGATGGATCAGAGTGCTCTCCTGATGGAGATTTGGGGTGGATTTGGGGAGGGTCCTCTGCTTCTGAAATATGACACCATGGCAATCCAAGAGTCATAAAGGCAAAATACCAGAGACATTTCCACACTTTCTTGGGGGCCCACCTTGGATCAGCGGTTGGCTCTTTCCCTGGCCTGCGTGAAGAGAGTCTGGAGTGGCCTCCTCACAAAAGCCCTGCTCATCTCCACCCCAGCATGTGGCTAAAAAACAGAGCCTCCACCATGAAAAACTGGACTCTTCCTGCTTGGAGGCTCTTTCCCTTTTTTGAAGAGACACTTCCATTGAACCAAACGCCTTTGAGCTTCAAAAGAGCAATACGATACCATAGCTATGGAGCCCAGACTGACCAAAACTCTGCCTTAAAATCAAGAGTCAAGGATAAGTGTCTAAAGGAAAGGCTGCTGAGCTGCCCAGCTCCCTCAGAAGAACTACTTTCCTGGCATCCAAAGGATCCACTTGTGACTCCAAGGTTATTTTAATGGGACAGTTCTTTTTCTCTTTTCATGGTGGAGGCTCTGCTTTTTAGCCACATGCTGGAGTGGAGACGAGCAGGGCTTTTGTGAAGACGCCACTCCAGACTCTCTTCATGCAGGCCAGAGAAAGAGCCAACCCCTCATCCAAGGTCCAAGAAAGTGTGGAAATGTCTGTGGCATTTTGCTTTTATGACTCTTGGACTGCCATGGTGTCATATTGCGGAAGCAGAGGACGCCCAAATCTGCTGCACCTCATCAGGAGAACACTCTGAAAGCGAGTCTGGGTATGTCCTTTTTTGCTGAAGAAAATGACTTCTCTTTTCCTCTTGATTGTGCATTTTACCACCTCCACTTACATTGAATATTTGCCATAGCAGTGAAAAGAGAAGAGTTCCTTGTATTTCTTATCCCAGCTCTGTGAACAGTGGGTTTCCTTGATTCAGGCAGAGTTTCATTTAAGTTTCCATCAATGACCCCCCCCCCCAATATCCGCCACAAATCTCCATCAGGAGAGCACTCTGATGCATCTTAAAAACGAGATCAAGAGAACAGGAGTAGGGACTCCATGTTGACCCTGAGTGACACTGATTTGGACCCGCTGGAAGCAGAGGACACCCCCCCCCCCAAATCCGCCACAAATCTCCATCAGGAGAGCACTCTGATGCATCTGTAGATTGCATCAGAGTGCTCTCCTGATGGAAATTTGTGGCGGCAGCCCGCAGAAATGGACACTGGCTGAGATTTGGTTGGCAACTTGGCAGAAGATTTGTGGAGATTTGTGGAAGGTCATGGGGTTATGGGGATTGATGTGGGCAAAGACGATCCAGAAAGCCATAGCAGTGAAAAGAGAGATGCATCGAACCGCCTTCTCCCACCACCGCCACTTATTTGCTCAAGGGTGAGCTTATTATCCCTGGGCTCTTCCCCTTCAGGGTCTTCAATGAGTTCTCAACACTATCTTGAGAGCTCATTGAAGACCCTGAAGGGAAAGTGCCCAGGGATGATAAGCTCACCCTTGAGCAAATATTCAACTTAAGTGGAGGTGGTGGGAGAAGGCGGTTCGAGAGCATCAGAAATGGGTGTTGATGAATACCCAGACTCACTTTCAGAGTGCTCTCCTGATGAGGTGCAGCGGATTTGGGGATCCTCTGCTTCCAGTAGGTCCAAATCTATGTCACTCAGGGACACCACCTCTTTGCTCCCCTCCTCTTTTTTATTGAGGTTTGCGCAGTCATTCAATTCATTTTCCAAACTGTCGGATGAGGAGTCATGCAGACGAACAGAAGAGAGATCTGCAAGAGGATGAAATAGGTGTCAGCACACCCTCAGGTGTCACTCGCGCCATCAAAAGCAACATAGCTTAATTAAAACATAAGCAGAATTTTATCCACTATTTTGCAGCAGGCGACGTATTTTACCATTCTTAATCTAAATTTGGTTATTCTCACAGCCATCCTGTGATGGTTCAGAACAGAGACAGAGCAGAGTGGACTTGCTGCAGGCTGCTCAGTCAGCTTTATGAGATTTGATCCCAGGAGCCTTGCATCCAGACCACACATTGCCCACTTCCCTGTACTGTGACCTGGAGTACGTATTACAACCACTATGGAGAAGATGCCAAACAGGCTTCCTATGGAGTCCAAGTCAAAATGCTAGATAATCACTCTCACTCTCTCTCCACTTTACTTGTTTTAAAAAAGTTTCTTTTACCTGAACTATCTTCTTGGTTGTCATTTTGGGGCATCATGGCTGCAAAGATGTAATTAATTTCATCCCCAAAAATCCTGCTTCCATTTTGAATCATAAACTCTATGAGGACAGAAGCCTGCAAGCAAAGAAAAATAGTTGTGAAAACCACATAGTTTATTACAAAGCTCCAACTTGGCCCTCCCTTGGCAGGTCCACCCTCAAGAAGTTCCTCTTGTTCCTCCCATTATCACATTCTGTATTTCACATTATATAGCACATCGTTTTTAATTCTGGGGTTGTATGCTATAGACAAATGTGCACTTATGCAAATGCTTCTTTTACAGAAAGCATATATATTAGCACGAACTTTTTAAAGCAAATGAGCCTTCCTTCCAGTCCCTGCTGTTTCCTTGGCACAGGACAGGCTCTTTCCACAACGCCTTCCTCTTCTGCTTAGCGCTAGAACATTTCCCTTGCCTGCCTGCCTCCTGTCATCTGTTGTGTGCTCTCATTTCTGTGCCAGTTCTTTTCCTCCCACACAAATCCTCCTGGTTCAACCTGTTTGTTCTAGGCTGCCTCCCAAAGACTGGACTGGAATCTGAAAGTGCCCTATAAGAGTTATTGGATGCATATGGAAAGCAGGGTGGGATGACTGGTGCTCTTGACTTTAATAGCACCTAGCTAAACGTCTGTGCAGGCATGTCTTTTCAGTTAACAAAAATAACATTTATTCATTTTTTGGGCAAAACAGAGCACAGGAGCCACCACTGGCTTCAGGCAAATGCATGCATTCAACAAAATAATTTGATCCCCTCCTCTTCTTCTTTTTTAAGATTAAAACACTTCAAGCTGCACACTGGAAGCTGCACATTTGGCTACTTGTCCACAAACAAAAACTCCCTGCACAGAGGGGGAAATGTCTTTCTCTCTTCCTCAAATAAAGATTTCTATAAAAATGTTGATTCCTATTTTGTGTGTGGGAGAATATGCACACAAGAAAACTCTCACTGGCTATAGTCGAGACAGAACTTTACTAGTTGATTCTGTTAACTTTACAAAAGTGGTCTTAAAGCTAATGACAGATCCATCTAAGCTTCCTGTCTCTAACAGGAAGAAAATGTGCATTAAAAAGAAATGTGCATAGCTTTTGTCCTTTTTGCTACAACAGCACCTTGAAGCTGGGTGCTTGGGGGTGGTCAGTGTCGTGGTGGTGGTAGGATTCCCTGAAGCTGTGCCCCTGCCCACATATTTCTGCTGCTTCTGGTGCCGGTTCACATGGTCCTACTGCCAGCAGAGGTTGCGTTCCTTGCTGCTGCCAGGGGTGGCTGGGTGGAGAAGGCTTTTTGTTCAGTGCTTCCTAGTTGCACCTCCAAAGGTGATTCCAGACAGACGGCAGAAAGCATTACTTCCTATTCCTGACCTCAATCTGAGCCATGCAGTCATATTTCTTGTCCTCACACTAGTGTCTTGTGGGTAGAAGAAACTAGGAAGCACTGAAGAAATTGCTCCAAGCAAGCAGGTAGTGCAAATGGCACCAGGAGTGAGGCAAATTCTTTGCCACTATTTGCATCCCACCTCCCATCTTGCAACTGTGCCTTCCCAGTACAAAAGTTGGAAGGATCATTTTGGCTCATCACAAATCTTCACCGTCTCAGTAATACAGGTTCGTAGTCAACCAAGGTTTACTCAGAGTAGACCCACTAAAATTAATGGACATATTTAAGTGAGGTCCATTAATTTCCATGGGTCTACCTTATGTAAAACTTAGCTGAATACTGCTCACAGGCTCATCTGTTTCTTCAAAAGCAGCTGTGTATGACACCTAGCTCTAGAGGTGATCTCTGAAGAAGGAACAGGGTATGCTATGGTACCAGGTTGGAAACTTAGGACGTTCCTCACCACCTCCTCCCAAGTAACGCATCTCACCAGCTTTTTGACCAAGTGCACAGAGCAAGACCAATGAAGCAGGGAAAGTAAAACAGGTAATATAATGGTGGAAAGATGTAAACGCTGGAGCTTAAAAAGCTGGGAAAAATCAGGAGCAAGGGATTTGGGTCTGAACTCACTAAGGTTGCCCTGCCTACACAGCAAATAGCTTAATTTAAAGGCAGACTAACTGGCCCTTCTGCCACTTTATAGGAACCTCTAAGCAGAACTGTTTCTTAGCCTACTTTCATGGTGAATTCTTCTTCAGTCCAAGAGTTTGTGGCAGCTGGTAGCCAGAGTAAGCTGGGTCCAATGCACACTGCTAAATTGAACGCAGTCATCTTATTGTCTTCAGACTGCCTTTCTATGCTGTGTAGGACTCCAAACAGGTAACGGAGCAGCATCACATTGGCTCCAGGTAGTTGTTCCATTAGCCTAGCAACACACAAAACACACAGCTCTTCAGAACACAAGACTGTTTGCAAAAATTACACTCAAGACTCTTCCTTCTGCCATTCCCCAGCCTAGCCTCCTAGCTATGCCAATCTGGAGCCCACTTCATGGTAAGTGGAAATCCACAAAGTAAATAAATTTCCCCACATTCTATTTTAAAGCACGGAGATCTGCACCGTATATCTTCTTTCCTGCATGCCATGAACAGGTGAGAATATTGACCAGGGGACCAAAATGGAATGCTGAACAATCAAATCTAAATTTATAAGCTTGTCTGCAACAAGAACTGCACCTCAAACATTCTGCTTTTTTCTGGGTATTTTTGGAAGCAGCACAGGAGGTTACACAAACAATTCTACCTGTGGGTGCTTTTTATCTTCTCTTCATCGTTCCCTTCATCCATTAAGGAAACCCACTGATCACAGAGCTGGGATGAGAAAACGCTGCCGGGGATATTACGCAAAAAATCCTGAGGAAGAAGGAAGAAAAGTATGGATGAGCAACCATTTGTGGGGGACTGTTTTATAAGAAGTAAACCATGGAATTCCTGGAACAAAATCCCTGTAGATCATAAGATTGTCTACTAGTGCATCATTGAACAATTTTGGTCCTCTCTGAACCATTTCGATTGCTATGGATGGATTTGAATCATTTCTCACAGAGTAAATGAAACAGTAGCTAGTTACTTCATAATGCTAAGAACAGCCCTGATGGACCAAAGGTCTGTCTAGCCCAGCATTCTGCTTGCACAGCGGTCAACCAGATTCCTATGGGAAGCTCATGAGCGGGGCATGAGTGCAACAGCACCTCCACTGGTTTGAGACTGAAAAAATTAATCTGTTATCAGCCAGTGCAGAATAACAAACAAAATGTTGTCTCAAAGTCCAACGCAGCCAGGGTAGCCTTATGCAGTGCAGCACCTCTTAGCCCAACCAAGCTCCGAGGCTTACTACACAAATCTATTTGGATAGCCCCTTTGAGCTCCTTGGAAGAAGGGCAAAATTCCAAAGGAGCAAATAAAACATCTCCTCATGTATTAAAGAAAGGGTGACCAATGCAGTGCCCTCCAGCATGGCCAGGGATGATGGGAGTTGGAACCCACAACATCTGGAGGGTGTCATGGTGGCTACTCCTTCTTTCATGCATCAGCATGTGTTTGGCATCAAACACCTGCATTTTGAAACCTATCCCATCTGAAGTTATCCTGTGGCCCCAGTTATCCCAGCTTACTCTCCCACGAGTAGCTCATTCCATTTACTAAAATTTCTTTTAATCTAGACACCACCACGTTCCATTAACGAACATGCTGAAAGCCACCAGGAGGCTCTATGATAAGACACTTGCTCCGATTTCTCTCTCTCCTTACTAAGATGTTACATTTTCTTTGAAATTCCTAACAAGGTTTGTTTTCTTTTTTTGAAAGCCCTGTAAAAGCACAGGACCGGGCAGGAATTTCTTTACCATCCTGGCCTCCCATCGCTGCACTGTGGACCTGCCAATAGAGGAGAGTAAGAGATCTACCATGGCCACAACAGAAGGCTAAAGGATGGCTCAGTTATGGAAGAGCAGATCTGAATTGGCTGCCCAGAGGAAATCCTATTCTTGAGGCAAAAATAGTTCAAGAATGCCCATAATCCAATTGTTGATAAGATCAACACAGATGACTATTTTGGAAGTCTAACTTGGTTCAAAAAAACAGAAACATCCTAGGCTACAGAATCCATAACATAAATCTTAAGAGGGTGGCAGAGGGGATGAAGGAGGAGAAATGCCTGTCTACCTTAAGCACAGAGGCTATCACCAAAATGGACTCGCTGAGTAAGTTCACTTCAGCTCCCGAATCAAGCTTCTCCTTTAGCTCTCTGCAAGATTTTGCACTTGCAGAACGTCGGAAAATGCCCTCAGTGAAAGGCCCCTCTTGGTTCAGGAAAGAAAGCATGTCCTGTTAAAGAAAGAGAAATATATATATATGCATATTTAGGGTTGCCATATGTCCTATTTTTCCAGGACACGTCCTCTTTTTCACAGGTATGTAAAATGAGTCGTCATAGATAATCTCAAAAAAACCCAAAGGGATTCTACTGAAGTTCAGTCACTAGTCACTGAATGTATGGGATACTTACAAAGATTGGCTTGGGCAGCTTGTCTGGCAGAGGGTGTCCAAATAGCTTCCCTTGGGCAGACGTTGGGGAAGGAGGAGCTTCTGCACCCCGCCAGAAGGCCCAATTTATAGTGGATCTTTTCCTTTTAAGTGGCTTTTGGCTACACTCTGCAAGGAAAGAAAGAGGTTTCTTGTTACACTACACCACACACATTCATGTCATATCCTTTATTTCCTTCTCTTTAGTAGTTGTGATGAACCAACCGTCTTCTGTTTGGCACCCACACTATATAGTAACGTGCATGGGTTTAAGAGGAATTCCTAGAAATGTGTTTAGTGATGGCTGCATTCATACGATGAAGGGCATATTTTAAAAATCCAGCTCACTAAGGCCTTCTCCAGATGGCTATTTTGCAGCTACATTCTGCAACATGCTCTTGACACAAAAATATTGCATTAGGATTAGATTTATTCACATTTATTCTGCTATACCTCCCCAATGCTACAACAGTAGTACTGTTGGGGGGGGGTGTTTAGTGCAATACAAGTGGGATCAACCCCGCTACCTCAGATATTTGTGGCATGAATAGTTATGGTATTTCAGTAGGAAATTACAGGGCATGCACTTATTGCAAACAAAGCATATGACCTCCCCAAAACTTTTGCAGGTGAAGGGCCATGTTGCTTTCCCTTCATGGGGGAAGGAGCACAGAAAGTCTACTTATGTCCAATGTAACTGTACAAAAAGGCAACCGCTTCTGATTGAAGCTTTAAAGTTCTGATAGTGCGCAGAATTTCAAACGCATGTACCTCCTCCAGCTCTAGCCACAAACCCTTCCATTTCTCAAAGCCACCATCTTGGGAGTGTATATAATCTAAAAGGCAGACTAGAGACCCATCAAATAAAGAAATATAATAATAATAAAAAATGGCAGTGAGATCATTAGAACCAAAATGGTTCCCCATCCCTGGCCATGTTATACAGCAAAATATTGATCATGCAATATTACCCTATATGAGTTCAGGCAGGTGAAAATTGTTTTTGTTCATGTAATTACAGAAGTTCGCTTTAACTATGGGACTGGGAAGAATACTTTTAGCTAAAAGCTTAAAAGTCAGCAGCACTTGACTGAAAAATGTACTTTGTTTTAAAGCTTGTTTTAAACTAGTTTGGCTGGCGAAGTCTTTCCACAAAACATTCAGTGATGTAAAAATGAAAACAATACCAACTGCATAGCAGCCTGGTGAAAACTATCACTGCTTGGCTTGCTTTTGAATGCAAACTTCGGGGTAGGAGTTCTTTGCTTAATTGTCTTTCCAAACCATGAGATCTAGAAACTTAACCATTCAGGAATCTGATGCTGCACTGGATGGCAATGTCAGCAATCACCTTTCTGGAGCCTAAGGCCTCCAGACTCAGCAACCAGCTGCGCCCTCTGTGTTACCATGGCTGCTGGCCAGAGGAGAGAACAGCAGTAGCAGTTATCTTCTTGGAACCAGAAGCAGTTGACGTAACCCCAAGTTCACGAAGGCCCTGCTGATTTTCAGTAAGGTTGCATCAGGCAGATACTGTAGATATGTATAGCAGCGTTATGATGTGGGCAGCTTCACTTTCAACCCCTTTCCTATGTGCAGCTGCTTAACACTTTATAAGTTAAAACCAGCATTTGAAGAGAATGGGGGAAGCTGCGTAGGCAAGAGAAGACAAATGTAGTTTGCATCAATGTAACTGGCATGAAATCGATCCAAAAATACTGGGTTGTATCCACCATTACAGCTCTACTTGTGCAGCAGACTTCTGTGTTTCTTCAGTTACTAAGATTTGAGACCAAATGACAGTGCTCAGTTGCCTTGTGAGAGATGGCTATAAAAGTACTTGGAGGGCAGACCCTCTGCAATGATAAAATACATCACATTGATTGTTAGCAATATCAATATAAAAGACTGTGTGGAGAAGCGAATGTTGGGACATCTGCCCATGAATATTGAGGGGGTGGTGGAAACCTGCTCAGAAAGGAAAGGCTTCTTTTACACAGAATGGTTTGGATATATTTTTGTACTCAAGTTGTGACTTGGCCAGTTGACTGTGTCAAAAAACAGAGCTGTAGAGTGTCTGCCTTGCAAGGCAATGCACATCCATTTTGGAAGCAACTGTCAATCTAATTCCTATGCAAACGTATTTCACACTGCTGGTGAATTCTGGAAAGCTTGGGCAGCTGCCATATGGCATCTCAGCAGGCAGAAAAGATGTCCAGAAGGAAGTACAATGAGACAAAGGAAGGTCAGGTTCTGTAACAAAAGCCAAAGACATCTGCACTAACATTTTTAAAAATAACAACCCACTTCTATATGCAGCTCCCAATAGCCTCCTACTGATGTTTGTTTGTTTTTTATATATAAAAAAAATCAGATCAACATCTGCAGCAATGATGCAGCAACAGACAATTCTCTGGATTCTGAACTGCTAACTTTTAAGAATTGTAGAGGCTAAAGATAGCAAAGATATACAACCACTTCACAAAGCAACAAAGCTGGGAGTTTCAGATGCTTTGCTCAGATTCTTAAGTTTCTAGCCATCATTGTTTCTAGAAAAATTAATGAATATATGCACGTCCGGTAGGGTTTACTGAGCAATGCTTCTTATTGTAGCACTGAATAACCACAAGGGGGTGCTTCTGTTGCCAAATAACTCCGCAGAGAACAGAGAACAAACTCCTGATGAACACAGAAGAACAGGATCTACATTTTTCGGCCTGGCAGGAAGTGTCTGCCCAGACCAGATGGAAAAGATAAGCTATAAAGGGTCATAATATGAATGTGGATAAGAAGGGGCAGTGTGTGGATGCAACAGAGATACTGGAGGTTCAGAGAAGCATTATATGAAGCTTGAATGTGGAAATTATCACCACTCCAAACAAAATAAAGAAGAGAATCTGAAAGAGGTCTTTGTAGAGGTCATAAGAGAGGCTAAATTTGGAAACTACTTCCGCTTTCACAAGTAGGGTGCCCTGGTCAATGCACTTGGAGCATTTTGCTGACTGTGATGGGTAAGAGAATAAACATGTCCTTTATACTTGCAAAGTTGCTTCAGAAATAGCAAACCATGTGGCAAGGAGCCTGGGCAGGAGGGCAGAGGAGGCAGGTGTCTTCTGTGCCTGGAACAGCTATGCTATAATACACTCGCTTGCATTAGATAGTGGCATTACATTCTGTTACGCAAAAACAATGCAAAGCTGTAGTCCTGAAAACAGTAGGCAATGTCTTCTATGTACTGCTGCATGCAACTCCAATCTCCAAGCAGCAAGAAAGTGCTGAGGCGCCTGTGCTTACCCAGGGTTCAGTTTCCATGGAATTATGGTCAGTGGAGATGGTGGTGTCTTTAGGATATATGGTTTCATTTACCAATATACACAACCTGAGCACAGGCTGAAGGAGCTCACAGCGTCAACACCCCAACAGATCTTGCTTCCCCACCAGGTTTCCAGGAAAGCCCCCGCAGCCACAGTTTGGGATCAGCACAAAGCAAGACATGCTTCTGTGTCCCCAGCTTTCAGTTTCAGCCAAATTCTTATACATACAACTCTCTCTTGCACAGGCCCCCCCCCCTGTCCTGTTGTTCTCCATCCTAAAATGATGGTAGCATCCAGTCAGGTGAGATGGGAAATGGTCCAACCATTCATCTCTATGGCAACAGAGCTACCTCTTTGGATATAGTAAATAGCAGTACATAACTGGCCAATCAAAGCCATTATCTTAACAAAGGAACTGTTTTGGCTGGTTCAGCAGCCTCTCCCACAAGATTATAAACAGGTCCTGGATGGGACCCAGCGTCTCATCCAGACTGCCCCACTCACCAAATTCATAACTGGAAGCTTATCTAGCATTTCATCTAGCAAACAAGCTTCCCCACCATGACTGAAAGTGGGGAAAGGAGAGAGGTGTTGGTGGGGGGCTAAGCAAAAGAAGTGAGTGGCTGCGTTCACCACTGGCTCCGGCTCTGGCCAGAGTCTGTAGGCAGCCCTTGACAGCTTACATCTGAGGGAGCGCAGTTCTCAAAAGAAGCCCATTCCCTCCTGTAGGCCAAAGTCATAGGAAGTAACAGTGAGAAGCTCAACAGGAATCCCATGGGAACTGCATGGGCATTCCAGACCACCTTCCAGAATCCTCTGTGACACACACACAGGACTCCTCTGCAAATGTTCAGGAGTTCCTCAACTCACAAAAAAGAGGTTCCAGAAGCCACAACCTTTGATGCAACACTGCAATGAGAGAGTTCAAATGTGCAGTCCATCCCCCATTCACCCCCGCCCCCTCATTTTAAGTACTGTTACTTCCCCAAGGCCCTCAAGAGGAGACCAGATATGTGAATTGATGATATATAAATAAATTGCAAAAGTATGGATAAACCATTCAGGTAAGCCTTGAGAAATGTTCACTTATGAAAAAAACAGCGGAAAAAGGGGACAACTAGACCCAATGTGTTCTCTCTTTAAGCCAAGGAGGCCTTCTGAAGCTGAAGTATGATTGCTTTGAACAAAAGCTCTAGTCATTCACAAGCACGGACTCTAAAATGAAGAAATCTGGCCATTTCCTTGCGAGCTTTGGCTGGCTTCACGTAAGCTTTGGTCTAATAAGAAAAGAATTCTTAAAATACCCCCACCTCCACCTAACCCTGGAGTAAGAAGTTTGTTTGGCACGACCCCGTCTAGCCTGCCCCTGTGCTTCCTTTTGCCCGTTCTCCAGGATGGATGCTGGCTTGTTACCACATAGAGTTAATCTGACAAATGTTCTCTGAACGAAGCTTCTGTAAGCAGAGAGACTCACCATTCAGCTCATGGCCAGTGGCCAGGCGCCTTGGCTTGATTACAAACTGGCACTGGCGCTCACGGGGCAGCTGCTCGATTAGGATGGCCTCCTGAACTTCCAGAGGGCAGACGCAGTCCTTTGATTCCTGGGTCTGAGGCAAAGTGTCACGAATGTGGCTCATTTTAATTCCGAATGGATACTCATGTCCTTAGCAAAGAAAGAGGAAGAGGGTTTAATTTTCACCGAGTGGCGGTCAGGCAACGAATGAGCACCTCCCAAGGATGCTGCAATGATATTTATTATCTCTTTAAAAACAAACAAAGAAAGAAAACACACAGCAGCCTCGGAATAAATACTCTCTACCAGACTTACACTACACTATGATCTCCGTGCAATGTTTATTTTGATAAGCCTCAATATCTCTTCTCCCTAATTTCCCGAAACCTTAGCTAGCAGTTTGGTGCTCATTTTACTCGCCTGATTTTAGACTGCTGCAGCATGGCATGTCCCCAGGTTGGGGTTCCCTCTCCTCCACTGTATTCCTCGTTTTCACTCTCCTGGCCTCAACAGTCAGTCACCATTACATGGGCACTGAACACATTCAACTGTCCTTGGGCTGCTTTGGGTCCCAAGCCTTTAGGGTTTATCTAAATATTTCTTTCCCCTACTTTGGCAAACTTCAGGGTTCTCCCAAGCCTGCTGTTTTGGCTGTGTAAGCCGAAACATCAGAAATAGAGGGAAATGAAATGCCCCATACACGTGCATTTTGGCACTGGCCAGCCAAAGGATGTGTTTCTGGTGGCCCAGTTGACCGGATGAAGCTTCAACATAGGGCTCCTTACCCTTTGCTGCAGAGATGGGGAGACGGGGGTCATACTGGCTGGGGCTGGAGGGAGTTGGGAGCTGAGCCACATCTGGAAGGCAACAGGTTCTGCATCCAACTTGACAGTCTTTCAACTATTTAAATATCTGAAGCTCTTCCACAAGTTCTTAGTTTAGCTTATTTTGCCCATTTACTTTCATCTTTCCCACCACAAGACCTTCTTGTACCCTTTAAGACAAGGTGCTGCCCTCAGGTGCAATAGAGGTCACTGTTTCACCACCAGTGCTGAAATAATACCTAACTGGCAGTCCTATAAACTTCGGCATCTGGAATTGGGAGAGGTGAGGAATGCTATCTTGTCTGTTTCCCCAGGCACCCAAATGCATTTTACTAGAAAAAGAGGTGCTGGAACTCAATTTGAACATCTCCCTTGTTCTTTTATAATGGCAATGACGCCCACCTGAGAGGTGCCCAATCTGATTTCTGGCAGGTTCAGGCTGAAAAAAAGCCCTTCCTCTAAATTACATTTCTACCTCGCCTTTTATCCAAGGAGCTTAAGGTGCCATACATTGACCTTCACCTTCACAACAACTATGGTAGGCTAGGTTGAGAAAACATGACTGACCCAACATCACCCAGTGCACTTCATGGCTGAGTGGGGATATGAACCAGGATCTTCTGAGTCCTAGCCCAATGCTTTAGCCACTACACTACACTGCCCTGGTCTGGATCTGAGTATAGATCTGTCAACTGCTACTAGCCATGGTAGCTAAATGGAACCACCATGTAGACAAACAAGTGGGGGTGGTTGTGAGGCTGCTTGGGAGCTTCCAGATGCATCTGTCTGGCCACTGCTGAGTTGCACAAGAGAAGTACATTTCAGATCACAACAAACATGAACAGCCGAGGCACTTTATGGCTCCAAAAGGAAAAGGAGATATTCCAAAATTAATTCACACACATCCTGTCTAATGCTGGAATAGCACGCTTGATCACTTCTGTGAAATTTTGCAGAGGATTAATCGTTTAAAATGTATTTGGAAGCTATGAAACCGGAAATCTGTTTGTGGGTGTAATGGGAGTCAGAGAACAAAGCTGAAGCAACAAGGGCCACCAATTTGGCTTCTGATCTGCATCTGTGCAACTCCCACTGCAAATCAAGTAGAGATGGAAACAGGGCTCTGGGTGATGTAAAAAGGGGGAATGTAATAAAGGAGTATCACTTTAGTATCTGGCACAGTTTTAATAAGAGACAATTATGTTCTAACTTTCAGGGGAAGAGATTCTGTGAACTCAACGTCCTTCCATCTGCTTTTCAAGACTGTTCCTGATATTTTGCACCAACAGATATAGAATTAAGACTACATGCAGAATCTAAGAAGACAAATGGTTATCTTTCTCGATTAAAATGTCCAAGTTATTAGTAATCTAGCAGTACTACTATTATTAAGAGCCTGTAACTACAATAGCTCTTAACTGCAAGGGGGGGGAGAATGCTTGGATTTCATTGATCAATTATTTATCTTTAGTGATGTACTGGCAAACACACCACCATCCTAGACATTTTTACCTACCTAGTCTGCAGAAACAAAGAAGTGGATCTAGACCTGCATTACCATCCGTAGGCCTGTGCCTCATGTAAGTTGGTTGTCATCTTCAACTGAAAAGGACTAGCCACCCGCCCAAGGGAACTTTAATGGACTGATGCATATATTTCATATTTTAAATCCCAAATGGAGAACACCATAAAAATCGCTGGCTCTCCACAACCAAACGTGTGCAAGTAAGGATTGAAGAAGAAGAAGAAGCGTTTGGATTTGATATCCCGCCTTTCACTCCCCTTCAGGAGTCTCAAAGCGGCTAACATTCTCCTTTCCCTTCCTCCCCCACAACAAACACTCTGTGAGGTGAGTGGGGCTGAGAGACTTCAGAGAAGTTTGACTGGCCCAAGGTCACCCAGGAGCTGCATGTGGAGGAGCGGGGAAGCGAACCCGGTTCCCCAGATTACGAATCTACCGCTCTTAGCCACTACACCACATTGGCTCTCACATTGGGTTTCCTTTTGGTCTTTTGTGTGTGTGTTGCTTGCTTTTGGCTGTTGCTACATGCTCATAAGCCCTGAGGAGGGGACAGGATAGAAAAGGAACTAAAAAACAGACTTCCCAGAAACTTACCAATAAGGGGATATGGAGCATCTTCTCTACCAGAATTCACCCAAAGCTGATATTCTTTTTCAGAGCCCTTTAAAAACACAATCACACAGGTATTGCAATTTGTTGTTTGTAATTCTATATTGAAGAAAACCAAATAACACTAAAATAAAGAAATGCAATTCCACAGTTAAGGCAGCTCCTATTATACAGGGCAGTCACAGAAACTGGTACTACGCTTTGTGGTTTCCTGCTCCCATGAGTATGGAAATATGCAGCAGAGTGGTATTAGGAGATGGGGTATTTTATGCTAGGTATTACATAGGTGAAGGAAAGAAACGTTATGTCTTTGATAGTATCCCCATGGCTCTTGGTCTTCTTTAAAATACACGTCTAGCACCATGGATGCTACTTCAATACCACTGCAGGGTTCACTTCAGTGGCCTGCAGACCATGCAGTTTCTTTTCCCCACAGAATCAGTGCTCAAAGTCCAATGCAATTGTCCTGCTATTTATACACCTGGCTCTGAAACAGAGGACCACAGCTAATGGAAGGGATTCCTACAGTGCAGGGTGCACAGCTTTGGCAATTTGTAACCCTGACCAAATAAGCAAAATTAAAGCAAGAGGAAGAATCCCAAATCATTTCAGGCAGAACAAATTGCTTTATCCAGACTCCAGCTACAATCTTGGTCCAGAGCCCCACACTGTAGGTTTTGTACATATTGCATGAGTTCTTGGGCCAACTGAGGCTTTAGAAGTGGGTGGCTAAGTAGAAACAAGAGCCAAGCCTTCTTCTACACACAAATTCATTAAGGCAAAGAGGTGGATTGTCTTTTTTGCTGAAAAGAGATGGGGGGATTAAAACTCAGAAAAATAAATATATTTCCTCTGAGTCCTGTTAATGTTCATTCCCCCACCATTGTTTTTTCCTGGTGGCCCAAGTTAGAGAGTGCTTTAGCTTTCTACTACCTATGGGATAACGTAAGCACACATCTGCCAATAATGCAATTTGTTAAAGAGTACATTTTTTAAAATGACATCATGAATACTCACATTGATTCCAAGTTGCTGCAAGGCCATGAGGACTATGTCACTTGCTGTGTCTGTGTTGTTTATGGTTAAGGTTTTTGACTGTTGGGGGAGAAAAGAGGTTGAAGAGAACATTATTACCCAAATCACAGCACTTTAAAAGTAGTTAAGTACAGCATGAAGCTTATACTTTTGCAGGAGGAAATGTTAGCTGGAACTTTGATGTAATATCTACACCCAGGAAGCACACCTGATGAAGCAACATTTAACTTTACCATATACAGTGGTGCCCCGCAAGACGAATGCCTCGCAAGACGGAAAAACCGCTAGACGAAAGGGTTTTCCGTTTTGAAGTTGCTTCACAGGACGAATTCCCCTATGGGCTTGCTTCGCAAGACGAAAATACCTTGCGAGTCTTGAGATTTTTTTTTTCGCTTTCCCCCCCCTTTATCTAATCTGCTAAGCCTTTAATAGCCTTTAATAGCCTTTTAGCAGCTAATCCCTAACCCTTTAAGCCTTTAATAGCCGCTAAACCGCTAATAGCGCTAATAGCGCTACTCCGTCCATGGGCTTGCTTCGCAAGACGAAAAAACCGCTAGACGAAGACTCTCGCGGAACGGATTAATTTCGTCTTGCGAGGCACCACTGTACCTTTTTGAGGAAGGGCAGATCAAAAGTATTCTTATGGCTGCATGGAAACCCCACTTGTGATTAGGGAGATAGAAGAATTCCATCAGAAACTGAAACCAGAGCAGAAATTCTCACAACTTGCATGTTTGTCTGAGGTCACTAACAGAAATCATGTAAGTGAATAGGAGTGCTTGATGCAATTGTTGTTTTTTCAGTCAGCAAACATTATGTGAATAATGTTATCTTCTACATTGCTTTTGATGCTTCTCTTCCATTGAAATGCACTAAAATTAATTCATAATTAACTGCAAAAGCTTCTGCCCTAGCAGAGAGTGAGACAAATAAAGTAAAAAAAAAGTCCACAGGACTTCTCGGTTTCAGGATCTTGCGCCAGTTTTTTCTCTGCAAAATATCAAAAACAGCCTTCTGCATGAGCCACTGAAAAATAATAAACTGACAAAAAGACTTAAGCGAAGGAGTACAAACACAGTCTATTTTTGCCTGGGGATATAGCTGAATGATCAGAACATAAACAAAGGGGGGGGGGAGATAACATTTTCCCAAAGCAATGACATCTGGCACCCAGGAGTAGGTCAGCACATTTGCATAAGGCTTGCCTTTGGCTAGAGAATATAATAAAATAATTTGTGCTGCATATGCCTCCTCCCTAACTAGCCCTTACTCTAGCATAAAATGAAACAATTCCCCAAGATCTCCAGCTGCTCTTGCAAAAAAAGGGAAGGCGAGCTTCATAGAAAGTGTTCAGATTTTTAGGAAGCTTCCATCTGCCACTCTACTGCCTTATCAGTGGTATTTCTGGCACTACTGTGTTGTACTTCAAGGATGACCAGTCCAAGGGAGCCTCCAGTGACTCAGTTGTAAAGGTTCTGAACTACTGCACAATTTTCGTGCGTACACAAAACTGACAGATGCCGTTCCCCAAACATCTCAGCTGAGTTTTGTTCAAACTGTCTTAAACCAGCATGATTGCCCTTTGTTTGGATGATATAATCAGAAATACTTGCTTTGATCCTCACTTCCTTATAGCCAATTTTATAATGAGCCGGAGTGATAAAAAATGAAAAAGAAGGTCATGGACCACTGGTAAAATGTGACTGGATAAAATCCCAGTGCTAGAATTCAGTTCTGAGATATACAAGGAAATTTTGGGGGAACGAGGAAGCATTAGGACAATGCTCCCCAGCAGAATTCATGCAGGAGACTAGAATTTTCTGAGTACCGAGTACAGCATAGGGAAAATCTCAAAGGGCTTCTGAGATGCCTACTAGAGGTTTCCTACATATATTTGTAGAAACAAGAACAGGCAGGATGCTGGGTTTCTCTTTGGTGAACAGTCTCCAACATAGGAAATAGGAGGAGACGGATAGGAGACATGATAGCCACCTTCAAATATCTAACTGGCTGTCACATGGGGGATGGAGGAAATTTGTTTACTCCTGCTTCAGAGGGTAGGACCCAAACCACTGGATTCAAGTTACAAGAAAAGGGATTCCAACTATACACCAGGAAGAACTTTCTGGCAGTAAGAGCTGTTCGACCGTGGTCATAAACCATGGTTTGTGAAGAAGCCAAGGTCATAAACCATGGTTTGAACTAAGCAGAGCTCCCCCACGTTTGGATACAGTAGGGAGTTCTGATTAGTTTAAAAGCAGATGCTCCTGACTGCCTCCTTGCCATCATAGTAGATGAGATGGGGGTATGGTGTTCAAACCCATGGCTTGTTCATGTAATGTGAAACCATAGTCTGCAAAGACTCTGTGCTATATTGGTTAATGGTCTTGTAAACAAACACCTAAATTTTGTTCTCGGAAATAAGCATTACACATCAAGCAGCATTTGAATTTTCACAGCTGTTTGCCAAGGAACAGGTACAACGATAGCACTGACGCGCTCTTCATTCAGCGCGGCTTATGAACACTTACATATGCACAGCTTCCAATATCCTTTGCAATGATTTTCAACGGAATGCTCTTGGGATAGTCTTTTTCCTTCTCTTCCTTGATACGGCTGTCAAAGCAAGCAGAAATGGAGTTGTTTAACAAAACAGAGATTGAAACAACAGAATAACAGAAGGAAAAATATGTTATGCTGATGCTCTAAATGCGAAGAGCTCTTCTGAAACAGCTTGCCTCTAAAATGCACCTTTAAAATGAGAAGGACCTCTTCTACACAAATAGTTTGATTATTCCCTTCAAATGGTAGATTTGGAGTCTGCAAAATTAAATCCTATTCAGTAAGAAAAGCTCCATCCAATTTTGCTATCTAAGCAACATGCCAGTTTCTCTAATCTACTTTCACAAAACTTTTTCAATTTCTGGAGGCACAAAATGAAACTACATATCAACAAGATGGCAACAAGGAACTGTCCTAGGTTCCGAATGACAGACAAGACTTTGTATGGGCTATTATGGCAAAACAGAAATACCTTTGTAGGAAAGTAAGCCACTTCTCTTTCTGCTCGATGGAACTGAAACAAAGAAAAACAAGTTTTAAATGATAGCTATGTACCACATTTCCCAACTTAATAAAAGCTTTAGAATCAAAATTTCGAAGTAGATTATTCCCTCCATGCCCAAGCTGAGAGCTAGCTGAGAAACTAAACTGGTTGGATGAGGCCAGCTGGTAAATGGCACCAATAGCTGTGGCCTTAGCAAGCGACCCATCAATTCATGTACCTCGTGTCTTTGTATCTTTTCATCTCTCAGAAAGTGTTTCAAAGCCTCCCATGGATTCAGAGGATGTTAAGGGAAGTATAAATTGCTTTCACATCATGCACTTCATAAATATTTGGACTTTCCTTTACAACAACTCTTGTAAAATTCTTCAAATGCCCTCTTTACCTCCCATTGTGAATGGCTTGGCTTACATAAAATCTAAAATTCCCTTTTTAACAGAGGCCATCATATTTATAAAGTCAGACTATTTCAGAATCAACAAAAGACAGTCAAGAAAAAGTACCTATTAAAACATGTTTTTTCCACTGACATATAAAATCAAAGCTACGCTATCACCATAAACCAGAACCTACTTACTCTAAAATTGTAAAAGTGGAGATCAGTGAGATTCCAATTAAGTGGGTTGTGGACTGCAGCATAGACAATCAAAACTTTTCTGTCAAATTTATTTGGCAAGAAATAAAAGAGTGCCACCTTATATATTCTCTCTTGATATAGACATTGCCATTTATAAGCCAGGCTGCCAATCTGTTTCCAGGCTTGATTCAAGGTACGTAGTTTTGGCCCGGGACAGAATATCTCAGAGAAGAAGCCTTCCCCATACAAGCCTGCCCTATACTGTCACTCATATTCCAAGTATCTTCTTAGGGGATCCTCCTGCCCCAGTCTTCTCCAATACAGTGGTACCTCAGGTTACATACGCTTCAGGTTACATACGCTTCAGGTTACAGACTCTGCTAACCCAGAAATAGTGCTTCAGGTTAAGAACTTTGCTTCAGGATGAGAACAGAAAACATGCTCTGGCGGCGTGGCAGCAGCAGGAGGCCCCATTAGCTAAAGGGGTGCTTCAGGTTAAGAACAGTTTCAGGTTAAGAACGGACCTCCGGAATGAATTAAGAACTTAACCCGAGGTACCACTGTATTGAAAGCAAAAATATAATCTTAACCTAGAATTAGAGATACCAAAGGGTATGATAAAAGCTTGGATTTATCTCAATATAATAAGACTTCATTTTGGGTTGTTAAAAATAAAGGTTTTATTATGACTGATGAAGTGCCAATGGATTTCTAGAATAGAATGACAGAAGTTCACTGGATAGAGTCCAACACTGCACAGCTGTATCTCCCACTCACGAAATGGGACTTCACCTTCCTATGTTTGCCCTGAAGACCTCTGCACACCCTAAAATCTGCTCTCCAACCCTTCAGAGCAGATTTTGGAGGTGAAGTCCATTCCATAAGGATAAATTCATTTCCTTCAGGCATGGACAGTAATTGATACTAGTACCAGAAGGGGTCCAACCTATCTTACGTCTTCTCATCTCTCTTGCCCTTCTTGGCTGTTAAAAGTGAATCAGAGGGGACTGACCAACTGGCTCAACTATTTCGCTTTTCTGCTCTATATTCATTGCAGGGACCACCAGGAGGACGTCAATAGCATCCCTCTCCCCAGAAACTCTGGAAACTGAAGCTCTGTGTGGGTGACTACAGATCTCTAACAAAAATCTCAGCAGTCTTATCAAAATGACAATTTCCAGAATCTTTTGAAAGAAGCCATGACAGTCAAACTGTGTAAAGGCAGAAGGTCTATACCACAAATGCACCACAAAAACCATGAGAAAAGTAAGTATGACTTGCATGCATGTAAATTATTATTTCATGTGCATTTGAAGAACTGCCACAAAACTGTTACTTTGAAAAGCAAGACCCAGAGGGCTCCACTCATTCCAAGCTGCAGAAGGAATCTTGATTCAACACCAGCTTCATTTGCACTATGAAGGGTCTCTCATTGAGGTAATTCATAAAAAAGGGTACTGGGTATTTTCAGCTCTTGGTCATTCATAAACTTTAACGCTGTTGGATGAATGCAGGCAGAAAGGAGGCAACCAATGCAAATAGTCTCTCATACCTGAAGCTGGCAACACAGTTGGTGGTGGGCCATCCTAAAACAAAAGACTTCTCCAGGTCAGTGCTACCTTCACAGACCTCTTCCAGGCAAGAAGCTGTCCACATGTCACAGAGACGCGCCTGGCTCTTCAGTTTGAAATGCAAGTGTGACCTGTAATTAAAAGAAGTCTGTTATAGTACATCCCTGGCAACTGAAGGTTAGAAATAACTATGAAACAGGCACATTTCAGCCAGCGCAAAACTATAAAAACAATGGACTCTGTTGGAACTACACACAGGAGTTGCAACTGACACAGCCCTGGAGGCAAAAAGGGTGAACTAACAGATGATCACCAATTCAAAAATGGGCTTCGTTGGAGCTGACCGAGTTCTGCAGTGAAACAAAGACTGCTTCCAAATGCTGTATTTCAAGAAAAACAGTGAATCCAGGAGTATATATCTGCTCTTACAAGTGGAAACAAGAGTAATCTCAAAGCCATGTCAAGAAAGGTCAGAGAATGTTCTGATGTCACTTTGGTATTCAAGCCACTTCGAGTCATGCGGTACAAAAGCAGCTCATTAATATAAATAAAAACGAAAATGAACACACTTGCTGACCTCAGGCTCTCTGTTGTGTGTGAAGCCTGGTGTGGAAGCATAAAAAGGCTGACATAGTAAGTATGGGGAAGGTCACGTGTACTTGGCCTTTCCCTCAACTCTTGTCAGATGTGTATCAATGGGACAAGCAGGCTTACCAGACACGGAAGAGACGCCTGACTTGAGCATATTCACAATTTTGCTGACTATTACTGCTTTGTGTGGTTTTGCTACTGATATTAGTATTGATATTTCTAATTTGCCTTGCTTTTGGTTGGTTATATTGTGTTTTTATACTGCAAGCCACTTTAGACATCTTTGCTTTTATATATGCAGGCCCCATCAACCAAAATGCTGATGGGAGAGTTCCTATCAGCCTTGCATTAGGAATTCAGAGAAGACCTAACTTCCAGTGGGTGTTCAAATAGCCTTCTTTAACAGTCACTTCTGTCCGGAAGTGTTTGGCTTATTGTTATCTGATGCATTAGAAACTGAGAGCATGCCTTAACCCCCCCCATACCATACACACACATACCAGCCATTCTCATTATAAGGTGCTGCAGCTGATCTCTATCACAGGGTAAGGAAGATCTCACATTCAAATAAATGTGGTATCTCTCCATGTTCTCGTTATGGGGAAGGTACACATGAGCCTTAATTCCACATTCCCAGTCTCATTTCAAGAGGATTCCCAAAGGCTAAGCAAGGGCAGAACAAGGCCTGGGAGGGATAGGCAAAGTGGAATTCCTTCTTCAGTATTAGTCTAATTTGCAGTACAAACAACATAGGACACATTCAGCAATCTAGATCTCCAATGTGAAAGCACTTGACCCTTGTGGATTTCAAAGGACTGACCTACATTTATGATGCTCTTACTTTTCCAAAGCTTTTAATATCTCGTCTGTTAACAGCTGTGGCTGGATGCTGTGCCGCAGAGGAACTGGCACCAGTTCAAATATCCACAGATGTAAACATAGCTCTGGACACAACTCACTGGGAAAAGCCTCCAATGAAAACCTCACCGAAATGAACAGGAGTTGGGCAAGATCACAGCCGTTCCGTTAGACAATTCTCTCAAGTTCCACTGATGTTTTCCCAGGCATTCTAGGTAGACAGCGCCTTCTGAGAATCAAACATCTGTATTCCCTATCATAGCTCCTGCTCCTAGTTCAGCATTTAATGTTGAAATTCTCAGGGGTTAATGTGATGCAGAAAATGGTAGTGTAAATCAGCAGGAGTATAGAGTATTTCTCCCAATGAGATATGATTACAACACTGGGAGATATTTTGGTTTTTTTAAAAGGTAAGTAAGTGGGAGATACATATATGGTTTGGAAAAACTAGATAAACAAAAGTTTATCTTCTTCTCTCATGGTATGGGAACCCAGGGCATCCAATGAAACTGAATGTTGGGACTAAAATAAGGTGCCACAAGACTTTGGTCACATCCACACCAAACCTCCCTTCTGCTATCTCAGTTTCAGATATTTCATTTCTGGGAAATGTTATATTCTTATGGCTAACCTTTTTTTCCTGGCAGGGATCTTCCCAGGAAAATCTGAGATACACAGCTTTTCCTCATCACTTTATCCCCATGCCAGGAAACGCTTCATTTTATCTGTTAAATTTCCACATACTGAGCAGCCATTAAAGCCACAGAAGCAATAGCCCAAAAGTTGGCAGCTATAAAGCTCTCTTGAACACAGAACGCCAAGCTGACAATTAATTGTCTAATTAAACAATTAAAAGCAGCTCAGTTCTTTGTTGAAACCACTTCAACACAAATTGCCTGAATCAACAACGGTACAGGGGTGGTTTACAATAATGGCCATCTCCTAGGAGCCAGCCTCAAATAAAATCTGAATAAGAACCGACATTTCAAATACACTAAGTAAACTTCCTACCCCTCTTTTTTTTGTAACCAATCACAATGTGACGGGGAAAGCAAAAAGTAGCTATGTTGCTCTGTTTAAAATCTCCTTCCAAATCTGCTGTTGGGAAATGCCCTTATTAAGAACAAGCAGATTGTCACAAAATTGGGGGAAGATTTGAGAACTCTTAATCAGGCAAGATGCTACACAGGAAGGAAAAATAAAGAATAAGTATAAAAATCAAGTAGGATGTTGTAGTCATGAGATCAGCTTGTAGACAAAGTTCCATGATGCAAATTGCAAGTTGAGTAAATTCCTCCCAGGTGCCAGATACCACATTACACACCTAGAACTATGGGCTAAAGCAACAAGAGCTGCTCCCAATTTCTGATACTATAAAATCTTGCTTGTAACCCAGATCTGTCCCATGCTCAATTGGTAATTTACTTTTAATGAGCATGATTCAAATGAACATTACTCTAATTCCTATGGAAATAGCATATTTAGACTAGTGCTTCCAAGAGTTTCTTTAATTGCCTCTGTCCACCGCCTCACGTGTATCATTACCTCAGTTCCCCCTGCCATATCCTTTCAGTTCTATTCAGTTATAGCCCCATCTTTGTGGTGACCGTGTCTGTGAAATGCCCCAATTCACCAAAACGTATGTTCTTGCTTCCTCAGCACAGTCAAATCAGCTGTGTTCTAGACAGTAACTGTTCTGGTGGATGCTCCCATTTCTATAGCCCTCTTCAGAAATTACACCCATATGTTTGACCAGTCTGAGAGGGGGTATTACTGACTGACCCTACCCTCTGGCACCTGTACATACAGTAAACCTGTAGCAAAAAAAATACTTTACAGATGAACACACAAGGGTGCCATGTGATAATGAACGGTGAAATGGCTCCTGATCATGTGATTTTTAAAAAATAATATGTTTTATTGGTTTTAAAAACCGTGTAACCTAAGTAATCAACAGAAAATGAAAATAAAAATAAAAATAAACAAACATTCATTCATTCTATAGTTGGTGCTTGTTGTAACAGTTTGTAGTTGGATTCAACATGACCTCCGGTCCCCCCATTGTGGTTCCCAGATTACATTCTTTATCTGCACACTAAACTTTTGTCTCTTCTAGGTTGTTTCAATTACATTAATTTTATAAGATTCTCCTATTACACGCAGAAAGTCAATCCAGACCTGCCAACGGATTTACATTTTTGCAATGTTCTTTTAAATAAACTCTGTATACATCCCACTTTCTACTGAATTTCTCATCGGTAACATCTTGGAACCTTGCTGATAATCTAGCTAGTTCTGCATATTCTCACAATTTGTTTTGCCAGTCTAATTTGGATGGGATAGCTTCTCCTTTCCAACCTTTTGCGATTAAAATTTTGGCTGCTACTGTAGCATACATGAAAATTCTCCTGAATTTCTTTGAGATTTCATTACTCATTATTCCTAGCTGGAAGGCTTCAGGCTTCTTTGGAAAAGAGCATTTAAACATTTTAAAAAGTTCATTATAGATCATCTCCCAAAATTCTCTGATCTTTTTACAGTTCCACCCCATGTGGATCAATGTGCCTTCCACCTCCCTGCATTTCCAACAGGTGTTTCCCCTAGATCTGAACATTTTGGCCAGTTTGACAGGTGTTAAATACCACCTATAGAGCATTTTCATGCAGTTCTCTTTTAAATCATAGCATGCCGCAAATTTTATATCGTCCCTCCAAAGCCTCTCCCAGATCATGTGAATTTTTCACACATACAGCTTCTCTGCTACAGATGTTCAGGCTGCATGTTCAGATGCCAGAAAGAGGGGCTAATTTGTGTATTGATGGAATCCATGAGGTGTTATTTCTGAAGTGGGATTAAGTCTACACTCATTCTTGATCTTTTCCTCCCATATCTTTGCCAGATATGCAAATGGCCAGGACCGAGGGTGAAGTTATAGCTGCCAACATCACAAAGGCCCTCAAGTTTCCTGTAAGCAGGGAAAAGCAATTGCCATTTCCTTATGCACTACATACAGGTGAGGAACCTCTGAACTTCTAGATGAAAAATTCCCCAAACACATTATTTATCTTAATGTATCCCTCTTGTGTGCTTTAACACAGCAGTTTGCAAGGAGAAGGCTGACACACAGACTCAGAGGTATGGATTATAACATAAAAATACTAAGATCTAATGTAGTGGATTAGAATGTGAAAACAAGATAGCAAAAGAAACAAGAGGAAGCAATCCTGCATTTATGAGTAAACATATATAGAACTGTTCCGCCTGAAATTAATTAAAATTTGCACAGAAGCAATATGGAAGTCTGGTATTCTGATACTTTGTCATGGAGATGCAGATTTCCCCCGTCAGAATTTCTTTCTTTGAGGCATGTAAGTCACCATTCCTCCCAAGAACCGAGTCATTTAACTCCTGTCACTACTGAGTACACAATCTGAACCAGCCTTTGATTATATATCCTGTGTATCAGCAACAGACCTGGCAATCGCCTTTTTAATTAACACCTTGCTCTCTTCACTTCTTGGCTTTCAAAAACGTTAAGAGTGCTTCAGCACATTAGTTGTGCCAGGCAGTCTGTCAATCAAAGCCACTTGGATGTGAACATGAAAAATACAGGATATGATGTCCATATTCCTTTATCCCCACGTTTGACCATCAAGGATGCATTGGATGAACCTATCTGTGACTGTAACAGGGCTACATGCAATGTTTTCCATAGATTAACTAGTTACCTTACTTTTTCGTGTATTAGACGAGGGTTTTTTACTCCAAAATAAAGTAAAAAAATGGGGGGGGGGTCGTCTTATACATGGGTAGTTGCCTCCGTAAGCAGGATCTAGCGATTGGGTGGGTGAATGGTGTCTGCTGCAAGGGCTGCTTTTCTATTGGCTGCTGCTTTGTCAATCAGGTGGATTATTTGTGGATGCATCAAGGGCTGCTTTGGATTGGCTGCTGCTTCGTCAAATGGGTGGGTTATTAGCGGATGCGTCAAGGGCTGCTTTGGATTGGCTGCGGCTGCGGCAATTTGGCTTGCACTGCTTGCGTTTGTTAGTGTATGCCAGTTAGGTGAGTGACATTTGGTTCGGCATATCCCCCCCCCCATTGCTTATTTTCTTAAATGTGAGCCCCCCAAAATAGGGGGCGTCTAATACATGGGGGCATCTAATAGACAGAAAAGTTTGGTGTTTGGTATTTGATGTTTCTTTTCTTAAAGTACCAACCTATTTTCCCTTCTTGTCTCCTCCTTCTTATTTCTAATAAAATCCTGCTTTAATTTGGCTTTGGGGTTCAGAGTTCATTTGCGACAAGTTCAAGCGGCTGTGAGTTCAGGTAAGGAAATCTATCTGGTTCTTAATAATGAGTGGTTTAAAAACAAAGGGAGATCCTATTGATAACTATCTCATAAATAGACTTATTTAAGTGAGTAGTATTCATATAAACTTTACTAGAGCAGACCCACTAAAAGTAATGGATGTAACTTAGTCATGTTCATTCATTTGAATGGGTCTGCTCTGAATAAAACTTCATTCAATACCACTCTCTGCTTTGTTATCACGAGTACACCCTTTTGCTTTAATGATCTTGCATTAGCAAGACCTGTTTGGAAGATGCTCCGAAACAGAAGGTGAGAGCACCGAGGAGTCTGGGTAAGCCGTCTGTGTGCAGTCAGGCTTGACACTGAGCTTGGATTATTCACTCAGCCATACACAAATTAAATCAAATTTACAAGCTGGAGCTCTAGCATTCCAGCCTCCTGTAGTGCTTGTGGTTTCAGGCAATCCTTGGGGGTTCTTTCACATGTGATTATATGTGAGGAAGAAGCTAAGAAGGAAAAAGCCTGATGTCGTATAGTAAGTGTTGTACTGCCTTCTCCAATTTGGTGTACTCCCATCGTCCATGGTGGAAGTGAAAAACATATGGAGGGCACCAGGTTGGGAAAGTTTGGTATAGTTGGTAGGAACATCATTGGCTTATTTATATACCACTTTTTTTGCCTCCAAAGCAGTGAACAGATTAATACAACAAAACTACCGTTAAGTACAGATACAAATGCACAATTAATAAATACAATGAAATCATAAAATAGCAAACCCCCAGGCCCACCATGAATGGGCTTGCATGGGCTGCATTCATGCACTTGCCACCAGTGCAACTGCCCAAGCAATAAACTTCTTCCCTGGAAACAGCTATAGTTGTGGCTAAGGTCTTACAAGAAGATGGGAGGTGATATGGAATGCAATGCTGCAACTGACTCCTGAACTACAGTTATGCCTTCATTAGTCGCAGAGTGATTGGGTTTCCAAGGTGCTAAAAATGCATGCTTAAATTAGGGATCAGAGTTCTCATCAAAGCAGGGTTGTTCTCACATTTTTAAAATAATTATTAGATGACATTTGCATTTGCAGTAACTAAAAACTGTACAGGGCCCTACTGCAACAAAAAATGATCAGGTTGTTCCTCTGTTACACGTGGATTTGTTTGTGAAAGCTTTAAATAACAATGCTCAAAAGTGACATGTTAAGCAAGTTAAATAAAAGGGCTCCTTTTAAGTGCCATGTGCAAAAAGTACATTCTTATTAATAGAACTGGACACACTTCTTACTTCCAAGTCAACAGTGGCTGTAGCTATCCCCATATATTAGGTGTAATAAATCTGGCTAAATAAATAGTAATAACAAGGTAACTACAGGAATATTCTGAGCTTCAAACCCCAGAACAGTAGTTTGTAAAGAAAATTATCAGGAATCTCAAAGAGTCCTTTCTTCAGTACTGGACCTACTTGGGTTTGGCGACCACAAGAATATCTGTAAAGAGGAAAAGGTGTCGTTCCTGGGTCTGCAGGCCAGTCTTCAGCTGCACATGTCCATCCATAAGGAATGTTCTGCTGGGACAAATGAAGGACTGCACCAGCGGACATGTCTCTGGACTGATGGGAGAGAAGCAACTTTCCCTGTAGCAAATGTGAAAGGAAGACAGTGTGAGCTGAACCAAAGAATCCACATGCCATCCTTGTCCACACAGCAATATGAATGAAGAAACCATTTCAAATTTGAAATCAAGCTGAGAACCAAACAAATTTCATGTACTCAGAACAGAGGTGAAATTCAGGTATCATTTGAGGGATCAGAACAGGATTTCCTCCAAACTTTGACCAAAAAAAATCAAATCTTTGAAAATGGACACACTTAGAACCTATTTAGAAAAACCCCCCACAAACTCTTATTTGAATACCATTGACACCCCACGCAACACCCTCCGGTGTTAATTTTACCATCGAAATTTACTAAATTCCAATTCTTGAGTTTTATCCAAGTTTTGATTTAGTTACTGGTATCATAGATGTGTGGGGCAATATTTATTTTATCTTTGGGAAAACCCAGTTTTGTTCCCAGCTTTCCTTTACCCAGATTTTTACACACACACCCCTTCTGCATCTGGCTGTGCACACAGTTTCCCAGAATCCTCCATCCTTCCCCACCCAATCCTATTTACTGGGAACAACAACAATCGAAACAGCTGACCACCCAAAGAACTTTGCAGGAACGTTCCCTGAGTGGAGAGACTCATGCTGTGTTTGGATGCTTCTTGGCTTCACCATCCTGGTGTTTGTTATGGCCCTTGCTGAGTGCAGCTGGATTATTCAGAGGTGTCTAATGACAATGCTGACTTGGGAAACCCTAACAGCTGGTGCTGAGAGGACACAAACTACAACCACAGGGAGGATGCAGATAGTTGCTGCCTGACTGTGAGAATCCAGCCTTATCATTTGTTTGTTGGGTCAAAAATGCTGTATTTTATTATTTCTTAAGTCTGATGAATATTTTCCAGTTTGGATCAGATCTGCCATTTTTAACCACTCTGCAAAATTGGCAAAACCCTTCTCTCCATATACCACAGGCCCCCTTCTCCTTGGTTTAAATCTTCAAGAAGATTTAAATCTTCAAGAAGGGGAACAGTGAATCAAGAAACCCTGTCCCAATCTGGGTACTTGTCATTATCTTATTCCACCCCATGATATTAATCTAAATCAGGGATAGGCAACCCGGGTGCCCTCCGGATTTTGTGAGACTCCCAGCCAGCCAGCATAGTCAATCATCAGGAATAACCGTGCCACAAAGCTGCTCAGGAAATTTCTCCCTGCCCCCACCTGGTTAGAGAGAGCGGGTGGGATAAAAGGAAGAGTGGGGATGGCAAGAGAAAGAGCAGAAAGGAGAAGAAAGTAGGAGAGGGAAAAGAAAAGGGGGCGGGGAACAGTTACACAAAAAAAAGGAGTTTGCTCAGAGCTCTCATTAAACTTGACCATTCCACTCATGAAGCAGGGCTGGTCTGGGGAGAGTGGGGTGGCCCCTCACCCAGGGTGGATCATAGACCCGGTAAGGCTAGCTGGTGAGAGAGGCACTCTTACCCTGGGGAATGAAGATTGTAATCCAGGCACATCTGAAATGCCACAGGTTCCCTATCCCTGACCTAAACAATGAAAAGTAGGCCTGTTGTCACCACTAGTGCCCATTAATGGATAGGATTTGCAGCCCTTGGACTAAAGAAAGGTTATAAATTATGTGCAATTCATCAAGTGTGACTAAAACACTACAAATTACAGCTGGAGACAATTTTGGATTTGGATGGTGCAACCCCCTTCCATTACCACATTATTTTCCTGGAAGGCCACTGCACCTTGAAGACCTCTATGACAACGAGTCAATAGCTGAAGCACCACAATACTATAATGCAGTGTTCAAACCGTGTTCTAGGAAACACTGGGGTTCCATCCATACTTAGCTGGGTTCCTTCAGTGGGAAGATCAATAACAATGAATAAGATTGCCCATCACTAGTGACCTTCCTGTTTACAAGTGAATATGAGATGTGTTCTAGGTTGCATATTCAGTTCATGTAAATCAACAGGGAGGCCCAGAAGAGCGGGTCCCGCATTAACTATGTATGCAACCTTATAACACCCCCCAATCCTCTGCAACACACTAGCATTCCGCAGCAGATGTTCAAAGGTTTTTTGACAAAGTCGTATGGAAATGGAACCCTGAAGCTAAAGTGTAAAGGAAATGGCATCTGTTGAATTCTTGCTTGGCATTCTGCTGTTAAATAGGTACAGCGGGAAAACTAGAAATAAATAGCAGTCCTTCATGCAAGCTCAAGTAGAAAAAAGTACCCATTTCTGAAGACATAGGGACATTACTTCAGAAACAGGGAGAACCCTCAATTTATCATCTTTTTTCTTTTCTTCATTTTTTTTAAAAGATAGTAAATGCACAAAGAAGTTTTTCTACTCTTCTTTGCTTCGTGCATTTGGGTCATACCAGGGTACTGAACTCAGGTTATTAAAATAATTGGGATTTCAGCATTTATGGAAACTTATTCAATAATAATTTTTTATGGTACACTTTGCTTGCACAATGTGTTCGGGATTTTCGGTCTCATTTCGATATTTGCCTGGCAAGTCTCCCATGTTATGTACAAAAGCAAGCAGAAATCATTAAAGCTTCAAATTTCACATGCTAAACTGGATGGTGCGATAATGTCTGAACAGTGTGCTCAAACTGGGAGGTGAGAGACAAGCAGAGGAAAGAGTAGTTGAGGTGAGGTGAACAATTTTGAAAGCCTTTGTTACTAAGAAATCCTATAACAGCCAAGGTTCAGGACGTTCACAAATAGTAACTGTAACCCCAGTGGGATAATAAGCAATTTCTCCTTTTTTAATTCTTGCATTATTATCCAGGAGGGCAAATATGCATAAAGAGGGTTTTTCAGGTGCAGTGTGAAGAATGCAGCAAGTGTAGAAAGGCCCCATCTGCAGTATACATTTAAAGCAGTATAACATCACTTTAAACAGTCATGACTATCCGCAAAGGATCCGTAGAACTGTAATCTGTTAAGGGTGCTGAGAGTTGTTAAAAGACTAGTCCCCTCAAAGAGCTACAATTCCCAGAATTCCCTGGGAAGTGAGATTAACTGCTAAATTCCCTGGGAAGTGAGATTAACTGCTTTAAATGGGGCCAAAGGGTGTGCGTAGTTTTTGAGAGCTACTTTATTAAAGCCAAAGTAACATGCAATAAAAAAGCAAAGTCAAAGGGTTAAAGCTTCAATCAAGTGTACTGTGGAACTTTTGACCGAGAAATATTATGCACCAAAGGGTGCAAAGCAGCAAAGCTCTTCTCTCTCTTTTCAAACTATTTGTTTTTACTTTATTCATAAAATAAGAAAATGGACAGAAATGCCACCAACTGAGGACCCCCACCACCACGTTCCAGGCATGTGCAGATAATACCATTTACAAAAATAAAATAAAATCCTCCAAAATAAATAGTAATGTAAACAGGGAGGAATTGAGAAGCCTGCTCTCATCCCTCATTTCGATATCAACTCATATGAAGTAAAACATTCAGAACATATTTGCTTGAACTAAAGCCAAACCATTTAGAATGTACATAAACAGAAGCATATTTACTAGACCCTAAGATAAAATCATGCTGAAGTTTCTGTATACTTAAGGGGGACGGGGAAAGCAACCAAGCCAATATGCCAGACTGGCTTGGCTCCTGCCAACTTTGACTTGATCGGTAATCTTCTCCATCAACAAAATAAATCATACAATATCCTAAGGACGTAAGAAAAGCCCGGGTATATCAGGCCAAAGTCCCGTATCCTGTTCCTTATGGTAGCTAATTGGATGCCTATCTATGAGAAGCCCACAAGCAGGGCGTGAGGGCAGCAGCCCTCTTCCACTTCCAGCACTTTGTCTACACCAGGCATCCCCAAACTCGGTCCTCCAGTTGTTTTGGGACTACAATTCCCATCATCCCTGACCACTGGCCCTGTTAGCTAGGGATGATGGGAGTTGTAGTCCCTAAACAGCTGGAGGGCCGAGTTTTGGGGTGCCTGGTCTACACAGTACCTCTGATCCTGGAGGAGGTGTAAGCTCACAGGCTGAGGTAAGTGGCTGAGTGAGTCACTGAAGAGCCACTTTCCATTTCCACCACCCCCTGGGGACCCAACAGCAAGCAAGTTAGAGAGCATCAGCAGACCTCAGGGTAGACTGTTATCAAAGGTCACTTCCAAGTAATTCTATTGAGTTGACATAAGGGAAAGGGGCACATCCTGTGCTTTTATCCTGAGCTTTTGGGACTTGCCTAGGGTCCCAAAAGGTGTAGGGATAGGGTGTTAGATTCTTTATCGTTAGTATTTTAAGTATTCTTTCTTATAAACTATTAATACTTTAAGTATTCTTATTTTTAAAAAACAACAAAGAGAAACAAAGGTTTTGTCATTAAATCACATTGATTATTTGTTCACCCAGAACCCCTGAATTTTAGTGCTGTGTGTGTGTGTGTGTGTGTGTGTGTGTGCGCGCGCGCGCGCGCGTGTGTGTGTGATAGAGACCTTATTTTTTCTAGTTGAGGTAAGCTTTTGCTTAATTCATCTCAACATTTTTTATTTATTAGTTGCTTGTGTCCCAATGGCTCTTCAAATGACTTACACTATACCTTGAAAAGGAGTGGGAGGCATATATGACACATTAATACATCTGGTGAGGAATAGCTCAGTCGGAAGAGCATGAGACTCTTCATCTCAGGTCAGGGTTGTGGATTCGAGCCCCACATTGAGCAAAAGGTTCCTACATTGCAGGGGGTTGGACTAGATGACCCCCGTGGTCACTTCCAATTCTACCGTTCTATGAATATGCCATACGATATATTGAGGAAATAAAAAACCCACCAGCACCCCATAACAATGACAAAAAACATTAGCAGTACACAGACAATAAACAAAACAATACTCCCATCCACTAACAGACAAAAATAAAAGCTCAACACTGACACCCCCCTCCCTCACCCAAAAACCATCCACATTAACCCAGTGACTTTTTTGTTTTCTCCCACCCATCAAGAAGTCTGGCATCAAGGCCAGCTGCTTTAAAGTAGAGGTAGGTGGGGAGGTTTCTTTAGCATCTCTCTTCTCGCTTCTGGGGCGGCAGCAGTGAAAGCAGAGCAGGAAGATGGCAAAGGTTCTACCTGCTCTGCAGTTGTCCCTGCTGCTGCTCCTCTCTTGCTGCTGGTGCATCACCAAGTCAGTCAACTCTGAATGACCTTTTCCTGAAATTTAAAGAACCCTATAACTGCTTGGTTATATTTTTAAAATAGCAGCTGCCAGCCTTGGAACTGAACCAAGGACCACCCTAGCACTTGAAGCACCTGGATACTACCCACAATTCAGACATACAATCTAGCTCCAGGGCAGCCTGGCAGATGGCCAACAGAAAGTCACTGACAGAAACCCAGAGGGTGGTGACTGAGGTCCAAACTACACCTGCGCTTAATAAGTAGCAGGGAGCTTTGTATATTGTTTTTCCTTGACTACAGGGACAAGGGACCCAGATATCTTTGCAAAGGCCATGCTCACTGTAGAGAACAATTCTCTCTCTATCCCCAAGCGACCAGCCTGGGAATTTCCCAAAGGCTGGCCACCTAGCCCAGCACTGCTTCCCCAGGATCAGGGCCTGTTGTGATGGGTCAAAACCACTGCCCACCCCAGGACCCAGTAAGCAGACAACATGGAGATTAGCCACACAGTTTGGAGGGGGTTTGGGGGGGGATCCCCATTGGTACCAGTTTTTCCTAATTTTCCTAGCCCTGTATGTGAGGAGAGCAATCTCCATTCTGCTATCAGCAGGGAATTACAAGATAGGATAACAGAATTATAGAGTTGGAAAGGACCCTGAGGATCATCTAGTCCAACCCCCTGTAATGCAGGAATATGCAGCTGTCCCATGCAGGGATCAAACCTGCAACCTTGGTGATATCAGCACCATGCTCTAACCAACGGAGCTATATAGCAATGGTATGGGATAACTCTCTCCTTCTCAAGTGCTGCTTTCAGAGTGAGAACTGGATTCCCCTGGTCCTTTAATTACTTAAGGAAAAACAAGTGTGATCTAGTTGGCCCCAAGTTATTTTGACAGACAGCTTTAGTCTGACAAAAACTTCACCTCCCCTGTTTCTGGATTTAGCCAACTTGCTCCAAGAACACAGGAAATGACAAGAGGCAAGGAATGTGTCATCTTGGATGTGGACAATTCATGCCCATGCCCCTTCCCCAAATGACAGTGTAATTCTCAACCAGAGCTTTGTTTCCTTTTTAAAATATATCTGGTAAAACGGAAACTTCCAAAAGGGGAAAGACAGTGGTGCAATAAGTAATCTTAGACTCTGTATGTAACAGTTTAACCCCCCTCCCCGGTAATTATTATTACTTCACTTACTTAACAATGTGGTTAAGCCCACCCTACTGCATTTGGCAGCCCTTCAGGTCATGTCGCTAAATAGGGCCTTGGACCCCAAAGTCCTGCTTGGACAGCACCATTGGTCAAAGAAAGGTTTTCAGAGCAATGCAGCTTCATGGCAAAATCAGTCATTCTGCCTAAACCCATTCTGTGCTTTGCCTCATTATGTGACATCCTGACCTCTGACTTAGCTAGCAGGTTCCTGAAGTCATCCTGAAAGAGCTTCATCAGGTTTTGTGTAATATGGGTAACTGATAACTCTGCGCCTAGCACCAAGAAGCAGCTAAATATCGAAGAGAACATCCTGCTGCGACCAGAGTGAAAACAAACATTGTTGGTCTCACATCATTATGACATCATCTGCAGTAGTAAAATTAAACCAAGAGCCCACAAGCAAACAGTTTCTTCCTCCAAAGCTTTCATCAGTGTTTCTAAATAAAACCAATATCATTATTATGTGAATGCCAAAATGTTTATTTTAATACTACATTTTAATATCTATTGCTAGATGAAACAGAACCAAGAAATCATGACGCCTCTTAGAAACCTACTAACCTACTATAATTTTAAACAGAAGCACTAGCATCAACATCCATTGAAGCAAAACTGGAACTGGGCTTTTGCAATCTACAAGGCATAGAAATCAAGTGTAGCAAAGGGATAGCAACGGACTTGTTAAATACTGGGAAATGGAACAACACTGAGCCAATCTAGATTGGGTAACATTGCACTTTTAAAAGAATGAAGAATGATTAAGGGCTGCCCTGGAGGATTTGGTGGTACTATTTCTGCACAGCAGACAAAAAATTGAGTTGTGTGCCAAAGTCCCTAGTTCAACCCCCCCCCCCCCCTTAGCCACAAGGCAACTAGTTGATTTTAGGCAAGTCAGAATTCCACAAGCCTCGCTGTCCCCCACCCCATATGGTAATTATAACATTGTGATCTATGAGAAGCACCATGAACATTTGAAATCAAGCCATCTACAAAACAGAGACAATAATTTTTAGCCATTTGCAAGCACACAAATAACTACTTACAAGCCTATAATATTCCTCTGAATATCAGATGCTGGGGATAGAGAACAGTGAGAGAATTGTTGCCTTCAGAAGTTGCAAGGCTCTCAGAAGCGTCCTCCAGGCAGCCACTGCCAGAAACAGAGCTTTGGTCCAATCCAGCAAGGTTTTGTTTAAAAAAATGTGTCCCATTTGCCAAAGCAACTCCCACCTTAAAGGACCATGGAGAACTGTGGCATTCCATTCACTTTCTGTTTTTCAGCTCAACTTTGCACAAATTGCTCGTTCTACTTTGCAAGAGCCCCATGCTAATAATTTAATTGGGCAAAAACCGGGTATATAACCCCTTGGAAATAGAAATTCCATAAACTATCACCATATTATTATTATTATTATTATTATTATTATTAGCATGCCTCTGAAATCAAAGAAAGCAGCGGGTATGTTGCACAGTTAGACGCTTTAGCAGTCTAAAGAATCTAGAAAATATATTTTCTAGCCAAGTATCATGGTTGTTACTAGCAGATTCTCCACCCCAACCTATGCCCTTAGAATTAAAAACATACTGTTCAAAGATAAAACCATTTCCATCTAAGAGTATCTCCTCCCCATTTTTTTTAGCAGTGAAAAAGGGGGCTGGGAGAGAAAGGAAGATAACAGGAAGACAGAAGCAGGTAATACAGTTAAGGATATCTACCCGTATCTAGATGTGCCGTGGAAACTACCTTCCAATTACCGTATTTTTTGCTCTATAAGACTCACTTTTTCCCTCCTAAAAAGTAAGGGGAAATGTGTTTGCGTCTTATGGAGCAAATGCAGGCTGCGCAGCTATCACGGAAACCAGAACAGCAAGAGGGATTGCTGCTTTCACTGCGCAGTGATCCCTCTTGCTGTTCTGGCTTCTGAGATTCAGAATATTTTTTTCTTCTTTTTCTCCTCCAAAACCTAGGTGCGTTTTGTGGTCTGGTGCGTCTTATAGAGCGAAAAATACGGTAATTTTACACAAGGGCGGGGGGAGCTTTCATATATTTTTATTCCATCCAAATGGAATAAGCCTCTCACTATTGCAAAAGGGGCGTGAGCCACTAGTTTTGAGTGACAACTGTAGTCATCTACTACCTGAATGTGTGAAACTGATATAAACAATCATCCCTGTGCTGAGTTATAATGGTTCACTCTTCTTATCATCTTAGGCAAGTACCCAACAACGAGAGTCAAGTTGCTGGTGATAATCCTATAATGGGTTGGCTTTCACCCATCAAGTGATGGGGAATGGGAAAAAATCTTAGGAGACTGGGAGAAAAATACCTTTTGCTTCCAGCACTACTGATGAACACAAAAGCAAATTCCAATCCATATCCCACAAGGGACACCTACCATGGCAGCAAGGTAAATTAAAGATGTCTGGTTACCATTCCTAGCACCAGAACTGTTGCATTCATGTCTGAAGAATTCAAACCTGGTTTCTCCTCCTCCCCACTTAAGTTGAACCTGTCAACGTATCCACCAGACACCTCAAACTTGTACCTTTCAATTAGTCATCTGCACTGGCAATTGGACAAACTGTGCAAATGCAGGCCACTTAGGGTTGATTTTGGCATATGCTTCATGCACTTTCCCCCATGAAGACCACTGGGTAGCCTTATAAGAGTCCTAACCTTTGTAAGAGGTGCAGCAATAAAACTGCTGGCACATTTGCAAAGCTAAGCAGGGCCTGGTATGGTTTAAAATTGGATGAGAGACCATGTGTTGAGATTTCTGCATTGCAGGGCGTTGGACTCAGGCTTCCTCAACCTCGGCCCTCCTGATGTTTTGAGACTACAATTCCCAGCATCCCTGACCACTGGTCCTGCAAGCTAGGGATCATGGGAGTTGTAGGCAAAAAACATCTGGATGGCTGAGGTTGAGGAAGCCTGGACTAGATGACCCTTGGGTCCCTTCCAACTCTACAATTCTACGATTTTATGAGCAATGCAGGCAACGGAGTCATGCCACATGCCCAGAAGTTTGTGCTTGCAGAAGGGGAAACTTTTCATCATGCACTTGGACTAGAACAGGAAAACCCTGGTACCCCCAACCTAGTTAGTTTTCATAATGGTATGGGCCAAGGAGAATTCTCAACTTAGAATAAATATTTAAAACTAAATACTGATTTATCAACAGCTATCTATCTATATCAGGGTTGCCATTTCCACTTGACTTATTCATGTCTTCCTTCCTTTATACATCATAGAATCTTAGAGCTGGAAGGGACCCAAGGGTCATCTAGTCCAACCCCCTGCAATGCAGGAACCTCAGCTAAACCATCCATGACAGATGGCCATCCACAGAAATGGGAAAACTTAGATGGGGAACCTGGCATCAGCTAACCTATATAACCCTAACACTGCCAAACAGAACCCACTGGGCCCGTTGCACCCACTTAGACCACAGTGCTCTAATGTACAATTTATTCCGCCTGGGTTTATTTTATTCCTGCTCTAATTCCTTTACTACCCAGTCTGTGTCAAATAACATTTTCATGCCACATATTGAGAGGACCGATGCTGTGACACTCTCTTTTGGTATTATCCAAAGATGACAAAGCTAGGTCAAGTTCACTCTGAAAAAGATTATTCTGATGAGCAGATGGCAGCCTCTGCTCTATTTCATGGCCAGTTTTCCAGATTCTCACAACAATTCCTCTTGAGAAGAAACCTTTGGTGCACTATTAATTCAAAGCTTGTTTGAAGAAATGTGACTTAAACATGTAACTAACTGGATCTTAGCAACCAAACTGATCTCTCATTATTAGCAGACTTCAAAGTGCTGATAATTAACTAATTCTGCCTGCTACATCATTTGCATTCAGAGCTATTATCTTATAATGAACCTCCAAACTGGGTATCAGAGGACGGGAGAATATGGCAAAAAGTAAACATGTACCACAGCTATTTATAGAGCACTTGAAGGCGGTGCCACAGTTGCAAGAACACACAAATTTAATCCATTTGACCACATATATAAATTATATTCAGCTGGCATCTTACAAGTATTACATCCTTATATATACTCACTTCCACATTAGAGTTCATAGAATCATAGAATAGCAGAGTTGGAAGGGACCCCTACTCTAGTCCAACTCACTCCAATGCAGGAATCTCAGCTATAGCATCCATGACAGATGACCATCTGACCTCTGCTTAAAAACCTCAGGGCTGGGGACCTAATTTGGCCCTCCAGGCATCTCTATTTGGACCTCGGGACTCTCCATAGGCCACAACCTCCTTGGATCCTTTTGCCTGGCTGGAAGGTATCCTTCAACTAGGAACTGGGAACTCTTGCTTGTTTGTAATGTAGCCTATTCTGCAAATGTAAGATGTACATCCATTGCTTTGCCCAAGTGGCCCCCAGAAGGCTGCCCACAACGAAATGTGGCTCTTGGCTGAAAAAGGTCCTTATCCCCATTACATAGAAATATCCCTTCCCTGTGACCAAGATCTTAGTCTAAGATTTACTTACAAACAAGTCCTGCTTAATTCAAGCTAATTTGTGTTCTGATAAAAGGCCATAAATGGCAACTATCATTCCCTCAGACTGGTCAACCATTTTGGCCTGGTGAAAAAGGGCCAGACCAAAAAGCCATCGAGTCCAGAATCCAGCTTTCAACAGCAACCAGCCAGAAACTTCTGGGAAGCTTACAAAAAAATAATAATCACAAACTCTTCCTGGCTGCAAGAGAAGACTTGCTGCTTCCACACTAGGCCTTTTTGTGCCATCTTTTGTCCAATCTATTTTTCTTTATTTTTACGGAGCCAACTAGACAGCATTGCTGTCAGATCGTAGCTTCTCCCTGTTTCTTTGTTTTCCATTTCCTGCTTCCCTTCCCTGATCTGATTTGTGGCTATTTTTTTCTAATAAAAGACAGTGGCAGTATCAGCCTGTCTAATGTGGGCAGGTAAAATGCTGTCAAAGCTTCTAATGGCTCCTGTGTCTGTAATTAAACCCTGTTTTAAGGCTCAGCCTGTTTGAGTGTCTCCTGATGTACATGAGTGGGAGATTAGTGATGAACAGCATCTCTTAACAGCCCCAATGTCCATTTCCAATCCTGTGAAGTAGAATGGTTTAATTACTTGATTTCCCATCTTTTAGGTCTTCTTCTTCTTCATAGTGAAGTAGTGCTACTGTTTTTTTACTTTGTTCTTTTTAAGACAAAGTCATAAAGTTGAAAACTATGTAAATGTAAACATAAGCAAAACTCACTGCACCACCTGCAGCTAAAACACAGATTTAAAAACAGAGAGGCCAAGTATACTTAAGTTATTTAAAAGGTCTGAGACCAGCAATAAAACTGCCAGCGCATTTGCAAAGCTAAGCAGGGTCTAGTATGGTTTGAGATTGGATGGGGAGCTGTGTGTAGAGATTTCTGCATTGCAGGGGGTTGGACTAGATGACCCTCGGGGTCCCTTCCAACCCTATAATTCTAATTCTATGATCACGTCACTCAGAGGTAATCTCCACTAAGTTCACTGGATCTTCCACTTGGGTTAATAGGCACAGCATTATAGTTTAATGCACAGGATTGTGACCTACTTACCTGGGAACAGCAGTAAATGGTTTTGGAGGAAAGAGTGCTTACCTGATCTCCAAGCAGGTGAGATGCTGCGGCTTACTGGAAGGAAGAGGAGGAGGAGGGTGAGGTGGGCAGCATGGGCAAACACACTGGCAGGGGTGCCAGATTGGGATCTACTGGTGTGTTTGCACCTTAACACCCTTCCTGCTACCTCACCCTCCCAGTAAGCAGCTGTGTTGACTCACCTGCCAGGTCAGGTAAGTTCTCCCCCAAAGGCCACTGCTTGAGAGTAATTCCCAATGTACTCAGTGGAGCTTACGTCTGAGTAGCCCTAAATAACATTGCTCTGTGAGACATTTTATTTTAAAAATGCCAGCTATTTTTTGTTTTGATTATTTTCTTTTGAGAAGCTGGGATAAATAAGAGTAACTTTCCAGATTTCCAATGAAGTCGCTGTATTATACTATTAATAGACAGTACACGGATGCAGGAAAGCATCGAACTTCCTTTCTCCTAAGGACGGCCAACCTTGTTTTGAAATTTTACCATCAACCGGATCCCTTCAGCTCTAGGCCAGCCTCATTCCAAGAATGCGGACCTTTTGTTTAACAATGGCCAATCTGTAACAGTCGAAGTACTTCTGTGATTAAAAAAGCTTATGATTTTGGAAAAGAAAAAAGAAAGGGCCCTTCAGCAAGGCCCTTCATCACTACTAGGACAGGATGCAGCCCTCTGTGCCTGAAATACGTTTTGTTGCCAGTTTAAAATTTAGTTTTAAATAAGCATTTCACCTGTAGAGATGAAAGCTGAATTTTTATCTTCCTTAGAGAGCCAATGTAGGGCAGCAGCCAAGAGACTGGTCAAACAACTGTATTCATTCTGAGGGGAAGTGTGCTAAAAACTGGGCACTTATTTTGAAGAAAAAGCAGCTATGGGCCTCTACCAAGCAGGATTTGGGCTCAGGGTCAGTTTCCTGTTGAAAACTGGGACATCCGCCCTAAATTTCACCTATACACTCATGTGCTTTGAACTGGTGGTAACTATGGGCGTAGTCAGGATTTTGTTGGGGGAGGCAGGCCTTTTGCTTGGGGGGTGGGCAGAACTTCAGTTTGCTATGTATTTTTATTGAGGTTTATTGATGTGTGTGGGGGGCAACTTCCCTCCCTGCCCCCATTTGGCTACACCCATGATGGTGACTTACTAGTAACAAAACCTTGGAGTCATAATAGATAGCTCAGTGAAGACATTCACTCAGTGTGTGATAGCTGTGAAAAAGGCAAATTCAATTCTAGCAATCATTACGAAAGGAATTGACAATAAATTGCCACTATCATAATGCCATTATACGAGCACTTTTTGGAAAAGATGCAGCTAGGAATCGGGATTCTATTATCAGCATAAGTTTATTGGTGTTAAAACAGCGCATCAAGTACAAACCTCCGTGATATAAAAAACACCACTTATCCACATGAGCAAAAAACAAAAAGCAGAATCTGATAGCCAAACAAAACAATTCCCAACAACATCTGGAAAAGCTTGGATCTGCCAGACCACTGGAAATCAGCGTTTATTTGCACATGCCTTGCAAAATAGCTTAATAAAGCCAGTATGTCAAATGGTGACTGACTGTTCTCCAAAGATCACTGTGGCTCCAACAATCAAAGAAGGAAGAGCAACAGAGAGCTTGCTTCAAACTCATTCTACCTGTGCCGCCTTACTCACTCTCCCTCTTAGGGGACTGTTATGTACTGAGTTGAATAGGATCCAAAATGAAGCAGTCTGATTGGTCCACAGGAGCCACCCAATCCAGCTCCAGGTGGAAGTGATTCCGCAACCTGATTGGCCTACAGGAGAATCCCGGAATTAGCCAATCACGTGGGGCCCATTGTGTAAATAATGTATATAAAGCAGACATTCTGGGGGAACTTCCATTCCTCCTCAGCACTATGAGCTGAATAAAGAGCATGAAATCCACTCTCGACTCCGAGTATATTTCAGGGACCAAGGATCGCTGGGAAGGCACTTTTGCTCCTACCAGAAAAATCACTGTGGCTGCAACAATCAAAGCTGCAACAATCAAAACTCAAACAATTCTTGCTCTACCACAACTCCTCTCCAAATGACAGTTGCCTATTCAAAAGGATACTAGCAGAACACCCAGATGCCATCCATCGGTTGGTGGAACAAGAACCACCAACTGTTGTTATTCAAGCAACAACACCAGCAACAGACAGATCGAACTGGCCAGAGCCAGATATAAAGCCATCTTATGAATCGCCATTTTGTTCTGGCCTTGAAGAACTGATCTTTCTCCTCTAACCTTCCCCTCCATATTCCAATCACTGCCTGAAAAGCATGGTGAAAAATATAGTAAATACTGTTGTTGTTGTTGTAATTTAAATTTGTATACCGCCTTTTGTTGGCTGATCTCAGGGTGGTTCACAAACATAAAAATACAATATAAAAGCACTAAACAATCAATAAAAACAAGAACAAAAAGAACAAACCAATTCTTCTCCTCCCTTCCTCGCATCCCCTCCAACATTTAAAAGGGGGATAAGATGTTAATGTTATAAGATGTTGTGGGACGCGGGTGGCGCTGTGGGTAAAACCTCAGTGCCTAGGGCTTGCCGATCGCATGGTCGGCGGTTCGAATCCCCGCGGCGGGGTGAGCTCCCGTCTTTCGGTCCCAGCTCCTGCCCACCTAGCAGTTCGAAAGCACCCCTAAGTGCAAGCAGATAAATAGGTACCGCTTTATAGCGGGAAGGTAAACGGCGTTTCCGTGTGCTGCGCTGGTGCCGGTTCGCTAGAGCAGCTTCATCACGCTGGCCACGTGACCCGGAAGTGTCTCTGGACAGCGCTGGCCCCCAGCCTCTTAAGTGAGATGGGTGCACAACCCTAGAGTTGGACACGACTGGCCCGTACGGGCAGGGGTACCTAAGATGTTAATCATCCAAAGGCCTCACTGAAAAGGAACATTTTTGCCTGGCATCTAAAGATGTATAATGAAGGCACCAGGTGAACTTCCCTGGGGAGAGCAGTCTACAAACGGGGGAGCCACTGCAGAAAAGACCTGTTCTCATGTTGCCATCCTCCAAACCCCTCGTGGAGACGGCACATGAAGGAGGGCCTCAGATAACGATCTCAAGCTCCGGGAGAGGCTTGATGTATTGCGGTCCTTGATGTATTGCAGTCCTGAGCTGTATGTCTACCTGCCTTTCTGGCACACCTCAGAACAGGTGTGCTTTGAGAAGTCCTGAGCCAGAAATGGCAAAACTTACCAGAAAAATAAGAAATCAAGATAACAAATTTTTTATAAAAGAATAGAAATGGTTTATTGAATATTTACAAATAAACTGTAAACAGATAAGAACATTGGCAGGATTATTATAATAACCTGCAGTTTTAAAAGTGTATATATTTAAAGCAGATGAATAAATGATAATTAATTTTAGGAACCACAGAAAGAGGGGGAAGGAAGTCAAGTTTTGAAATGTTAAAATGGTTATAAAATTTTTAAAATGTATAAAATTGAAAATCATTAAAAAAACTTTAAAAGAAAGAGAGAGAGAGAAGTCCTGAACCAGAGCACAGTGCTTAATGTTTGAAGTGAAAAGTAAAAGTAAAAGAGGTGGCTAGAGGAATCTGGAAAAAGATTTTAAGCACTAGCAAGATGAAAGAATCCAAGACTTAGAGGAAAATGGCTTTCAAGGTTCTGTAGTAAAAAGTTAAGCAGCAAAATCCATGAGCAGATAATCCTCCATAGTTTGGAGCAGCTGTCCCCAGCCTGGTTCCTTCCAGATGTTTTAAACTACAACTCCCATCAGCCCAATCCAGCGCAGCTCAAGCCCTGCATCTCCTTGCTGTTGCTGCCTGTCCACCTGCTATCCTCTTTGCGTGAGTGAACAGTGGCAGGGGGGAGGAGCAGGAGACCCCACTTGCCTTACCTTCTCCCTCTGGCACGGCTTTGCAATTGGGCCTGAAGAAGACAAATGGACGGGCAGCACCAACAGTAGCAAGGAGGAGGAGCGATCACTCAGAGGGCATCTATCCCACCCCAAACACTGAACTCAACCAGGCCAAAGAGTAGAAGCAACTTGTCTACAGAGCATACCTATCAACCCAGAAGAATATTTATAAATATAGAAAGAGAGATGTATGCTGAAATAGAGACTGCAGAAGAATCGACCCTCTGTTCCCAAACCACCACTCTCATTAAAGTTTTATTCATAGCAGAAGTCACCTTGTGCAGCATTCCCGTAACAATTACATCAATTAAATAGCACTGCTATGTCTTTTACATAGCACAAAGATCTCTGTTGTTCTTCCATGTCGATCACAACAACTAGATCCTGAACTCAAATAACAGAGTTCAGAAGAGGAAAGAAAAAGGTTAGATTCTTCTTTCTTAAAAAAACCAAAACCCTATTCTTCATCACTGTTTAACATCTCAACCCTATGAATGTATATATGCAAGTAAAACAAACTGCAAAAGTGTTGTTGGTTGTTTAGTCGTTTAGTCGTGTCCGACTCTTCGTGACGCCATGGACCAGAGCACGCCAGGCACTCCTGTCTTCCACTGCCTCCTGCAGTTTGGTCAGACTCATGTTTGTAGCTTCGAGAACACTGTCCAACCATCTCGTCCTCTGTCGTCCCCTTCTCCTTGTGCCCTCAATCTTTCCCAACATCAGGGTCTTTTCCAGGGAGTCTTCTCTTCTCATGAGGTGGCCAAAGTATTGGAGCCTCAGCTTCACGATCTGTCCTTCCAGTGATGTTGCCTTTGTCCATGGAGTTTTCTTGGCAGGGATACTGGAGTGGCTTGCCGGTTCCTGCTCCAGGTGGATCACGTTTGGTCAAAACTCTCCACTATGACCTGTCCATCTTGGGTGGCCCTGCACAGCATAGCTCATAGCTTCTCTGAGTTATTCAAGCCCCTTCGCCACGGCAAGGCAGTGATCCATGAAGTGTACACTGGATTAAAAGTACATTTCAAAATTTCCAAACCAGGAAACAGATCTACAAATGGGAAACCTTTGGCACCTCAACCACAGTTCTCCCTCCCATGATAGGAAGAGGATGCCTTGGTGTTTGCAGTATTGTGAAATTCTGTTTTTACCACTGAAGCCCCTACAGATAAATATGCAATATGCAGCTTGTCTGAACTGGAGATTCTCTTTTCCAGTTAATCAATTCCATTTGACAGGCCAGATGCCATATTCCACAGTATGATGTACATTTCCTACGCCGTTGTTTCAGAAAAAGCATTAGCTCCACCACTGGTGCCAGGGAAATCTTTCAATACAACCGAAGTCCAGGTTGGAATCTGGAACTCAAACTGAATGTTAAAAGACTGAACAGCCTCTGAAAGGTCAAATCAAGACCATAGAATTAGACTTTGTACAGGCAGAGGCTGTATTTTGCAAATGGGTCATTCCAATCTACAGTTGCTGGGAGTGTATTTGGTACATGGGAGTCTACGCATTTCTGTTTTTTCAATCAACATATCCATATCCAACATATCCACTTTGAGGCTTGGGCTGTCCACACCAGTGCATGGAGTGTGACAGAATATATTCCAGGTGTGGCTTTTGGTCGCTCCCCATAATCACTTCCCCTTCTCCTATCCTGTAGGATTATAGCTCATTTGGTAGAGCAGGAGACTCTTAATCTCAGGGATGTGGGTTTGAGTCTCCATGTTGGGCAGAAGATTGCTGCATTGTAGGGGGTTGGACTAGATGACCCTCATGGTCCTTTCCAACTCAATGATTCTATGGCTCTATTCTACGATCTATTTAGTTTGCTTGTTCTTTTTTTTAACTATAATAAAAACAAATGGGGCTGCCTCTTTCTCTATTTTTTAAAAATCATTTTTATTAAGTTTCCATTTTATATAAATATAACATATTCAAATTTTTCACATTATATTCCACTCTCGCGAGCACTTGACTCCTCTCCCTCCCAGTCCATGATTACCTTAAATTACATATATTTTTAATTGCATTTCATATTTCCCCTCTTTACTCTCTACACAATTCTGATAATCAAAAAATTATGTTAATTGTAAATCGGTGCTTTAAATTAGTCTTGTCAGTGTTGTTAAATGTTTAAAGTTTTCTGGGGCTGCCTCTTTCTCTAAGTGTCATGTGTTCATATGCCAATGTCAATCTTTCTGTAAATTAAGTACAGTGGTACCTCAGGTTAAGTACTTAATTCGTTCTGGAGGTCCGTTCTTAACCTGAAACTGTTCTTAACCTGAAGCACCACTTTATACGTGGTTTAGCTAATGGGACCTCCTGCTGCCGCCGCGCCGCTGGAGCCCGATTTCTGTTCTTATCCTGAAGCAAAGTTCTTAACCTGAAGCACTATTTCTGAGTTAGCGGAGTGTGTAACCTGAAGCGTATGTAACCTGAAACATATGTAACCCGAGGTACCACTGTAATGCCAAGAGTCACCTGTAGCATCAGAAAGGTTGGGTGGGGGTTGAAACCAGCTAGAGGGGGCAAGAGGGCTTCCTGAGGCACAGAGATGCTTGCCTCTTCTTGTTGTCCACCCCACCAAAAAAACGGCTCTCCTACTGCAGAACAATCTTCAGGAAGTTTGAAAAAGCAGTTACCGTATTTTTCTCTCTATAACACACAGATTTTTTCTCCTAAAAAGTAAGGGGAAATGTCTGTGCGTGTTATTGAGCGAATGTGTGGTCCCTGGAGCCGAGTGGTGCGAGTGCAGGGGCAAAAATCAGGCAAAAATCAAATCGCGCGTCATGGAGAAGGGAAGCCTGAAGAGATGAAGCTGCTGCTTTCCTGCATTCTGCCTCAGGGTCTTACTGCCCACCCTCTTCTGTTTCTTTGCTGTGTTTGCTCAAACAGAACAAAGAGCAGGGAAAGCCCCTCCCCTCCAGGCAAGCAGAGGGGAAAGCAGAGCGTCCTTCCTTCTAATTCCTCTCCGTGCTCCGGTGCTGCTGCTGCTGTGTCTAGGGACTCGCAGGCAGCCGGAAAACATGCAGGTGGGAGAGAGGGGGGGTGGCTTGGGTGGGTGGGTGGGAAACTTTTGCCTTCCTTTCCTCCCTCCCGTTAAACTCCTCTCCTGCATTCTTAGCCAGCTGCTTCTCTGCACACCCCTCTCGTGCTCCTTGTCCCTTCTGTGTTTTTCCTTCCCTCCCCACTTAAAACGTGGTTACAAAGCATGGATCCACATGGCTCCTCAGGATCTTTGCATTGGGTCACCCCAAATTCACCATCAGATCACATAGCATGTCCATGGCTACAGCCTGCCCCCCAAAAATCATGCACCCACTGTTGCCTGGGGCTGCAATGGTGCAAAAACATGGTTACAAAGCATGGATCCACATGGATCCTCAGGATCTTTGCATTGGGTCACCCCAAATTCACCATCAGATCACATAGCATGTCCATGGCTACAGCCTGCACCAAAAAAATCACGCACCCACTGTTGCCTGGGGCCACAATGGTGCAAAAACGTGGTTACAAAGCACAGATCCACAGGGATTCTCAGGATTTTTGCATTGGGTCACCCCAAATTCACCATCAGATCACATGTCTGTGGCCACAGGATGAAGCACAAAAATTATACATCCACTGTTTCATTCAGAATTCCCCCCCCCCCCTTGTTTTCCTCTAAAAACGATGTGTGTGTTATGGTCAGGTGCGTGTTATAGAGCGAAAAATACGGTAGAGGTGGCTCAAGAGTTATTTGAATCCTCTCACCGTTCCCAGCAGCAGAACTGGATCCTTGGGTGCTTTAAGCTGAAGCTGAATACCAGCTGGAGAAGGCTAAGGCTATCTTAATTTGCAGAAAGAGTAGAAACCCCACTCAGAGCACTAAGCAGCCCCTGAAGACTTTTTAAAAAATAATCATAGAGCATGACAAATCTGTTCATGTGAGGAGTAAAGAGGTATACGGGTGTGGTGAAAGATGCTATCCCCTGAACCATCACCACACACCTGACAACAGCCCATCCAAAAAGTGTGCTAGGGAAGATTCCACAGCAGCAGAGACTACAGAAGTATATCAGGTTATTTCTACCTTACCAGATTTTCTGCACTAAAGGGAAATCCAGATTAAACAAAACAAAAAAGTATGGTCTAGCATTCTGATGACAACACACACTCATTTATTCTTGAATTTATATCCCACTCTTTCTCTCAGAGGAGCCCAGGGTGGTATTGTGTGGATACTGTGGGAAAATTTCCAAGCACAAATTTTCCACAATGGATGCGCTCTTAACATGAATAACTATAACCTTGATTCATCTGTAGAGCTTTAGACAATATTTTAAATACATGTCCCACTGGATAGGAATTATTCTGTTGTACTAAAGTGATTATTCACTTTCAATCAGTTCCTCTGTACTTGGTAGCTGTGGTAAATGCAGAATGACCCAGATTCCATATGACCTGGTACAAGAGACTGGTGGGTGAGGCTGACATTCAAATATATGGACTGTTGAGAACCTAACCTTAGCAGGTTGTTATTTGGAAGTATTGCACTGGTTCGTTGAGAAGATGACAGAGAAAGTCTTCCCAATTCTTGAAACTCACCTGCTGTGCAAAAAGGCAGACACAGAGCAAATAATTCATTTTAAGCCCATTTAGAAGCAGTATATAATGGGTCACTTAGCTGGGAACCCTTCTAGCTTTCCAATAAAAAGTTTCAGACACTTCTTTGGTTGGAGAATGTATTCTGCTAGTCACAGCTCTACTCTTTTTCTTCTTTTTCTTAATGCCCTATTTGGTATGATGAACACTGGTCAAATGCTGGTCTAATAAACATTCTACAAATTTAATTCTGTGAATGCATTTTCAGAGCTGGGGCAAAAATTTTCAATCTTCCCTCTGATTTAGAAGGGGCAAAGTTATTGCAGAAAGAAAACTTGATTATAGATCCACACTGGATAAAACGAAGTTATTCTCAGAAAATGCACTTTTGGAACCTTCCTTTTTCCTTCCTCACTCTACCTTTTGCTCTAATAAAAAAGTGTGTGTGTGTGTGTGTGTGTGTGTGTGTGTGTGTGTGTGTAGAAACAGCCCATTTCACTTTCCAGGTGTACAAACACAGTCATAAGCCACTTTTATGTAATAACCGTAGAATTGAAACGTCCTACAAAAACAGAAGGAAGAAAACCACAGGAGGAGGCGGCGGAGGACAGGGATTTCAAGTCTGTAAGTTAACTTGGAGGTTGGGGTGGAGGGAGGGAGGAGAGAGCCTACTGGAGGCCTCAGAGAGTTCATGTTGTCCCTTATTAACAGTTTTAATGAAATTTTATCTCGTTGTTATTGCACAAAAAATACCCTGAGTTCAAGTGCACAGAATTTTGGAAGAGGGGGGGAAAACCCATACTAGCATCATAATTGACCCAAATGAAACAGGAATTAGAGGATCCAAAATTTCATTTTGTGCAATAGCATTGTCAGTCATTTGAACTGGGTGTAATTGAATTCATATGAGGAGGACTAAGCGCCCTGCTTTGCTGGCATTCTGCCCACTCCCACATTTTTATACATAGCTAGATCTGTTTCTATTATCTTTTCTCCTTTAGGATCCAGCCGTGATATACTAAAGTCACAGGGAAATATCAGTCACATTGACTTTGAGAAAGGGCAGTGTTATGACTTCCAATTAACCAAGCTTGGAACTGGACTGCTTATATTTTTGCCATTTGTTTCTTGAGTGGGCTCAAGGCCATTTCCAACATTAACCACCAGAACTCATGGGTTAACTTTCTAAAGAAACATTCCAAAGAAAGTTAACCCATGAGTTCTGATTGTTATGTGGGAAGCATGAGAGTTTAATGTAGAAGAGCTCTTGCTTAGCATGCCAATTTCATATTCGCAGAATGCTGTGCGCATGGGTAAAAATATCCTGCCGCATGACAGCACCAAGCACACCAGTATGGTCTACGTAACAGGGAGCAAAGCACTGGCTTGGCACATAGTAGGCTTCCTAGGTAAGCCCTGCACTCCGGGATGCAGGTAGCACATCCCAAACAGGAGACTGCTATTTGAAGTTTGCTACAAGGGGTATGAACTAGAGAAAAATTAGGGAGGAAAACAAAACTAGAAAAACAAAGTAGCAAGGATAGAAGTTCAAGCTGTTCCTATCACAGAGCTAAACTGCTCAAGTGTAATATATTCTCAGTACATGAGAATGGCTGTGGTTTTATTTTTCTGGGTGTCCGTCCCCCCACGTTTTCCCATATCATACCCCATGCCATGTTTATCAGATTTACCAATCTAAGTAAATGGAAAAATACTGAAATTATACGTATCGTCAGGCATTAGCTTTCTGCTGGAAGATAAACATCAAAAGAGGAAAGGGCAGGGTTTTCTCCTAGTCTCTGGCTTTTAAGAGAACCTGGTCCCTTGATTTTACTATATCTCTTCTCTAACTATGCAGGCCAGTGCAGGGATGAGCAAAGGTGTTTTCTTAGGTGTGCAGGTCATATCCTTATTTATCCTGGGACAACTCCATAAGAGCAACATTTGCCCTCATAACTATGAGGTTAGATTATTGTAATTCTCTCTCAGTAGAGCTCCCTGCAGGGTCTGTCTATGACTTGCAGCTGAAGATACAATAGCACAATTACTCAATGTGATAATATTACACATAGCAATTCTTCAGCTGCTTGCAAAGGTGGCTGTAGGGGGGGGGAGTGTGCAGTATTTTCAAAGCTTTAACTTCTGAAACTCAATAGTAGAGGTTGTCTTATGTGCTTTTAGAGATGAAGAAGCACTCAACCTCTTCTCGGTGCATATAACACACACCTCCCCCCACTATTACATACACCAGTGGCACACTTGGTTGTGAGGTCCTTTTAAGTAATCCCAAACTAACCTATGCATCTTTGTGTGTTTCCAATGGGGCTTAGCTCCAAATGAGTGCACAGAGAATAGCATTATTGGAGGAATATTTGCTAATATTAAAAACCTCCCATCCAAAAGCACAGCAATAGAGTGTGCATACATGTGTGTCTGGGGGAAACTGTTTAACACAAGTTCCTGAATATTGCCCATATAACTGGTGGCAAAACGCAATGCCAATGAGGGTTTGGTGCCATCTTAAAGTTTATTTTCTAAAAGATATAACCAGGTAAAAGGAGAGTACTTGCTCTCATTATCACACACACAGCCTTTCAAAACAAAATTAAAATGCTTCACAGTCTCCCTTCTTCCACGGCAGTTCCCAGGCATTGAAAATAATTTCGTCTTCTTCCTCCTTCTCTGGTGTATGCATATTCCACCTCCACTTAGGAATGGACTGCTTTGAGAGCAGTAAACATTTGGCTTGTGGTACCTTCAGTAGTTATCATTTGCTTCCATAGCCATCACTGTTGTATATTTCCCTCTTTTGAATCTGACCTTTTTATTTGCCCTAAAACAAGATGGGCAGCTGGGTAGAACTTATTTTTCTTTTAGATAATCAGCGTAAGTTTTTATACAAGGGGCATTAAGACATTATTATCCACCTCCCCTGCTATTTGTTATTTGTATACAAAAAGCCTCATTATCTTCTTTAGTATACAAATAGGGAAGGAACTGCAACTACGGTGACTTTATAACTACCCAAGATAACAGGGTATAAATAATAAATTTATTATTATTATTATTATTATTATTATTATTATTATTATTATTATTTCAGACAAACATGTATATCCCACACATTTTGAATTCAGAGAGTCAATACCTGAGATAGTGGCCTGGTTCACAAATAACTTTGAGCCATGATTTGTTCAACTAAAGTGTGGTTTGTCTGGAGGTCTGAACCCTGCCCAGCAGATATGAGGCCATGGCTTCATAGAATCATTGAACTGTACAGTGATAAGGAACCCCAAGGGCCATCTGATTTAACATTCTGCAGGGCAGGACGTTACTTTAACTATGATCTGGCATAATGAACAAACTTCATAGCTTTGCCTAACTATGGTTTATTTGGCCACCTCAACCCAGGTGCTCTTATGAGGTAATAGCGGCTGGAAAACAAATCAAGCCTTGAAAAAAACCATATCATGGCTTGTCTGCAGGGGCGTAGGAAGGGAGTGTGGGGGATGCGGGCCAACCCGGGTGTCATATCTGAGGGGGGTGACAAAATGGCACACCACGGGGGGCGGCACTTACCGCGGGGCCTGGCCTGTAGTGCGCCTGAGCCACGCGTCTCTCCTGGGAGTGACATGGTGGCTCGGGCCCCGCACTACCTGAAACAGCAGCATGGGGCTTGCCACTGCCAGGCACGGATCACTGCGGCGCCCCCATGCGCGGATCACCCGTGGGTGGCTTGCCCCGCCCCTCCAGGTGCCGGAGCAGCTGGCTACACCCCTGCTTGTCTGCTCGTCTTGAGATGACTTACAATTCGTTGAGTGAACCAGAGTGACAAAATTAACCATGTTTTACCCTTGTATGTGAACCCAGCCAGTATCTTGACAAGTTCATTTATAGCTGCTATCAGCTCTCCCAGAGCTGTAGTCATTCCAGAGGGGAGGTCTTCCTGTACACCAGGGATGGGAAAACTGTGACCCATGCAAATGTTGTTGGACTTCAGTTCCTTTCAATCCCAGCCAACATGATCACAGGTTTAACCTCTCCTCTATGCATTAAAATGGCTTAGGGTAATCTACAAGACAAACACTGAGGATTAGGTATACCAGTTTAGTGTACCATGATTACTCATGAGAAAGTTAATTTTTTGTTTATCATGAATACCAACCAAAATTCAGAAAACTGTATGATTGTTGTTGTTTAGTCGTTTAGTCATGACCAACTCTTCGTGACCCCATGGGCCAGAGCACACCAGGCACTCCTGTCTTCCGCTGCCTCCCGCTGTTTGGTCAAACTCATTTTACACAACTCATTTTTACACAAATGTAAAATAATGTGAATGGCAAAGCTGTTATTCACAATAGTTTGGACAAAGTACTGTCTACTTGGACTGGACAATTAAGGCCTTCTGGCAATTGGCAATTTATATTTAATAGATCTCCATCATCAACTTCGAGTCACATAGCTCAGATGATCCACATGTCTTCTGATTAAACCCTTGAGAACGCTCTGTGCAATTCTTTAGGGTACACACTGTATCTCCATAGTAGAGCTAAGCCTATTGCATTACCAGATAATACACATGATCTTTGTTATCTAGAAATACTTAGCATTTGGCACAGGGGTATAAAATAACATGTCAAAATCATTTACTGTGATTTAAACAACTGCAGGATTTCCATGAAACATGGATCTTTGGTATTCTTCAACATGGATGGAAGAAAGTAAGGGAAATGCCTAAAAACCCACATCTTTTCTCAGTGTCTGCAAATCTAAACTTCAAATTATAAACAGGAGTCTAATACATTTATTTATAAAGTCTATTAAAAATTCTTCCTTTAGAACAAGTAGTTTTCATCTCTAGACTACTGTATTATATTGCCTATCATAGGGATTTCCATTTCTGACATCTTTACAAAAGGATATTTCAAAACCACAAGTTAGTTGAAACCTTTTAAAAGGTTACAGCCTGTACAAAGTACACCATCTTCTCTTAGAAAATGTACAGACAGGTTGCTTAACTTAAAATGATGGTCTCTGAACAATAATCATAGTGCAATGATAAAGTCTCATTCTGCAGATATATATTCCTGATAATTCTAGACTGGGGTGGCTTTGGGCCTTTCAACTGTTTTTGGACTACAACTCCCACCATCCCTAGCTAGCATGTAAAATGTAAAGGTAAAGGACCCCTGGACAGTTAAGTCCAGTCAAAGGCAACTATGGGGTTGCGGCGCTCATCTCACTTTCAGGCTGAGAGAGCTGGCGTTTGACCACAGGCAGCTTTCCGAGTCATATGATCAGCATGAGTAAACTGCATCTAGCACAACTGAACACCGTGACAGAAGCCAGAGCGCACGGAAACGCCGTTTACCTTCCCGCCACAGCAGTACCTATTTATCTACTTGCACTGGTGGCTTTCAAACTGCTAGGTTGGCAGGAGCTGGGACAGAGCCAACGGGAGCTCACTCGGTCGCGGCGATTCGAACTGCCGACCTTCCGATCAGCAAGCTTGAAGCTCAGTTGTTTAGACCACAGCACCATCCATGTCCCATTCCCAGCTAGCAGGACCAGTGGTCAAGGATGATGGAAATTGTACTCCAAAAACAGCTGGAGACCCAAGTAAAAAATGAGCAAAAATGAGGAAACTATGGCTCTCTATATGCTGAACTCCTACCAGATCCAGATCTTCAGAGAGGGCTCTTAACCATGTTCTCATCATTCAGTGGCACAGAAGACGTTTTTTGTGGTACTGTCCCATTTGTGGAATGCCCTCTCCATGCAGAATTGTTGTTGTTGTTGTTGTTTAGTTGTTTAGTCGTGTCCGACTCTTTGTGACCCCATGGACCAGAGCACGCTAGGCACTCCTGTCTTCCACTGCCTCCCGCAGTTTGGTCAAACTCATGCTGGTAGCTTTGAGAACACTGTCCAACCATCTCGTCCTCTGCCGTCCCTTGTGCCCTCCATCTTTCCCAGCATCAGGGTCTTTTCCAGGGAGTCTTCTCTTCTCATGAGGTGGCCAAAGTACTGGAGCCTTAGCTTCACGATCTGTCCTTCCAGTGAGCACTCAGGGCTGATTTCCATAAGAATGGAGAGGTTTGATCTTCTTGCAGTCCATGGGACTCTCAAGAGTCTCCTCCAGACCATAATTCAAAAGCATCAATTCTTCAACGATCAGCTTTCTTTATGCAGAATAGCTGGTGCCAACATTGTTGTTGTTTTGGTGCCAGATCAGTACTTCGTTTTCTTGGCAATTTTTAGGGAATTTTGCTCTTTGACCTGCTCTGCTGCTCTTGCTTTGTTTTTCCATATCACTATTCTGATGTGCTGGCTGGTGCTTTTATAATTTTATTGTGTTTTTGTCTGTGCTTTGTACAGTACCCTACCATGTTGTTTATATAGGTCAGGACTAGCCAACGTGGTATCCTCCAGATGTTGTGAATTTCAACTCCCATCAGCCCCTGTGAACATGGCCAATAGAGATAATAGTAGTTGCAGTCCACAACATCCAGAGTGCAACCTGTTTGCCACACAATGCAGATGATGGGTAGGCTACAATCCTGCTTGTGTGGGCCATCGAGTCTAGCATCCTGTTCTCACAGTGTCAAACCAAATGCTCATGGGAAACCTGCAAGCAAGACTCAAGCAGGACAACAGCATTCTCCCCTCCTGCAGTTTCCAGCAACTGGTATTCAGAAGCATATTGCCTCCAACCATGGCTATGAATAATAATAATAAATCAATTTTGAAATGCTTTCGCTCAGGGTAGAAGTGGAAGCAAGTATGAAGAAAACAAAACAGTTTTGGCCCAAAAGTTCTGTATTTGCATAGCTTAAACCACCAGGGTTTTGTTAGCTGGTCTTCATTTAGTATTTTTTTTTTACTAGAATTGGAAAAGAACAGAATTATTTGGTTTCAGGCATATCTCAAGCACCGCATTACGAGTTAGCATTGAGATGCCTCCCACACAATGAGGTCCCAACGGTAAACAAGTGGATTACAGCTGTGTACCATACTCACAGCCAGCTATCCTTTTATCAGATATTAACAGATTTAAATGCAAGATCCAGTTTTTGCTGAAACCTGGACTGTCATTTTCAACATGTCTAGTGCAAACCTGCTTAGCATTTCCCACAAAAGTCAAGTTTAAAGGGAAAAATTCTGCAAGCATTTTGTAAAATCTTCCAGCACTGATGGAAGAAAGAGAAAAACAAACATAGAAATAGAAAGGATATCTGAATATTACCAATGCTGTCCTATCAGTATATTAACTGGCAAAACTAAATCCACTGAATCCAGACAAGCCTGAAATAATAATGATGGGTCAAGGGTAGGGTGGCTCTTATCAACTGTGTGCTTAATGGTACACTGCCATTAGCAAGTAGACTGCATCCTAGTTTTAACTAGATTTATATTATATTTATGCAAGGAGGCTCTGCAATAAAATGATGCTGTGATCCTTAGTCCCAACCAGAAATGTTGGTGCCAGTCGTCCCATGGAATACTATAAGTTATAAGGAGCTCAATCAAGCCATTTTGCTCCTCCTTCTGTTTCCCACTTTCCTTTTCCAAGAGAAATTGAACTTTATATGTTGGTGCTAAGCACGATCAATTCTCACTGGGCTTTTAAAAAATGTTGTCCGCTTAGGGATTAAAAAAAATAATAATTCTGCAAATCTTAGGATTCCCCTAAAGATTCCAATATCTTTCCCTTGTTTCTCAGTAGCCGCATTTTTGGTTCTAATTATGTCTATGTCAGCACTTATTACCCAGCTTTGCTACTAAAAGAAATACTAAAGGAAATAATGGGTGGAAGTGAATTAAGTTTTACTTAAGAGTACACCAAAAACCTTGCCAACAAAGGTCCGTATAGTTAAAGCTATGGTTTTCCCAGTAGTGATGTATGGAAGTGAGAGCTGGCCCATAAAGAAGGCTGATCACCGAAGAATTGATGCTTTTGAATTATGGTGCTGGAGGAGACTCTTGAGAGTCCCATGGGCTGCAAGAAGATCAAACCTATCCATTCTGAAGGAAATCAGCCCTGAGTGCTCACTGGAAGGACAGATCCTGAAGCTGAGGCTCCAATACTGTGGCCACCTCATGAGAAGAAAAGACTCCCTGGAAAAGACCCTGATGTTGGGAAAGATTGAGGGCACAAGGAGAAGGGGACAACAGAGGACGAGATGGTTGGACAGTGTTTTCGAAGCTACCAACATGAGTTTGACCAAACTGTGGGAGGCAGTGGAAGACAGGAGTGCCTGGCATGCTCTGGTCCATGGGGTCACAAAGAGTCGGACACAACTAAATGACTAACAACAACAACACCCAATGAAATTAACAAACATGGCTGGGCCGTTCTTTGCAGGGGAACACCACCCAATGTTTCTAAAGGTATCAACCTGGAACCTTGGGACAGAGCAGGATAGGGTGCCTCCTGCCATGTTTCTTTCTACAAAATGGAAATTGCAGATGTGCACAAAAATATCCATCTATCTTGCTCACAGTAATGCAACGAAAGAGTTCCTAGGGACGTGGTGAACTCTCCTTCATTGGAGGTTTTTAAGCCAAGGTTGAATAGCCATTTGTCATGGATGCTTTAGTTGAGATTCCCTTCCAACTCTACAATTCTATGATTCTAAGTCAACAGGATCTACCTTTATCTAACCAGGGCATGATTACAATCATGCTGTAATTTCTATAAAATGCTAATACCACCTACTTGCAGACGTTAGAATAGTTGGATCCTAGTAACAGTCATTCAGAGTTTTTAAAGGAGGAGAAGGAGGAGGAGGAGGAAGTGGGATAATCCCATAGGCCAATGCTATGTTGAGGTACTGTTTATAAACATGTACGAAGAAGACATTTGAGAATGGACCATAAAATGGTATGAAGCTATAAACTTACTAGGTTTTCTAAATATTTCCTGACCAAACTCCCTCATTATGTTTAATAAATACAGAAATGACTCAACTGCTAAGGAAAGGCTATTCATATTAATCCCCCACAGATGTAAGTTGGATTTGGAAAGGAGTTTTGTAATCTACAGATCATTAATCAACCACTAAAAAGACAGTGCACTAAGTATCAACAACAGGATTTAGTGCCAGAATAAAGTTATAATCCATTTAAGCTTGAAATCAATGTTTTGCCTACAAGAGGGTGCTAAGTATTAAGACAGCTTTAAAAACAAAATATTTGAAGATCTGAACATACCAGAGGTCATGTCACTTATTGCTCTTTTCTGCTTATAAAAAGGAGCTATCCACAAGAGTCAAGCATTTACCGAGCACAGACCAGAAAATCAAAACACCATTTGTTTGATTATTGATGAAGAAAATGAATTCTTGTTAATCAGAGAAGGAAATATGGGGAGCGGGGGACGGGCGAGTAAGAGAAAAAATAATCAACTGAACTGAGCTCAGAGTTCATTGAAACTGTGCTCCTATGTAATTTTGCCAATTACTTTCACAGATGCAATCCCTGTAAATTATATGAACTATCATATAAATTAGTAGGAATTGCTTCAAAAGGTTATTGGGATAGAACATTAAAATGTGGAGAGAGAAACATATCTCTCCAGTGCCAGTTAATCTGAGGATAGTTGATACATAAGCCCTTTAAGACAGACAACGCAGGTAGAAAATGCTGCACAAGCATTAGCTAAATCTTATCATCCAGATATATCTCAAGTCACATGCAGTGTCATAGAAATTAGTTTGAGCTCCGAGTCTATCAAGTATAAACTTCCTTGAAAAGTACCTTGAAAAGTACTAGAGGTGCTCTATGGTTCACTCAAGTCCATGAAGAGCAAGTTTACAGTGAGGTGCTCAACATGAACTGACTGCACCCTATATGCTCCAGATTGCTGCACAAGCAAAGGGATTCAGCATGCAGGCTTTCTGGGACAGGCAAGTCAATGTGAAAGTGGTTCCCTGAAGATAGGAAGTTTGAAACTCACAATCTCTAGCAGATAAGATAGTCTCCTATACAGCTCATTAGAGTTATCTTCAATTGTTCCTAGCGCATGGATAAATGTGCAGGGCTGAAGAAAGGCTCTCCAGCACCCAGTGGGAGGTGTCGAGGGGTGGGGGAAACGCCACAGGGGCGGGGCAAACATCCCAGCAGCACATGCACCGTTACGGACGGCGCCGTATGGATGGTGGCAAGATCCTTCGCTCGCAGCTGCACGCTCCTCCACTCGCAGCTGCAGCGGCAGCGCCCAGGGTGGCCCGCCCCCTCACCCCCTTCCTCCACCACTGCAACTGCGGCCAGAATTATCTCCACAATTCAAAGCTTCATAAGCCAACTAACATATTCATGACTAATGAAAACAATTTTCACAGCAAAACAATGGGTAGGTTGGTTGTAAGGCAGGAAACCACACTCCCACCAATCATTTTCAACACAGGGCCATGTCTTCAGTGGAAAGCCAGTATGGTAGAGGTTGGACTAGAAAGGTGTAAGACCAAACACACAGTTTTACAGCATAACCTGCCTACAGGATGGTGGAAAGGATAAACTGGGGTCAGTGGCGGAGGAAAGGGTGTGTGGGCCGTCCTGGGTGTCATCACTGAGGGGGGTGACAAAATGGCAAAAATAAGAGTTTTTAAAAATAATACTAATGAAAATTTGGCTCACGAAACTTTTTAGTTCAGTCAACAAACGTAACAAGACATGGCTGGTACTTACTGCGGGGCCTGCAGCGTGCCCAAGCCACACACGTCTCCTGGGAGTGATGTGGTGGCTTGGGCACCTGAAGGCTCCACACGGCCTAAAACGGCAACGTGGGACTTGCGTCTGCCCACCACCTCTCCCTCAGCCGCCCTACAGCTGAGGAGGCGGTGGTGGAGAGGCTCCATGCAGTGCGCCCCGCCCCCATGGGCAGCTTGCCCTGCCCCTGGCTGCAGGACACACGCGCCGCACCCGGCACCCGAGCAGCTAGCTACACTGCTGACTGGGATCAATTGGGAGAAAGGGTGAAAGGATAATGTTCATTCAGTAAATAGCAATGGGCTCCCACTCAACATCAGGCAGGGGTCCTCAGAAAGCAAACTGACCTTTACATCATACTAATTTCACTTGCAGAGCACTTTATTCATCTGCATAATCCTGTGAAATCACACACTACATGGGAGCAGCTTTCCCACAGATTATAACCCAGAGGTCAAAAATTGCAGAAAGGGTATGTAAGCTACATACAGCCTGCAGGCCATATACTACTTGCACTTGAATTCAAATAACTAATTTTCTTGCAAAGATCCCCACTGGAAAATCTTTTAAGTATGTATGCCATTTATAGGCCAACCTAGAACAAACATTCCCTGGGCAATTCATAAGATGCTAAATGTAAGCGGGTCTGTATATACTGCCTTGAGGTAGTATGAAACTAAGTTTTACTCAGAGTAGAACAACTGAAATTAACGGATCTTAGTCATGTTCCATAATGTCAATGGGTCTACTCTGAATAAAACTTAGTTGAATGCCACCTTTGCGTTCTAGGAAGATAGGATATACATTTAAGTAAATAAATAACTTTTTAATTATCAACATTCTAATCCAAGATATCTTAAAATGTGGGAAGCCTGGTTTATGAAGTCTTGATCACATTCTGCTCAATACATGTACGTGCTTTTCAGAATCAATACCACCTGGAAAAGGCTGCTGTGGGGGTGGCTTACAATCTCTCTCTCCAGACAGCGTTTCAGCCTTGTGTGGTTAACTACTTGTCAATAACACATTATGATCTGGGCCAGGAAACCTGCAAAAAAGTACAGCCAGAAACAACACATTCCACCTTACCTGACACTTGTTCTGGACTTGGTCAGCGCTTTGCTGAGAACCAAGGATGGTGCCGATTGACGCCTTTGAGCCAAGCTCTTCATTTTCTGATGAAAAACAGAAACAAAATTAAAATATAAGAAATGTTTCACAACAGCAGCTGTATGGAAGAAAAACACGAAAGGGGGAAAAATAACCACCACAACCAAATCAGTTCCATTTGAAGGTCCTAAAACATCAGGTTGGCAGAAATGGCTTCACCAGTTCTCAGAAGCTAAGAGAGAAATGTCTGCAGAATATTCCATGCTGGCAATGTGGAGGTCGCCAGGTAAGGGAATATAGAAGACTATTGGACTCTAGCACGTTTTATTCCAGAAGAGTTACTAAAGTTGTTTGCCCACAGACGAATTACATCTCTGATCTTAATTGGCATTTATTGTGTTCCAGATCCTACTTGTTCTTATGGAAGTGTCCTCTCTCACACACAGAAAGTAATCTGTATGTCTGCAGACTCAAAGATTTCTGCCTTAAAAATGGATTAAGGTTCAACAACAAGATAAAGACGACAGAGTAATGTGCCTGTCTGGACTTTACAAAACTTTGCTACTTTGGGGTCCCGGTCTGGCACCTGCTGCTAGCTATATATTACATACACACACTATAGGAAACCTGCTTTCCATAAGGTTCCACTATAACACAATTAATGCTTCATGGTAACATGCTCCACTCGCAGTTTGAGCAACAAAAATATCAGCATGAGCACACATTCTGGGATTAGTTAAAAATACACTACTAAACTATGTCCAACATGCAGGATTGATGAAATCCAGAGAAAAGAGAACTGTCTCCTGAGACACCACCAAATATAAAAAAATAAAATACCACTCCCTTCCTTAGAGCTTAATCCCAAATAAGTAACTGCAAGATTGTAGCCTTATACAGACTGGTAGGTGTCAGGGCATCATTTAATCGGTTAAATAAAGGAATTTAAAATATTTTGGCAAAGTGTTTAATATAAGTACTGCAGATCGCAAGCATATGTTAAGAGGCATTCAGTCCAGTGCGTGAGAAGGGAGAAGGCCTCTACGAAAGGATAGTGAGGTTTCTTGCACCAGTGTGCACATTTGGATTTTTGAGGAAGCGGTGCAGGCGCTAGTCACAAATGGTGGCTGTGAGGTGTGTGACAAACACAAAATGGCTGCCACATCTGAAGGAGCAGGAAAGGGCACAGGGCCTTTTTGTGGGCACCATGGGGGGCATTGGGGGCACCCTGGTGTCCGCAAGCCCCACAGTGAGGACCCCTGCTCTAAACTCATGCCTAACTGCAACATATGCATGCATAATCTAATAACAAGTAACTTTTTTTTAAATTTAGAACTACATCTTTTTCTCATATATACTAACTCAGGATCAGGTTACTTGAGAAACTGGCTCTCCTAAAAGTTCCAAAGATATCAAAGTCTGCTTCATACTAACTCAGAGTAGGGCTTTCAGTGTGGCTGTCCCTATTCTGTGGTACAGCATTCCTGTTGAGAGATGACAAGTGCTCACCATCTGCCCTTTTTGGAACAACTGAAGACAGTTTTGTTCCAACAGGCTTTCCCAACTAGATGAATGGGTCTATAACATGGATGTCGATTTCGTTTTGTTTTTGCTTTTTAAATCTATCCCTTGTATTTCATTTGTGTTAACTGTATTTCACAGTTTTATTGTTCATCACCTTGAAACGCTTGCGCAGAAGGCAATTAATAAACAACAATATTAAACTGCTGAAATAGATTAACACTTATATGATTAATCAGCTACGTTTTCTTTAGCCAGATGACAACCCTAGTATATGCAGACTTGCAAACAAGTTACCAGTCCTCAAAATTTATTAGAATCATAGAATCGGATGTAACCCCCAAGGGACTTCTAGTTCAACCCCCTGCCGTACAGGAATTACTAGCCAGTTTGCACATACATTTCTTGACTTGAGGGGTGGGGAGAACCCAGATAATCCAACTAAATTTTCCCATTACTGTATCTGAGCCTGGGTTGAGGCCCATTAGTTCCTACTTGCATTTCAATCAATATATACACTTTAGGAATGATCCTGGGCACCTTCAGACTATCATTATTTCCAGGTAGAATTTTATCCCATCCCAACAAATTCAAGTTGCACAACTAAAGCTGATTTGGAGCTCTTGTGAAAAATGCCTGCTTCCCCAGAAGTTCAGACTTTTTTTTTATAGGGAAAGTCATAGGAAAATACACTGGAGAATATTGGATAACACCACTTGCTTGGTTGACACAATGTTGTCTAATCTCCCCCAGAATCAAATCTGGACGAATAGCCAACAACATATAAATCTCTCCACAAACAGATCAGAGTGAACGCTCATTAAACTGGTCACCCAGAAGCAGCCATTGTCTCCATTGCTATTTCCTGAACTAAAGGAAATACTGTACCGTATTTGATCGTGTCAGCCAGTGGCCATGAAAGAAGCACTTGATCCACTGAATAGACTAGGTTACCTGTGAACAGATCAAGATCACCTGCCCCTGTACAGACCTGTAAGACCACTTAAGAGATCTGGGGGGAAATTTACTCATGGCACCATATCATACAAAATAGGTAGTGAAACAAAAAACGGGCATTTTTTTGCTACTGCCCTGGACCCATAAGATTGGACCCTATCTTTACTGTGTTTCATCTGTTTTTATACTACTACTTTACTGATTTTTGTCTCTCTTTTTATCATACTGTTTTGTTTACATGTACTTTTGTATTCTGATTAAGATTTTAAAACATTCAGCAATTTATAAATGCTTTTAAATAAATAAATAAATCATCATCATCATCTTCTTTACTTCTTTATCCTGTTTCATAAATCAACCCTACCCAAACTGAAGATTTGGTTACAGGGTTTGAGGGTTTTCCTATACACACACATTGTGACACAAGTACAAAAATAGTGGGGAGAAGGGTTAGAACTAATGAAGTAATAGGATAGGAGCTGAGCTGGGGAAAGGATTGCAACCACAGCCTTAAGCACCTCAAGCCTGGCTGTCCTCCAGAAAGATGCTAACATTCTTCCATTTCTACTAGCTGTTAGTAGAAAGATTAGCTGATAGTTAGTTTGATATAAATTTAGCAGGCACACTCTCACCTGCAGGCAGGCAGGTATCTCACAGGACAAACTGATGCAGACAAAACACAGACACACACATGAAGCAGAGTTTGGACTATGGGATATCACTTGCTTCCTGGCTCCCATTGTCTTTGGATTAAAAACTGGGGTACAACAAATTAAAGTCTTTAGAAACAGATAACCCATTGAAAGTTAATATTAGCATACCAGGGCTGTCAACACAAACTATCTGGTGTTTGGAAAAGCATATTTCTTAACACTTAATTCTGTCTGATACAAAGCTCCATGGGCTCTAGCCTCTAGTTTTTCACTGTCAAGGGAGCAGCTTCACAAAGCACAGTGGCAAAGCTGCCTGATGCAATCTTACACAGATGCTGTGCCATGCAAGGGTCTGTGATATTGGAGTAATGGTCTGAATCAAGTTGTTTTGCTTGAATCAAGACATACTCAACACCTTTACTAAGGCCCTGAACTATAGAACTGAGCTGGATGCCAATTAACTTTGTTCTGTAAGCTCCTCGGAGTAAAAAGTGCCTTTTTTTTTTTTGCACCCAAAAATTTATGGAAAACAGTCATAATAAAAAGGAAAGGCTTCCTCCCAAGTCAAGCACTGCAAACTGAAAGAAAGAACGCTAATGAAGAACAGTTGTGGAAGAAAGTTGTATTTTGTTTTCTGTCCGAAAGCTAGATTATTCATTTATTTTATTACATTTGTGTACCACCTTTCATTCAAAGATCACAGGGTGGTTCTCAACATAAAAAGACAAAATGAAAATGCAAAATACACAATAAAGCAAAAGCAAAACCAGTTACTCCCCCCACCCAAGAATAGGTGAAAAGTTAAAAATTAAGAGAGAGGGTGGTTAGTGGTCATACAAATGTTTCTGCATATATTAGAAGGCATCTGCTGAGGACTCTAGAGAACAATTGCCAATCAGAGGAGACAGTACTGGGCTAGAAGTCCTTTAGTCAAAGTATGAAACTGCTCCCTCTGTCCTAAGAAACTAAGTACAGCCCAGAAAAGAGAGTCCATAGTGTGAGCCCTAGAAAATAGGGTTCAAGCCCAAGTCTAGCACCTTGGTCAGAAGATCAGCTGTCAGCCTCATTCCACCTGCAAAATGGGAATATTGTGACTCATTCTACTCTAGGGGTTTTGGAGAAGTCTGGAGGAAATTGAAGCACAAATTGCCAATATTCACTTATTCATCCCATGCCCGGAATGGAAATCAATCCAGCAAATACAATTGGTATTCACTGTTACAGTTGCTTTCTGTCCACAAACACTATGAAATTGATAACTTCCCCACCACCACCACATTTGTACTGTTTCCTTTGTAATAAAATGAATGGGATGGAATAACATAATGACAATGTCACTTACATAATTTCAGCGCTATAAACAGCAGGTGAATAATATCGTTTTTACTGAAAGATGAACTGCAGTGGAACAAAAACAGAGCCGCTTCTTACATCCCAAGTCAGCTCCCAGGGTTGTTGCAAGGTTGAGAAAAGAAAAGCCTGTACATTATATATCATCAATAGTGGAAGGGTGAAAAGATTATACAAGACTATGGCTATAATTTACATTTGCCAGCAGGAGATCACTTGCCATTTAATCAAACTTGGGTGGAAAGAACCATTTGCTTAAAAAACTTGGACGTTTTAAACAAGACACTTTGCCAATAGGCTTTCAGCCCAGGACTACGACGTTGTAGTGTTGCAGCACAACTTTGACATGCTTCTTTATTCCAGCTTCTGTTTAACCAGAAGAGTGTGCATGTACACACAAATGTACACAAACAAAGCAAGTAGATTAACACTTGGCAGAGTGTGCCCATCCTCCTAGACTTCAGGGCTTTCTCAGCAGGATTTTTTTAAATGACATGGCTCAGACAGTCCTAAACTTGTTCCAAACTGCTACCAGGGATACGTCTCTTTGCAAGTGAACCAGCACAAAATGTGCCAAGTTCCAATGCCGAAGAAACCCCACTCAGAGACCTCAAAACATGTAGGAAAGCTTGAAGCAAGTTACTGGCTCTCAGATACTGTTTCTCAGCGTGAACTCCCTCTCAAGGGCAACAAGATGACGACAAAAGTGAATTTAAAAGTTCACCCAAGTGAAACTCATTCAAAGTGTGAAGAAATACCAAAACATATAAATACAGCCAAGGAAGAAGTTGAAAGTTCTAAACATCTTTACCCTACAGCAGGCTACACTAGTATCCATTCACATCACATATCCACAATGTTCAATCTGTATTACCCAGATAAGGGATGACCAACTTCTGTATTCCTTTTACTGGATTCACCAGGAATATATTTTTCTACACAACCTGACTCAATCACCAGTAGTTGGGTTTATTATGAATAAAACCAAGAAGAAGCTATACCATTAAAGCGTAGGCTCTCAGTCATTCACAACCACATACACACCAGACATACAGAGAGGATTGATGCTTGTCAATCAGTAAGAAGCAGCAGTGGAAGGGGAATCATTGAGTAAGAAAAGATCACTCTTCAGAGACTAGTTTCTGAAGATCAGAACCAATTACCGTATTTTTCGCTCTATAAGACGCACCAGACCACAAGACGCACCTAGTTTTTGGAGGAGGAAAACAAGAAAAAAAATATTCTGAATCTCAGAAGCCAGAACAGCAAGAGAGATCGCTGCGCAGCGAAAGCAGAGATCCCTCTTGCTGTTCTGGCTTCTGGGATAGCTGCGCAGCCTGCATTTGCTCCATAAGACGCACACACATTTCCCCTTACTTTTTAGGAGGGAAAAAGTGAGTCTTCTAGAGCAAAAAATACGGTATTTTTCCTCACGATTGCAGCACTTCTCCCAGTCCAGCACTGCAACAAGTAGGAAAGCCCTCCACTTAGCTTGCAAAATAACCTGTTCTCTCTCTGGCATGGCACCACTGCTAATATGACTTAGTGCTAAGGAAACGGGAATAGAAGAGACATCAAAGTTTGGCAGAGGACTGGCAGGCCCCCGAAGACAACTTTACAGGCTGAATGCAGCCCATGAGCCATATATTCACCATTCCTGTCCAATATGAGACCTGCGGGTATAGGGCGGTATACAGTAACAATAATAATATGATTTGAGACCAGAATACCTGAAGAATGGTCTTCTCAATATGAGCCTACCCATTCATCATGAATTTCAGAGGTTATTATTTATTCAATTTATATCCCACTCTTCCTCCTGAAAGAGCCTGGGACAGCAGGTTCTCTTACATGTTCCACTAACATATGAGGATGTTTGGCGTGAACTAGGCAGAGACTTCTCTGTGGCTGAACTTTGGAAATCCCTGTCTCAGTGGTCTTTTGAGCAATGTAAAGACCATCTGTTTGCTTGTTTTAAAGCAATTCATATAGAAAGGGTAGCAAAAGTGATGTTGTTGTGATGTTGTTGAGAGCCCAACTCCCATAAACTCCAGCCAGCAGGAGCTACATGAATTGTAATCAAGCAACATCTGAAGAGCCACAGCTTCCCCATCCCCTATTTTGATTCCTCCTTGATAAATTTGTGGCTGAAGCTGCTGGGCCTGTTAATTCTTTTACCTGCAGGTTGCCTGCACTTTTATTTTATTTTATTATTTATTAAAATTATATACAGTCCTATTAGACCTGTTGATCTCAGGGCAGTTCACAACATTAAATTATAATATAAAAAACACAAAAATAAGAACAAAAACAAATGAATAACCCCTTCTCCTGCAAAATATCAATCAGCCAAATGCTTAGAAGAAGAGGAAAGTTTTTGTCTAGCACCTAAAGGTGTATAATAAAGTTGCCAGCCAAACATCCCTGGGGAGAGCATTTCAGAAATGGGGAGCCAATGAAGAAAAGGGTTGTCTCGTGGAGGAGGCACACAAAGGAGGGTCTTAGTGGATGATCTCAAAGTCTGGGTAACTGCATATGGAGAGAGATGGTCCTAAGGCTAAGCCATTTACCCACTCTGCAGTGATAGTTCTCTATGTTTCATATTTTTATGTGTTTTATTACTGTTCTAGGCTGAAGTTGTATCTTAATAGAAAAATGGTATATAAATATTTTAAAGAAAGAGGAAAAACAAACTTTGGTCTTTACTAGAATGTTCCTTATTCATGCCACTCCTAAAAAAATATCATCACTGGACACAGAGAATAAAATATGCGCACAGAAATGGGTTTGTGGCCAGGGGAGAAGCATCTTTTGCAATAGCTAAACAGAGGTTAAGGTCCAATTGGGTTGTTTCTAATGTAATTAGCTATCCTGGACAATTTGAGAATGTATTCTCTGCTTTTGATATTGCAGTTTTTATTGGCATATTAGTGTTGATTTAAACATGGTATGTTGTGCTAACCGACACATAGCTGCTGTTGGATGAACTTACATTGGCCTATGGCTGGGATAATAAAATTGCCCAAGATTTCAATGCAGCTTCCAAAGAAATTGTGTTTAGTGTCGCAGCCTAAGACTACTTAAATTTTCACCTAGGTAATCATGAAAGTTATAATGTTTGTAGCATGGAAGTACAATGGCACACTATTAATTTTTAAACAAGTATCCTATCTTTAATCTAATTACAAAATGTACAATCCTACACATAGCAACACTGAACTCATAGGCAACTGTGCAGGACCAAGCCAAAAACAGAATATATTAAGGTATCACTCAATTATAGCCCACCCTAGGAATCAGTATAATAATAAAAATCTTCACTAGTGTGTGCTTCAAAACAAAGCAGGGGAAATGTTTTCAATTTCTAAGCATCCTGTATAGAGTTTATGTAAGAATTCATTGCCATAAGCAAAATTTAGAGCTTTTCTAGCTCTATTTAGAAATACCACATGAAGTTCATTGGGGGGAAATGTGGATCTGAAAGAGGTTCTCAGACACAGTCAACGTTGTTTTAAATAAAATTTCTCCTGTTCATTTGTCAACATTCTTTTCATTTCGTTCGTATCTTTCCATATTTGGGAAACAACGAAATAGGAATACTAAAAATCAAATTTGGACATCTTAGTTCAGGCAAACCTGAAGCCAGTCACACCGATACATGTCTTTATGCGAGATAGGAGACAAATAAATCTGCCACAATACGTACACAGTTCCCGAAAACGAACATCAATACCTCTTGCACTAGCTCCAGTTCTTAATATTTTGGCCTTGCTGTCTTGAGAAATTCCTGAGCTGCAAACCAAAAGACAAGTTAACACCGACTGACTCATTCGAAGCGACTCAGGTCTTGTGGGTTAGTTCTGCAAAGAGGCCTAAGGCAGAACCGCCTTTTAAATTTTCCAGGGTTCTGTGTGGAAACTTTGGCACTGATGTACAACCAATTTTACATTAGTACATGCAGCCTTTGTCCGTGCGTTTATGGGATATAACGAAGCACGTTCCCTCCATTATGAACTTACCTCACTTTACATGGTTCCTGTCATGAAATGCTAATTTCGTTTGAATATGACCATATTTAAACATGGTTTCAATATATGTTCTTCCTGTCTTGACATTTTGTCCACTGAACCAGGGATCCCACAGCGAGTGACTTTGTTTGGCTGCCATTTCCTTCTTCAAAATGGCCTCCAGGAAGAGACCAGGCCCCCAAATGGGGAGGCCCAAAACAAAGGAAGGACCACAGAAACAGATACAGAGTCCAACATCCCTCTGACTCCAGCACTTTGGTCTAAAAACTGAACTGGTTTTCTACTCCAGTTTCCATCACAGAGATGTCAAAGGCTAGAGCAACCCTCCTTCCTACAAGGCCAAAAGTGAACCCTGGCCGCTGTCAGCTTTCCCATTTTAGCTGGGTGCCAGAATTCCACTGTCCTCTCAGCAATAATTACAGTGGTGCCTCGCAAGACGAAATTAATTCGTTCCGCAAGTCTCTTCGTCTTGCGAGTTTTTCGTCTTGCGATGCACGGTTTCCCATAGGAATGCATTGAAAATCAATTAATGCGTTCCTAGGGAAACCGCCTTCAGACCAGGTCCGGGGACAGTCTGTCCCCGGACCTCTTCTGAAGGCTGGGGGCAAGGGCTTTTCTTCCCACCCCCAGCATTTTAAAACCCCGGGACAGCGGAGGACTTCTCCGCTGTCCGGGCGATCTTAAAATGCTGGCGGGCGGCATTTTAAAATCACCCGGGACAGCGGAGGACTTCTCCGCTGTCCGGGGCAATTTAAAGCCCCTGGGAAGGCAGGCAGGGGACAAAGACTTTCGCCTCCGCCAGCCTTCAGAAGAGGTCCTGGACCTCTTCTGAAGGCGGGCGGGGGCGAAGTCTTTGCTCCCCGCCTTCAAAAGCCCTCCGGGACAGGCAGGCAGGGGGAGCAAAGACTTTCGCCCCCGCCCGCCTTCAGAAGGTCTTCCCTCCCCCGCCCGGCTTCGGAGCACCGTTCCGTTGCCGGGCGGCGGCGGGAGGTGTTCCCTCCCCCCCCGCCCGGCTTCGGAGCACCGTTCCGAAGCCGGGCGGCGGCGGCAGGTCTTCCCTCCCCACCGCCCGGCTGCGGAGCCCCGTTCCGGAGCCGGGCGGCGGGGAGGTCTTCCCTCCCCCGCCCGGCTCGGAGCACCGCTCCGGGCCGGGCGGCGGCGGGACGTGTTCCCTCCCCCGCCCGGCTTCGGAGGAGCCTTCCGAGCCCGGCGGCGGCGGGAGGAGGTGTCCCCGCCCCGCCGCCAGGCTTCGGAGGAGGTCCGAGGACAGTGGGGAAGACGCGCTGCGCTTCCCCGCTGTCCCTGAGATTTCCTATGGGCTGTCGTCTTGCGAAGCAAGCCCATAGGGAAATTCGTTTTGCGAAGCGCCTCCAAAACGGAAAACCCTTTCGTCTAGCGGGTTTTCCGTCTTGCGAGGCGTTCGTCTTGCGGGGTACCACTGTACCACATGAACGCTTTTTGATAGACGCAGTCTGAAAGTCTAAGGGTGACAAGGGTGTCGATATAAATCATGCAGAATGAGACAAGATAACCCAGCACCTGAAGTGAACCTGATCGTACCCTGCTGACCCTTACAAACTCATTTTTTTAAGTTTCTGGAAGCATTTCAAGATCCCTGCAACTCTGTTTGAGGCATGTTTACATGGACGTTCAGTGTTTCAGTATTCAATGTGATGAGCTCCGAAATGTGCAGCCTTAAATGAATCCTGTATTTTTATTTATTTAAAAGCATCTATAAATAGCTTAAAGTTTCAAAAAATGGTATATACAACACAAAAACACAGCTTAAAACCAGTAAGAATAAAAGAATAAGAATAAAAACACATAGTTCTGTCAACAGAGCATGAAGCTCTTAATCTTGATCTCAAGGTTGTGGATTCAAGACCCACATTGGGCAAAAGATTTCTGCATCACACAGGGTTGGACTAGATGACCCTTGGGGTCCCTTCCAACTCTATGATTCTATAAAAAGCATAGGAAAGCAAATAAAACAGAAATGCAGAGGACTCAAACACACAAAACAGGACCCAATCTTATTGCCCAGAAGAAGTCAGGGCAGAAAGATATAAGCCATCTGAAGCAATACTATTTCAAAAAGCATCCTACCTCCTCCTGACTCACATACACATGGTTACAGAGGAAGCAGGGAGGAGTCCCTTGGCCTTTGCCAACCTGGTGCCCTCCAACTATTCTGAAGTACAATTCCCATCAGTCCCAGCCAGCCAGCCGCACGTCACCCTGAGCTATGCACCAGCAGAAAACAAATGTGAGATACGGAGAAACACAACTATAGTACACTATTATGAACACCTCTGATAACAAACAATGGAGAATACAAAGGACCGACACATGGATGTCACAGTATGTAATGTACTCACTTGATTACAACGCCTGAGCTGTCCTGGCAGCAACCGGCTTTATAACAAACTGTCCTTAGGTTTGTGAATGAATTCACATAGAAAAATGATCTATGAACAAGAACAGCTTGTCACATGGGGAGCAGCGGTCACTAACAGGTACATAACCCTTTGTTTTCCTGCGCCAAACAGATATGAGGAAGAATTTCGAAATATGCAGCTTTTCTTGAGATTGCCTTTAGAAAGCTTCCTCTTTTGAATTTCTGCCTGCCATGCTGCTACTAAATATGTATAAACACTTCTAGAATGCTGAAAAGCCGACACTTGTGATAATTCTGACTTGCATAACTATTATACAAGTTACCTTTTAGGAAATTTGTTATCCTAAAAGGAAATGTGTATAATAGTTCTCAAAAATGTGCCTATTACATACTACAGGGGCCTTAAGTCACTGCAAATTTCTAACCCCTGCTAGTCAATATGTTGTGCATCTGTTTGAAGTGCTTAAGTCTTATTCTCAAAGAATTTGCTTCCCTAAACCAATTTAAATTATTTGCATTAAATAACCAACCTTAAACCCTCTCTCTGATGCACGAGACATGATGTGATAATTAATATAAATATCTTCCTCTCTATTCAGCTTGATGACTCACAAGCTCCTTTCCAGATCACAGAATTTCTCTTTCAAATTCTCTGAGGCAACTACCCAAGTCCCAGCACTGAAGAAAAATGTTGGCTACCTAAAAAGTTCACATTTCTACCATCAGCATCAAGTACCTGTATTTTTTCAGCACTGTTTATACCAAGGGAAGTTAGCCCACTTGGGGGAAGACACAGATCTTGCAGCATACAATGTCATTTGTCTCTTGGTTTCAAAAGATGTGATTATAGAAGACCTGTAGCAGACTTCACAATGATAATTCTTAATAGGCCAAATTTTGATAGAAGCTTGACACAAACCATAGTTTCTCACCCCATTCCTGCAAAATCTACCCCACCCACCTATTTTCACCTATTTTCACAGACACCCCCCCCGATCTGTATGCATTCTGCATTTATTTTGTGAGAGACAGAATATACCCAGGAGGTTGGTTAGTCAGATATTACAATTGAACATTTCCCCAGATAAACAGATACGAACCCTGCAATCATACTCTGAGGCCCTTCTTCACGTGCCTCCTCCACGAGAGGTCTGGAGGGTGACAAAATGAGAACAGGCCTCTTCTGCGGTGGCTCCATTTGTGGTATGCTCTCCCCAGGTAGACTCACCTGGCACCTTTGTTACATATCTTTAGGCGCTAGGCAAAAATGTTCCTCTTCTTCCAGGCTTTTGGCTAATTAAACAATCTATGGCCTTTCAAACTGGGGAGGGGGTTATGTTGTTGTTGTTACTGTTACTATGTTATGTATTATTGTTTTTTTATATTGTAAGCAGCCCTGTGATCCTTGGATGTAGGGTAGTATAGAAATTTAATATATAATAAACAGTACAGCGTATCACCAGCATAAAAAGTAAAGGTAAAGGTACCCCTGCCCGTACGGGCCAGTCTTGACAGACTCTAGGGTTGTGCGCTCATCTCACTCTAGAGGCCGGGAGCCAGCGCTGTCCGCAGACACTTCCGGGTCACGTGGCCAGCGTGATGAAGCTGCTCTGGCGAACCGGCACCAGAGCAGCACACAGAAACGCCGTTTACCTTCCCGCTATAAAGCGGTACCTATTTATCTACTTGCACTTAAGGGTGCTTTCGAACTGCTAGGTGGGCAGGAACAGCCGACCATGCGATCGGCAAGTCCTAGGCGCTGAGGTTTTACCCACAGCGCCACCCGCGTCCCTTACCAGCATAGTATACAGCAAAATCCCCAATCTGACCCAGAGCTAACTGCACAGCTGGAAAAAAATATTTTCAGTTCCAAAAAGCCAGCATTATTCTTTTATCATCCATCATCAGGTGATTAGGAGCTTACTGTACTGTATACTGTTCCTGTGCTCCAGAAGAGCATTTTTAGAGGCTTAGGCAGCCAGTTTTCCCCAGCCTTGCTAACACCAAACCAACAGCTCTATCTTACACAGAGTCACAGTGCCTAAACAGGCTGCTTTTCAAAGGCATTAGGGGCATACCTGTGTTATGACTGCAAGTCATCCTCTTTAAATACGAGGTGTCTATGCAATTTAAGGTGATAGAGAACACCACATGGTGATGACTTATAATCTCACCATGGGACAGATGTGGGCCACCAGGTATCTGTAACAATTTGGCCACATGGTAAAGCTAGTTATACTTACTACCCACAGAGGAAAATGAGTTCATTGTGTGGACAATCACTACACATTTTCTGTGTGGTGCGTTTGTAAGTAGCTATCAGAACTCAGCTCTACGTTATCTGAAATTACGCAAGAACATGTTCACAAGCTGATATTTACACTGATTCACCTGCCACCATTTTCTAAAAACCAGCAACTCCTTAGACTCACTACAAAATGTTATAGTGTGCTCAATTCTGTTCATACGGGATTGAGGCTTCCACTTACACATTTGCTAATCGAGGGTTGGATCGAAATACGTTCTACTCAGGAGCAGACCTGCTAAATTTAAGTCAGTCCTTTTCATTGGGTCTGCTCTGAGAAAGGCGAACATTGGATACAACCCCAAGGTCAGAAGATTTCATTCCCACAAGTATCCCATTTGTCTCAAAGATGTGGCAAGAAGAATGAATGCCAATGTTGAACTGAAACTTTTTACAGGAGGATGAAATCAAAGGAGGAAACTTAAGTGTTTGTGGCACATCAGACACATGAAAATAAGAACCCACTCCTTCCCTCTATAAAAGCTTCCCAACTGGATGTCTACAGGCAACCATAGTGAGAATACATACCTGAGCAAATGTTTCCTTGCTGTAGTATTTTGATACTGCAAAATAGTGTGGTCTCATTTTATAGTTACTTGTATTCATATACTTATGCTCTCACTAATAGTCTGATGAGGGTAATTCAAATACTCACTGGAATCTAGCCTGGCCCCACACAGAAATAAAAATCTATATAGGAGGCATTGGCAGTACTACAATAAAATATTTTCAGCTATTCTCCTTACAATATCGACTGATGTTAACAAATAATATTGTGGCACCTTAAAACTAGTAAATATATTACTGTATGAGCTTTTGTGGCTTACGGTTCACTTTATCAAATGCACTGGATTAACTCGACTCCAATCTACAAAAGCTTATGCCAGAATAAATTTGATAGTCACTAAGGTGCCTCAAGAATGTGTGTTGCTTTTACTTTGCCAAACCTTTACTAGGCATTGTAAGTATAGGCCATCATAAAACATCCATATATAAAATTTTAAAATATGTGCAAATAAACAGCCATGTAAAATATATAATGATGAGGATTTTCATTGGGATTTCTGTGTTGCTTTTATAAGAAAGGACTAACACAGTTACTCCTCTGATCTTAAGCTAAGGCATGATTTCTTATTGCCACCAGAACTACGGTCGAACAGGATTTCAGATGCTCAAAGTCCTTGACTTTGAAGGGCCAATGCACTGGGCAAAAGTGAAATATTTACCAGGACAGGAGTCTCGCATTGTGCTTGAGGGCTGCTGTCTAGGAGAAAACTACATATATGGAGTCCCCATTTCTCTCCCTCTTTCCCCAACATGATCAGGACGGGAAATATTTATGAAGTGTACTGTAATAACCCAGGCAGGCATTAAAATCCCAATAAGCAATCTGGCAGCCTGCTGCAGCAATTCTCCAAGGAGAATGCGCTTGCGGGGATTTAATGACATTTTAATGCAAACCCTGCAAATAGGAGATTTCCTTCCCAGCTTGGTTCCTTTTAGTCTTCGCACTATTTATTCTGGAATAGTATCTGGCAGGGCCAGTTTTGTTAAAAAACAAAAATGGGGGGGGGGAATGTATGCTGAAACATATTCTGAGCCCCCAACATATCTGACTCATAAATCACACTCTTTCTTCTGCCAGGTTTCACACACAAAGGCAAGCCCACACACCAAAGCACATTCTGAAGTGCAGGAAAATTCTGTAGCATAGTGCAGTTTCTACACTGGAATTCTCCTAGGTGTTTATAGCACAACAGATGATACAAACGACTTAAGAGTGGTGCATTTGGTTGATAACATTCTGCTTATTCTAATTTACCTGTATTTCATTGAACATACCCAAACAATATACCTAACCTCTTAAAAATCTTGCTACTCCATTAACAAAATAGGATGCTGCCTTACACTCAGTCAAACCATTGGTCCATCTCACTCGCACTGATTGACAGCAGCTTTCCAGGGTGGCTGGGAAAACTCAGCCAGATGGGCGGGGTATAAATAATAAATTATTATTATTATTATTATTATTAGACACGCATCTGCCCGGCCATACCTGGAGATACTAGGGATTGAACCTAAGATACTCTGCTGGCAAACCTGATGCTGTGGTACTAATTCCTGTCTTCATTTACTGTATTCTGTTTCTTTCATGTTGTTGCCCAAACCTGGTCACTTCACCTTACTGTATGGCTGGGCCAGAGCTAAGTGATCCCTCCAAAAAGATGAGACTTGCTGGGCCTTATGGTGGAACACATAATTGAACCTGGGTCTCTCACGCCCAGTACTGAAATGCTATCTGCTACACCACACTGATAACCCAATGCTAACCTCCAGAATTTAAGCTGAGCTCCTGTAGGATGAGCAGTGGAAGATCACAGATCCTGTGATCCGAAACAATAAAAAGGGAGCGAATTCCTATACATTGTTAAAGGTTACCTGTATCATGATCAGGATTCCACTGGAAGACCAGTAGGCTACGCAATAAAGGAAATGCTTACCACAATCTGCCATAAACATATATGCAAAAGTGTTTCAGGACACAGTACAGATTTTACAAATGGTCTTTTTAGCCATCAATTTATGTACGAGTTCTCTAGAAATAGTGTAACTAACTGTAGTATTGAGTGGAGTCAGCACAGCAAGTGCAGCATTTACTTTCAACCAGGGCTCATCCCAAAACATGTTTTGAATGTTAAGAGTTAGAACAGGTGGAAGAATATGAAAAAGCAATACTCCAATTCAACCAGCTCCCAACACAGGTGTCTCTATTTGGTCAAGGGGTGTGATTTCTAAGATTTCAGCCTTTTTTGTACAGTATATTACTAGTCAACCTACATACCAGACTTCACATACATGCTCCCCTGCCACAGATCCCATCAGCCTCAGGGCACCACATTGCATTATTTAGACTCTAACAGCTGCATGTGGATTCTGGCATTGCAAAAACAGTGCCACCTATGCACAAAAGCGAGGTAGCAGCAGGCTTTGGAGGAAACCCAAGATCTGCAGAAGAACAAAAATATTTGGGGAGGGAGAAGAATCCAAAAGAGCCCAATGAGGACTGAGCATGCTCAGTGGCCAAGCTGCCACGGAGGAAGGGCAGTGCATAGAGAACCAAGCGGGAGGGGTAATAGACAAGAATATCCTTGAAGGTGACAGGGCGGGCTGGCCAGCACCCTGAAAAGCAGCACTCCACACTGCAAAATTTTGTTGCAGCAGGTCCAGTTTGCAAAACCTAAATGGAGCCTCTATGTTCAGGATGCCTCAGAATTGCTGCTGGAGAACAAATATTGGAGAGGGTTGCTGCTTTCATGCCTGCATGCAGACTTCCCAGAACAGGATACTGAACAAGATGCACCCTTGGCGCAGTTCTTCTTAAGTTCTTAGGTCAGCAGAAGTTCATGTCCTTTATTACTATCCTAGGGCAGTTTTTAAGAGTTTGTTTAAGGAAAAACAAGCAGATATGGAATCTTATGCAGTATAACAAAAACCAGGTATAAAAATCAATTCGTACGCCAATGTAAAACGTTGTACTATCCAAAGTCAATTCAGAAACAGCAGGGAATGTCTAACACTCCCCTTATTTGATGATGGGAAGAGGAACTACCCAACTCTCCTCCTCCTCTCCATTATCTGCTAGCCTGCTCCAGGAAATACCCTAAGATTTCATACAGAGAAAGGGGCCATTATTTGAAAGGCAAGATTTCCTGTACTACTGTCACTTCTGCAGAGGAAACTGCGTGACAGCTGCACGTACAGTTATAGTTGCATGCTTCTGTCTCACAGGCATGCCGAGAAGCTGGAAGTGGCTGCAGGTACACAGAACACACATGTTAAAAAGATGCAGCCATCTATCTGCAGCCTTGCTGCAGTGTATATTACAGAGATTCCATTTAATTCCCATCTTTCCTCCAATGAGTTCCAGGTGACATTCACGGTTCCCTATTACCCTCACAACAATCCTGTGTGGTTGGTTAAGCTGAGAAGGAACAGTGGCTGGCCCAAGGTCACTCAATGAGCTTCATAGCCTCATAGAGATTCGAACACTGGTCTCCCAGGTCTTGATTCAAACAACACATTAACCACAACATCATGCAAAAGCAAGAACAAGTGCACCTCCCGTTCACTTCTCCAAAAAGTTCAAAAATCTCATCAACCACAAAACGACACTAGGCCAGACACAATCTCTCAGCCTCATACCTTGCAGTCGTTACTATGGGGATAAAAATACTGGCCTGCTTTACAAGGTTGTTGCACAAATTATAAGAATGCATAATATTTTATGCTTATTTTTTTTCATTGGGGGTTTATTTCCCCATTCATCTCAGATAAGCTTGCACTGGGCAAGAGCACCACTCTATTTAAAATATGTAATTTTAGATAGAAATACAGCGGCAGGTGCAAGCCAAACCAGGAATGCCAACACTTCTCCACTTTTTGTCCCATTCTCATTTAGAGGCATCAAATGGCACCACAAGGACAGGACTTTAGGACACAATCCAGGTGCCCATTCAGCAAAATGAGTAGGTGGGCCCTAGATCACCCCACAATTTGAAGCAGGTGAATTAATACACATTCCTATGGGGGAGTGGGAGCGCTAGTGAATCAATACACATTACTGGTGGGAGAGAAGGTAGACGACTAAGACCATTAAGTCCAGGATCTAAGACTACCTGGAACAATACATGCCAAGGGAGCCACCACTGATCCAGCCAGCATCTATGTGGAAAATGCCACCCCGACGAGATCGCCCGGCCCGCCTGTCGCGACGATGCCACCTTCAAAGCAGACCGATCACGAAGTCCCCCGGTCGCCGAGCCTCACGTCCATGAGCAGCAGGCGCAGAAAGAAAGAGAAGCCCCGAGAGCGCCTTGCAGCAGCGGCTACTCAAAAACAGAACCGCGTCTGTCCATCTATCAAGTGCATAATACACCAATCCAGGCATGCAAACCTGGGGCAGGGAAGGTGAAGCACGCATGCGGCGCGGAGGGAGGGAGGGGAAGAGGACCGAGGCGATCGCGCGCCTCCCGAGGGATCCCTGGTGGCGCTTTTAAGGAACGCGATGTGCCAAGAAAAGCAGCTCGGTGGTTTCTCTCGATCACGACGCTCCGTCGGAGATCTTACCAAGGGCGGGGGAGGGAAAGATCGATCGATCCCCCGCGCCAGCTATGCAGCACATTTCCCGCAAGGCGCGCAGCCCCGTTCTCTCCCCCCCCCCCCCCAGCGCAAGCGACCTCCATCTACTGCGCTCTCCCGAAACGTTGCGCGCACAGGACCGTCTTTCTGCAGCATTTAAGGACCGGGAACCTTCGCAGGTTGCAGCGATGCTTTTTGCACCGCCGCCACCACCCTGACCTTCCCCCGCCCACCACCAGCACGCTTCAGGACAAATGCATCGACAAGGATAACCCACTGGAAATGGTGGAGAGGGGACATCGAGGGTGGGGGGTACACCGCCTCCCATTATTTCCCGAAAATGATGGGCAGGGAGAGAAAATGACATAGGGAAAAAGACGGAGGGGGTTTCATGCAAAAAGTGAACGAGGGGCTGCACAGACTCGAGCTCTCCCTACCAGTTAAGAGGCTGCAGTTGCCACTGAGGTCTTTTTACCCTTTTTACTTGAACTCTGCAGGACCTGCTTCCCCACGAGCGTGCTTGGGCGCGCGGAGTGGCTGCAGCGCCAGCCCGGCTTTCTTGGGGAGCAAAGCTCCATTGGAAACCTACAGGGCTTGCTCCCCAAGTTGCGCGTACAGGACCAGCCTGCAAGTTTCAGCAAGGGGCAGGTTACGCTATTATTCTTATTATAAGCAACGGGGAGCCTTCGCCGCAAAACCCAAGGGCGAAGGAGGCGACCGGTCCGTCTCTTGTCTGCACAGGAGGAGGTGGTTTTCGTCCCCGTCCCCCGATCCAGGCAAGGTTGCAAAGGGGCGGCGGCGGGTTCACTCACCTTGCTGGCGTCGGAAGCTACGGAGAGCCGGGACCCTCCGGTCAGGGAGGAAGAGCGCCCCTGCCCGATGTGATCCTGTTGGGGAGACATCGCTTTCATCAAGCTCCCCTTTCCCCCCCGCCGCCGCCGTTCAAACAGCCCGAAATACGCCCGGGGTCATCACAGGCTGGTCCTGGGCAAGAGAAGGCGGCTGCGGAAGCCACGGCAACCCCTCCTGCCACCATGAATGAAGCAGCAGCAAAAGGCTTCCCAGCCAACGCCAACGTCGCCGCTACTGCAGCATCTCCACGAGCCCAGCAGCAGCAGCTTCGCAGCGCCGAACAGCTCGCGCGCCAATGCATAGAAGCAACCCAAGTGCGGCAGGCAGCGGCGCAGCTGGCCACGCCCCCCAGGGCGAAGCGCAGGGAAGCTCCGCCGCGAAGCTCCGCCCCACAGCAACGTTAGCCACGCCCCCGCGGTCGCCTCTCCAACCCCGCCTGCTGCAATTACAAGCTCCGCCCCTCGCCACGCCCGCCGAACGGGACCACACATACACACCGCGTGGTTGGGTCTGCGGTGGAAGTAAAGCGGCTTGATTAATTTTGCTCGTTTGTTAGTCTTCCATTATGGTTGCTAATTTTTGCTTGCTGAATTTCTTCATTAAGAGGCTCGCTGAAACGCTGGTGGTTATTTTATTTCTTTTGTCGTTTTTATTATTATGGGTTGTAAGCATTGGAGAAACGTCTTGCAACTGCAAGCCGAGGGAGCTGTTATAAGGAAAACAATCGTGTCGGTAAGGAGGGTGGGGTGTACCTTTATTTAGAGCAGCCAAAATGCCATGAAATAGTGAACAAGCATTTGGGTTGGCTCAATAAAGGCGTCAGTCTAATGTGGACTTTTCTGTGTGCCTAATAAATAATATTAAGGTTGGCCAACTGAAGGTGTTGCCCTGATGTGAACTTTGGAATTTCGCAATTATCGTAAACAGAACGACCTTTCATGCTTCCTGACAGCAACTGACCTCCCGTATTCTCTCCCACTCCCAGTGAGGCAAATAATAAAAAATCAGGAGTAAACAGAATGAATATAAACTTGGTGTAGAATGCAGCTTACAACCCATTTTCAGAGGTAAAGAACAGTGTTCCTGCAGTGTGCCTAGAAACAAAATCCTTAATCTTAGGAGGGCTCCACCAACTTGAAATTTCGCCCTTCCTTAGCTGGTATATCTGCAGCGGCTGCCCTTGTAAAATTTACTAGCTAGGAAGGACTCCATTTCAAGGGAGAGGCTTTCAAGCCAGGATGTTGATGCTCCTGCAAATGCAAACTCTGGTCTACACCTTAAAGAGGAGCAGGAGAGCATTCCAGGACAGGTGAGGGAACCTTTGGCCCTCCAGACGTTGTAGTTCAACACCCATCAGCTCCAGCAAGCATGCTCATGGCTATGGAGAATGGACGTTGTAGTTCAGCAACTTCTGGAAGGCCAAAGCTTTCCCACACCTGTTCTTGCTTAAGGAGAAGCTTCCTAATGGAATGAGCTCTTTGACTTTGGAACAGCCTTTCTGAGCTTTTCTTCGCCAGACTGCCATCGGTCAGGAATGCTACAGCTCCATCCTGCATCGGGCAGGGGATTGGGCTGGGTGACCTCCTAGGAAAGGATTGGTAAAACCCCAGCCCCTTATGTAAATATGAGCAAAGAGCTAAGACCACATGTCTTGACCTTCTGAATAAAGGATCTCCACCACCCCTCCCAGCGTCATCTTTTAACTTCTCTGTCTCAGGGAGCTGCAAGCCTTCCCTGCAAGTCAGATCCTGTATCCATATTGTTCATGCGTAGGAACAGCTCTGCCCTAAGTTTCCCCTTTAAGGCTGGGCTTAGCAGCAACTTGTCTCTTTACAACCCATGTGCTTTAACTTGACTATTTACCACTCTGCATTCCTAGATAGCATCTTAAAAAGCAGAGACATCACCTTGCCAACAAAGGTCCGTATAGTAAAAGCTATGGTTTTCCCAGTAGTGATGTATGGAAGTGAGAGCTGGACGATAAAGAAGGCTGATCGCCGAAGAATTGATGCTTTTGAATTATGGTGCTGGAGGAGACTCTTGAGAGTCCCATGGACTGCAAGAAGATCAAACCTCTCCATTCTGAAGGAAATCAGCCCTGAGTGCTCACTGGAAGGACAGATCGTGAAGCTGAGGCTCCAATACTTTGGCCACCTCATGAGAAGAGAAGACTCCCTGGAAAAGACCCTGATGTTGGGAAAGATGGAGGGCACAAGGAGAAGGGGACGACAGAGGACAAGATGGTTGTATAGTGTTCTCTAAGCTACCAGCATGAGTTTGACCAAACTGCGGGAGGCAGTGGAAGACAGGAGTGCCTGGCGTGCTCTGGTCCATGGGGTCACAAAGAGTCGGACACAACTAAACGACTAAACAACAACAACATGACTTGATTTTTGTTTCCTCATTCCAAATTCCCATAGGTGCCTGATAGTCTTCTCTGTGTTTGCCTAGTAATTGGAAAGTGTTTCCCTTTCCCTCTGTCCAGAGAATGGGAAATGGGCAATAGATGACCCCCTGGGTCCCTTCCAACTCTACAATTCTGTGATTCTGTGACTGCATAGTAATCCCTTGGCAAGCAGGCACTGTTCCTGGGACACCCCTTCTGCTATGGAGGAATTGACCTGTATGGCTTAGTTTACTTGGCTTTGGGGTGAAGCAATTATTTTCTAGTCCTAGACCATATTGCCTTTAGAGAGAAATGTCTGCACATTTGCTTCAGCTGCATGAGCATTAACATTTCAAGAGCAAAGCTGTTTCCTGCTCATTGAATCCTTGCTGCCTTTAATTTTTCATTTGAAATAGCGCCTTCTCCATATCAGCTGTAAGAAGCCAAAGTAAGGCCGTGCATCATAACACTCAGGCAAGCACAATAAACAGGCAGGATCTGCAACAAAATGCTGTGCTGCGCTGCACAGCGCTTCTGTTCAGCATTTCAGCCAGCCAGCCATGCCCTCCTGCAGGATACTCCATTCCCTATTCCCTTTCTACCCCCTTGGCTTTTTGTCCCCTGGTCCCCAACAGTCGGTCAGCATTCCTTGCCTGCTGGTCTGTTTTGAGGTTATCCCCTTCCCCTGCAAAATTGGAGTTCTCCAATCCTTGGGGTTTTCCCAAGCTAGCTCATAACCGATCTCTTATGTATGAACGCTCCTGTTTTGGATACATAAGCAATGGCACTCAGGTTTGAACAATGGAAAAAGAGGAGCTTTAAAAGGGTGCTGGGCCAATGGTCAGGGAAGATGAGAGTCATAGCTCCTCTGCCCTCCTTTAAAATGTCTACAGCAGCAAAGATATGCTACATTTGAGGAGTGAATTGTGTGAATTATCATACCATGCAAACCTTTAATACAGAGCTGATCTCTGGTTCTCTGGATGTTGCTGAACTCCAGCTCCTGCTATTCCTGGTCATTCCTCCTGCTAGTTAAAGCTGATGGGAGTTTGTGTTCATCAGCCCTGCTTTAATGAATATTTAAAAATCATATTTATGCCACCCTTCCTTTAGGTACTTCATAGTAGTTTACAGTGCTTTTTTTCAGCTGGAACTCACCAGAATTCAGTTCTGGCACATCTCAGATGGGCACTATTGCCATTCTAAGAGAATGAGAGAGGTGTTCATAGTGAGCTCAGGCATTTCTTTTTCTAGAAAAATATCACTGGTAGTTCATAAGAAGATACATATTCCGCCATATTTGACTTATCTCTAAGCATTATTAGAATTATATTGCAGAATGTCGTCTTCAGTGATTAAATAGGAGCTACTGGTAGAGTGCAGCCAGCAAGAATAATTACAATTTCAAGCTAGTTTACATCAGGGTTCATGTTCTTAAAAACAGAAAAATTCCATTGTTTCATATTTAAATATTTATTGCATTCCTTCTTTATAAACAAGACTCATTGCTACCTAGCTTTGAATAAAATACTGTGATGAGATATACCAAGTCATCAGAGGTCAAAATACATTTAGCAATTTGTACTGCTATTCACCTAGGTCAGGAACGGAAAGCATGTGACCCTCCAGATGTTATTGGACTCCATTGAGCCTAGACAGTTATAGCCTTCTCAAAGCAAAAAGAGAGAAAAAAGTATTGTGTTGGTGAGTTTCTGCATTTTATTACAGAATACAAGTATTCTGGGGTATATTGGGTGATAGGGATGGGTAGTACCTCTGGTGGGGGACACATCCTTCTCCTTCTGGGTCCCCACCCTGCACTCAGCTCCTAGAAGCTGCCAATATGTGACAGGGGCCACAAATGGTTTCAACTGGCCAACTAAACCAAGTGAGGGTAGCCAATGGGTCTCAAACCCATGGAGAGTTAGGGCCTTGCCCTGCAGGCATAAATTGAGCGGATGAGACCGATCATGGATACAACAGTCAAGAAGGCAGTTTTTGCATGAGCTGTAGAGGAAGTCATGGGCAGATGGGGCTTGTCACCTGGGAAGGAAGTCCATCTAGGAGAAGGAAAACTCTGACCCTAAACCTGTGTTGCCTTGCAGGATATATTTGGGAGAAGACAAGGCAAAGGCGTAAACCCTACACAAATCAGGACTGGAGTCCCTAAAATGGGTGGATGGTGCCTTATGCATCCCCTTCCAGCAATTCCTGCAGCCAAGCTGGTGCCACACATATTGCTCTGCTTTCCTTTGGACCACATCAGCGAGGCCAAGAAGGGGGTCTTGTTATCTGGGCAGCCCAGGACCTCCATACACACTGCCCAAGCTTGTGCTCCAGAGAGGTTACTTTGGTGCTGCTAACACAGCCGTTTAACTTCACCCCCGCAGGCGCACTCCATTGTTTTTCAAGACGTATGAATGCCAACAAGAAATATTCTGTGTTTTTCAAAGAGTTTATGTATATTTATGGTTCCTGCATACAATGCCTTTTAGTTCAATTAAGTTATGGGTTATTTCTCTCTCTTTTTGTTTTAGTTACTGGGCTTGATGTAACACTAAGATGGAACTACATATTGCATTAAATGTTTACCATCTGCATGAAACATCTATGGCGATCCACCTGTGAATTCTGATCTCATAGCATTCTTAGCCTGGAGCAGTCAATGATGTGAAGCAAGCATAACCCACAAATGTTATTGGAGAAGGCAGCCACCTATAGACTAGGTTAGTGATGGGGAACCTGTTCCCCCAGTCCCAATATTGATGGGCTACACCTTCTATCACCCCTGACCATTGGCCATCTTGGCAGGGTCTGATGAGAGACAGGGTCCAACATAAGGGAGGCATATTGGCTCTCCCTGCAGTGCCATGACCTCAGACTCAATGTAACATGTAGTT